ATCAGCGTATTGTGTGGGGGCTTATTTAAAGCAATTGATAATTTTGTGCACATTTGGATCATTAGAGTGTTAAGTGGGAAGCTGGGGAATATAATTCTGAAAGTGAACTGTGGAGGAAGTTGGGTGTGAGAAAGACAGTATCAAAGGTAGACGTTACAGAAAGGATAAATACGCACTTTTGAGAACTTAGATTTTAATGTGTAGGCAGTAGAAGGATTTTAAAACAAGGAATTAATGAATGATTTCTCAGGATAGACTTTAGGGTGTCAAGAAGAGGACACTCATTGAGACTCAGATGGTGAGGGCAAAAACTAGGGTGATGATAGTAGGAGGTCTGAAGATTGCTGGTATATTTAGGAAATAAAAATAGTAGGGCTTGACTGCTGACCATGTAAAAGAAGACAGGATAACTCAAGTTTCTCTAACTTAGATGACAGGTTCAATTTTAAATACACTGGGGTGGGATGTTCAGGTGATGACCAGTGTTCATGAACAAGCATGACACTTGCAGGCAAGGAGTTTGGGCTAAGGCTACTTTAGAACTCAGCATGTATCTGCAGAGTAAGCAGCACAAAGTCAAAGAAGGACTTGGAGACTACCAACATTATGAGGTACAGCTGGAGGAAACTTAATTCATGGAGGAGATGGGAGAAATGATTAGAGTAGGGGAAGAATACAGAAACTACAGAACTAAAGAATTTCTAACAGAGGACACATGAAATGCATCAGTAATATCAAAACTGAAAAATTCTTCCTTACGATTCGAGGTATGGAAAAATTCTCCCATACTCTGAGGTAAATGGTAACCTTGGGGAAAGCAGTTTCAGAGTGGATGAGAACAAAGTGAGGTGATGCTTGAGAAAGGATGAGAATTTTGTGTGGAGAGTAGCAGGGCAGGAAGGGAGCAACAAAGTCCTGAAATACTGAGTAGTGAGGCTGGAGAAAGAAACAGATATTAAAGGGCCCAAACTGCCACACACAGGATTTGGCTATACGCAGGGTTGTGGTTCAGAAAGATTGCTCATGGGCCAAACTGATTTTGGGTTTTCTTCTCTAGTTGTGCTCAGCTGCACAACAAAGAATGATCTGGCAAAGTATGAGCCAAGATTGGGAGCTTGTTAGAGGTACAGTTGAGCTAGAGAGAACATAATAGGACAGAGGTTTAGAGAACTCCATGAAGTGAAAGAGCAAGTGTAATAAAGAGTAGCAGAAGCGAAATTATGGAATAATAAAGCCAGAGAAAGGGATATGTGAGGTTTCTGAGGAAGAGTGGTTCTGGAAGCAAGGTGCAGAGTGTAACTAACTGTAGGAATTAGTAAGTTACACTGTAACATTTGGCACTGGAGAAATTAAGGAGTAATTCTTGAAAAGTACAATGTATTGCTTTTCTTTTTTCTGTCATAATAGTTTGTCTTGGAGATCACTTGGTATTTACACTGCTTCATTATTTTTAGTTTCGGTTTATTTCATGATTTGACAAGTATTTGCTGAGTGCCTATTATGATCAATGAGTTGTACTGCACCCAGTAGCAATAACCTTGTGTTCCAGTGGGTGAGACAAGAAACAAGCCACAAAGAACAGTTATACAACTATTAAAGTCTGATTGAAATGAGTCCTCGAAAGGAAAAGCCACAAGCCACAGAGTATAAACCACTGAAGTAGTTTGGAAGGCTAGGGGAAATAAGAAAGGCTCCTTTCTCCAAGTGAAACTAATCCTCAGATAAAGCATGAGATGTAATAGTTAATGGGAAAATAATTTTTAAAAATTGCTCTCTGCAATCCATTTCTTAGGGACATGATACAGCTGAAGGGGAAAAAGTAGATGGAGAAACCCAAAGTGATGACAGAGTATGTGCAAAGGCCCTGAAGGAAATAGCACACTGCCTTCAGAAGCATTACAAGTCCAATGTATGGCAGAGAACAAATGAGAGTATAATGATCATAAGCGAATGAAATAGATGGGCCAAATCATGCTTTTTCATAGGCCATTTAAAGATGTCCTTTGAGCAATGGGGGACCATTAAGGAAATTAAGACGGGTGATAGTGCCTAATTTTATTAAGGCAAATGTTTTTTTGTCAGGGATATAGTCATAAAGTAAGTTACCATCCTTAGAGCTATGTACTAAGGTTGCTTAAGCTCTGAGTATATAGGTGAAATTCATCTGGTCAGCTCTATGCGAGGGCAGTGGTCAACAAGCTTTCTGTAAAGGGCCAAAAAGTAATTTAGGCTTCCTCAGTCATGTGTCTATGTAGCAACTGTGTAGCTCTTCCACTGATATGTAAAGGTACCCATAGATAATATGTAAATAGAAGGGCAGGTTGTGTTTCAGTGAAACTTTTATTATAAGAACAGGGGCAGGCTAGATCTACTGACCTCTGCTTTGAGTTGATCAGAGGGGAAGCTGGACTCCTTCCTGGGGCTCAGTAGTTTTTGGAGGACAATGAGAATATTTTCAAGCTAGAGACTACGAGGATTATCAATCCTCTGCTGATACTCTCTGCCCTCCTTAACTTCTCATTTTTAGGTTTGTTATATGGATGCAAAGTTCATTGAGACTATAAGACTTCCACCTATGACAAGAGTACCTAACTAGCCTGCCTGCTTTCACTGTAAAGTTGAACAAAATTTATATGAGGAAACTGCTTTCAGATGTTGGACAACATGCAGCCTAAGACAGTGATCCCCAAGAGAAGAGAAGCTTATAAGGTAAGTGTCAAGAATGCCAAGCTCTATGCTGTAGGATATTATCATAACTCTAGTACCAGGAGTTAGAGTATAAGCAGACCTTAGTAGTCCCACTGAGCTAGGGAGGCAAAGAACAGAGGTTGGGGTAGTTACTGTGGCTGTAATCTATAGGGTAAAATACCAAAGAAAAGCAAGCTGGAAAATACCAAAGAAAGGATCTCCAAAAGACTGTGTGGGTTTCCTGGGAGCCCTTAGACTTATATTCAGTGCAAGAATAATCAGGTTTACCAGAAAGCAGTTACTACAAGGTTGAGCAGTGCTAGGGCTGTTTGAGGCCCAGCCAAGTTAGAATAAAGAGATCTTACTAACTACTCCAGCTATCTATCTTACTTAGACACTAAACATTTAAAGAATTAAAGGAAAGCATAATGTTAATGAGTGCATAGATAGGGTCTCAGGAGCAAAATGGGATTTATAAAGAGAATGAAAATGTACTATTGTGAGGGAATGATGATAATGGGGTGGATATGCATGTGGGGTGAGGAAGGAGATATATGGTAAATCTCTGTGCCTTTCTCAATTTTGCCATGAACCTAAATTTAAATAGGTTTAATTAAAAAGGGATCATGTGAAAAATATAGAAATTGAAATAACTGAACAAATAAATGAGTAATTAAGACTATACTCATGACATGGCAGAATAGAGAGGTTTGGATCATTTTCTCCCGCCCCTATACAACTATTAAAAATTTTTGCTCAAAGGAAGATCCAGAGGTTTACCAACAGAGTCTAATGACTTTCCCACAGAGATTGTACACTGAAGTTGGTGACTTGCTGTGGAGGAGAGGAAGGAGGTGAAAGGATCATGACCAAGATGGTAGATACCCAACCTGTGAAACAGATTGTGGGATGGTCACCTATTGTCTTACCAGGTGTTATGAATGTGGACAAATATGGAATGTATTTTTTTTAAGATTTATTTATGCATACTAGAGCTGGAGTATAGGCCAGAGATGTGGGGGGTGAGAGGATTCACCATAGACAGAGTGGGGGGCAGAACAGGCAGACTGACTGAAATACACTGCTGAGGGGAGCAGCGGGCAAGTCAGGAGAGATCTGCTTCGCCATGTGGATTGCTCCCTGGCTGGCTGGGGATCTAACTCATGCTGCAGAGGCTGCGGATTGCTTAATAGTGTGGTGCTTAGCCCCTTGTGCCACCAGGGAGGCCCCTATGGAATGTATTTTAAATAGAATTAATCTGACAGAAATAGAAGACTCAAAAAGTACAAATCACCCAATTGGAAAAAGAGAAATAGGATTTAGGGGAAAAAATGAAGAAACTATATGAGAAATACCAGACTCAATTAGAAGAGGAAACATATGAATAATGGATATTCTAGAAGGGGAAGAGAGAGATACAATGGTATAGAGATCCCATTCAAAGAAACAGCGGAGAATGTCTTAGGAAAGAAATAAGCATGGATGTACAGAAAGAAAGAACATCTAAATTTCAAAATGCAAAACAATCTATTTGACATCACTATTAAATGATTGTTAAAATTTAATTAGGGAATTTGCATTGTTATAATTTTACTTATCTCTTTAATATTTAGCCTAATAGAAGATGGCAGAAATTCTCCTATCTGCTTCTACATTCAACCTGTTGTAATATTTTATTTTGGTTGAAGCATTTGAAAAAAATCTGGTCATACGTCAGAATGTAGTTGGAAAAGGATTATTTAATAGTCCTTTTAGATAATGGTATGTTTAGGATACCGCAGCAAAAATTGACAAGTAGATGAAGGTTTTTCGTTTCTTACAAAAATTATCCTCAAAAGTACATCATTGTTGGGAATAGTACAATATAGTGCAAAAACTGCCCAAATCTCTGCACCGTGGTTTTTACAAAGTTAACATGAATTTTCTGGAGTCATATCCCTTCTTTCCCATCTAAGGCATCCATCCTTACTTCTTCTTTCAAAACTCTCAGGCTAGGGCCTCCCCGGTGGCGCAGCGGTTGAGCGCTGGGTTGCGAAGCTGCCCGCAGCCTCTGCAGCGCCGGTTCAATCCCCGGCTGCTCCCTGGCCACCTGAGGAGGGTCCCACATGGCGCGCAGACCTCTCCTGCCGCCCGCTGCTCCCCTCAGCAGTATACTTCGGTCCTTCTTCCTGCTCTGCTCCCCGCTCTGGCTCTGGTGAATTCTCTCACCCTCCCGCGCTTCTGACTGTACCCAGTGCATGTATAAACAAAACAAACAAACAAATAAATAAATAAATAAAAAACATGCCTCTATAAAAAAAAAAAATTTAAAAAAAAAAAAAAAAAAAAACTCTCAGGCTACAGGGCAGAGGAGAGCAGACCTGGCATGTCATAAACCTAGCTTGCTTAGAAGTTCAGGATTGGTATAAGGTGGATTTGGTTCCTTTTAACTCCTAGGACAAACCCTGAATAGGTGAATTTTAAGAAATATTTTCCCCTTATATAAAACATATATTTATAAAATATGCCTCAGCATAAAAATTTTAAGACCCACATGCAATACAGGTTCCAAAGAAAAAAGCACCACTGCGGTCCTTTCTCTTCTCTGACCATGATGTGTCTTTGTTTTAGTGCATCTTTTACAGAGTTTGCTGATGTCCTGAACATAACCTGCCCTAGCCAGGTCACAGTCCTCTCAAAGCTCTCATGACTTTCTGCCCACAAAACTCAGTCCAGTATTTTTGGTCTAGAACTTTGGCTTCTCTACACCCTGGGTCCAACTTATATTTCCCGACCATTTCATCTAATATGTCTTACTATAAGCCATGTTCTTCAGCAAGGTCAGACCATCACTGACTGTGAACAGTCCCCATGTTCTCCTCTCCAGAACTGTCTCCTGATGGAACCAAACCGGTGATAGCTTCCTAGCTATTCCACAGGAAGAATCGTGGGTTCCATTGCCACCACAATGCCTTCAGATGTTTTTACATGGAGTTCATTATTGTCTCAGGTGAGGTTATGATTTCTCAATGAAATAATTTTTCCCCAATCAGGTTTATCCAATTAAGAGTTTTCTCAAAACTTGGGGTAGTAAAGGAGGCAAGATATAAGATTTTTATTGAAAGTAGTTTAAATACTATGCACAATTCACTTGAAATGTACTTTTCATATTTTTCTGTCTATACTTAAAAAATATTCCTAAAAGGTAAGTTAAATGCAAAAACATATAATGCATCCATATAGTTAAACAATCCTTTTCCCTATGAAGGCAAAATGATTGAGAAATGTTTATTTTCCTCCTTAAAATGGCTAATCCAGGTCATAATATGGCTGCAGGTCATAAATTCACATCACTTCTTTCATTGCTTCTCTCCCATAAATCCACTAATCTTTCAAAAGTACATCATTGAGGTGCTGGCCTTTGCACTGAAACAGAATGGTATTCGGTCTTACAGGTCTGTGTTCCAGCGGACAGATGGGCTCCTGTCCTCTACACTCGCCACCATGTCTTCAATGGCATTCCAGTCAAGCTTGCTAAGGATGCTGCCAGTGCTCTCAGACACGCTGTCCAGGCCACCCGCCCCCAAAGGAGGTTCTGGCTCCTCTTCAGCTGATGACAAGTCCTATAAAATTCAGAAAGATAGTAAGTTTTGGTCCTAACCTGAGAAAAAATAAATGGAACATGAAATAAGCTTTCCAAAGGCTCTACAGCTGCTAATCTACCAAAAGGTGAAAGAAATGGGAAGAGAACCAGTGCTGTGGTTGCCCAGCACAGCTGGAACAGCAATAGCTTAAACAGTATCTGATGCAACTAGATGCTGGCGCCCAATCTGAAGAATGACCACAATGGATTTTTCTACTTCTAGCACGAAGACCTGTTCTAACATTTTTTTAATTACAAACAAAATACAGTGTTAATTCTGAAAAAAATAAACACTGGAGTATTAAGCCAAAAGTGTAAATGCTTTGAATCACTACTTCTAAATTACCTAACAATGTTTCAGCATCTCTACTTCCCATTAAAAAAAATAAAATAAATTAAAAATCACGACAAACACAGAGGAATCGGTAGGCAAATTGAAATGTGGAATAATGCTTACGTGTAGAAGGGAACTGTGACTCTCATGAAGAATCTTATGGATGTCTGAAGGCAACGTCCAGGGACTCACCACAGTCTCCTCTCTCTCATATTCTACAGACATCTGCTTGGTGTGAGGTACAAGTCCAGTCCCTCCATGATTTTCTCTATGCTGATGTCTACCACATGGAGCAATAGACCCTTCAAGGGCAAAGAACAGAAGTGGACACTGGAAATAATTCATTTGTGAGTTTGTTCATTTATTATCATTAAATCCAAAGCAGTCGTATTTTAACCTAAATATTTGAATCACGTGGTTGAGATATGATTTGCTTTAGAGTTCTAACAAATCCTGTTCTGGTCACCTCTTTTTACTTTAAAGTAATGGGAACCTCCACGTCCAGAGAGTCCAGGGAGGAGAGGCCACAGATATAATGGAATTACAGTAAGTTCCAACTCCAAAGCGGGGTGAACTTGGGGTTGGGCCCTCCTTTTCTCTTATGGAAAGTCTTGTGGAAGGTCCCCAGGAGTGATACTTTAGCAACTTCACTTAGACTTCATACCTACAATCTCCCTTTGAGCACAGGCATCAGGGTAAGTGCACTGATAACATGCTATGTATGGTCTCTTATTCCTTACTGAATATCAGCATTTGTTGAAAAGAAACTTTCCTCCCAGCGAGTGCCCAAAACAGCTTAGCAAAACCATCAATTCATTATGTTTCTCTGCACAAGGTCTTAGAAGAGCTCCCCCCCTCAACACAATATTCCAAAGCCAATGTTTCAGTAAGTTCTACCCCTCACTAAGGTGACCTGAAGAAATATGCGAGGTCTGAGGTATGATGAGATGTTAACACAGGTCTTGACAAAAAGTCATACAGCTTCCTGAAGAAAGAAGAGGTAATATAATGTTGGAGCTTGGGCTACCTGGCCTTTATGGCTCTACCTTATATACATAAAAGCTAAGGATACACCAAGAAATAAGCCCTCCCACTATCCACCCCCCAAAAAAAAACCCACAAAACACACACACCCCTATCCCTACCTTGGCATTTACTATGGGCTAGGTATTTCACTTATGCCCAGTCCCTTGAACTCAATAGAGTGTCCTAGCGCCTGGTCTTTGTTCCTCTTAGATGTCTACCTTCTCCCTAGCAGACTTCATCTAGTTTCAAGGCTGTAAATATCAACTCTGAAACCTGTACCTTTAGTTTCATAGAGCAAGCAGCCTTCTTGTCATCTTCGCTTGGATATGCAATGAACAACGCAACCTGAACATGTCCAAAGCCAAACTATTGATGTTTAACCTGAAACTCAGTCTCCCAATAATCTTCCCTATCTTAGGAAATGCTCAGGTTAAAACCCAACTGTCCTTTCATTTTCACACATCATGCAATCATTCTAGCAGGAAGTCTTAATTTGGTCTGTCTTCAAAATATATTCCAAATCTGACAATTTTCTTCCATTTTTATTGTTATGACCCCAGTCTAAGTAATCGCTCTCTCCTCTACCTTCTGTTCTTTCTTGCCTTGCTTAATTTCCTCCAAAGGGGTCCCACTGAATTCAGAGTAAAATCTAAACTCCATGCTTTAGCATACACCACCTAGCCTCTCTCTAAAACTCTCTCTCGGGTCACTTTCTCATGTTAAATCTTTTCAGCATTTGGGATCTTCACCCAACACCACCTTCTCAAAGAGACTGTCCAGACAGTCTCCAAATTTTACCTTTGTGTTGCTCATGACTAAAAGTGCCTGAAACATAAAGAGCTCAAAGTATGGTTGCTGAATGAATACTCTTCATGAAAATCCAATTGTTTTTATGCCCAAATTTAGGAAAGTGAGGCTTTTCTAATTTGCCCAACATGATGGAACTGATCTATACCCTGAAACTAAGTTGACATGCTTACTTTCTATCATTTGGGGTGAAGAAAGAATAGTACTTAGAGGGCCCTTTAGGATAGTTTCATATCATTGAGTGAGAAATGGGTCATTTAATCTGGATCCCCAAGACAGCAGCTTTCTAAAAACTTGCATCCTGCCACAGGGAGGGGGGTGGTTGTATAGGCGATAAACACTTTTGGTGTTTTTCTTTTGAATGGCTCCAAGGATCTGAAAGAACAAGACATTCCATAGCACTGTGATCACCACATTAGTATGGAATGTGAGAGCTGTGCTCCAGTTAAAAAAAGGCTTGACCTTTTTTCTATTTAGACATCATGAGGTGACATCACCAAGACAGTGACTGAAGATGTTATTTGCTTCAATCAATAGAGGAACAACTATCAGGAACAGGACAACACTGAGAGAACCCCACAGCAGAGTGGCAAAGGCTGAAGCACCCCGACACCTCAGAGACCAACACAGACTGCCTCAGAACTGATGCCAAGGAGAGCCACGCGATGGTGTGACAGAAGGTGGGTACAGAGCAATGTGCATCAGTAGTGGTCTGGGGGTGATGAACACAGCAGGGCTGTTAGCCCAGCCAAAGGGGAGGTAAGAGCAGGAACTGTGTGGTGGCACACATCCTGGCTCTGGTGTGAACCCCAAGTACAAAAGCTGAGTTGGGACCAGCAAGGATAATGGAGAAAGCACTCTGCACCACATCAGCCCTCCTTCCACTTCCCAGGAACAGTATTTGCACCATGAAGTGTACTGACAGCAGGTAGACTTCCAAGTCTTAAATTATCCGTGGCTGCTTCTTTTTTAATCTTTTATGTGTTAAAGTATATTTAAGGTCATTTATGACGGTATTTTTAAAAATACAAAAGATTAAAACAATCCAAATGGGGCCTCCCCTGTGGCGCAGTGGTTGAGCACTGGGTTGTGAAGCTGCCTGCAGCCTCTGCAGTGCCGGTTCGATCCCCGGCCTCCGGGTGAGGGTCCCACATGGCGCGCAGACCTCTCCTGCCGCCCGCTGCTCCCCTCAGCAGTGTACTTCGTCAGTCTGCCTGCTCTACTCTCCACTCTGGCTCTGGTGAATTCTCTCACCCTCCCGCGCTTCTGACTATGCCCCGTGCTTGTATAAATAAATGAATAAATCTTAAAAAAAAAAATCCAAATGGTCATTAAACTATATCCATAAAATGAAATATGTAACATTTAAAATGGATAATAGTTTTTTGTATTGATGTGAAACAGTCTTAAGATACATAGTATATTTAAAAAAAAGTTGTGTAAGAATCATCAATACAAAATTGGACAAATAAGTTATAGTACTTTGTTATCATCCATGGTTAAAAGCAATTAAATAGACCCCTATATGATGACATGGCAAGACTGCAGAAATTTAATCTCAAAAACACAGAAAGTTGCAGAAAATTAAGTATCTAGCATGATGCCATATGTAAAGGTTTTTTAAGATATTACAAAAATAATACAAATGTTATCAATGATGAATATATATGTGTGTGTGTGTGTATATATATATATGTGTGTGTATATATATATATATATATATATATATATATAAGAAAGAGACACACCCAATTGATGATGGGGAGTTTCTGAGGAAGTGAAAAGGAGAATGAAATTGGAAAAAGGGCTCAAAAAAAGTTCTGAATTTGTTGGTAATTCTTTGTTTCCTTCAAAGTAAACAATATCACCCTTACACCTAGTAAACATTTGTCTTTCCTTGACCTTGCTCTTTAAACTTTCTCACATAATCAAAAAACTCCAGAAATAAAAATGTATCTATTTTTAAATGCACACGTCTTTCATTTAGGATTTGCTGAGTTCTGTAACATAAAATGTGCATAAAGAATGGCAACAATACACATTTTTTTCACTGTTGTAAAATAGTATACTTTACAATTTTTTATTTGCAATTTATTGAAAAAAATTTTAACTTAGGTAATATTATGATTCCCCCCACCCCCCATCACCAGAGTGTACCCACCACCAAATCACCCACAGTCTACCACCATAGTCCTCTGTGCTTCTTCCCTCTTTGTTCTTGGCCCCTCCCACTCCTTCCCAGCTCTGGATGCGTCAGTACTATAGTCAGCGCTCAGGTAACTTTTTAAACTCTTTACCTGACTCTTAGTTTGGTTTTGCTATATTCCACACAGTAGTGATACCATCCAGTATTTATCTTTCCCTTTATGACTTATTTCACCTAGCATTACCCCTTCCAGCACCACCTATATACCACAAATGGCATGAATTTATCTTTTCTGATCACTGAGTAATACTCCATTGTGTAAATATACCACCTCTTCTTGATCCACTGATCTGTTCTTGGGCATTTAGGTTGTTTCCATAATTTGGCTATTGTGTATAGTGCTGCAATAAACATAGGGATGCAGGTTTCCTTTCAAATTAATATTTTTTAACTTTTCAGGTAGATGCCTCGGAGTGGAATTACTGGGTCATATGCAGATCCATTTTTAATCTTTTGGATTCCTACACACTGATTTCTGTAAGGGCTAGACCAGTCTTTTCTTTTTTTTTTTTTTTTTAAAAGAACTGGGGTACAGGTCAGAGGCATGGGAGGGTGAGAGAATTCACTAGAGACAGAGCAGGGAGCAGAACAGGCAGATGGACCAAAGACACTGCTGAGGGGAGCAGTGGGCGAGGCAGGAGAGGTCTGCCATGCCATGTGGGTTTCTCCCTGGCCAGCCATGAATCGAACCCGTGCCGCAGAGGCTACGGACAGCTTCACAGTGTGGCACTCAACCCGCTGAGCCACCAGGGAGGCCTAAGGGCTGGACCAGTCTTTATTCCCATCAGCATTTGTTGCTTCTGGTCTTTCCAATGGGCCATCCTCACAGATTTGAGGTGGTATCTCATTGTGGTCTTAATTTGCCTTTTTCTAAGAAGTTATGATGAACATTTTTTCATTTGCCTGTTGGCCATCTGTATGTCTTCTTTGGAGAAGTATCTTTTTAATTTTCCTACCCATTGTATGATTGGGATATTTTGTTTTTGTTGAGTTGTGTGAGTTCTTTGTAGATCTTTGATATCAGTCCTTTTTCAGATGTATGTATGGTGTTGCAAATATTTTCTTCCACACAATAGGGTGTGTTTTCATTTTAGTTACAGTTTATTTGGCTGTACCAATGCTTTCACTTTGATGTGCTTATTTATGTCCTCTGTTCTCCCAGTTATTTATGTTCTCTTTTGTTTTCCTTGCTGTTGGGGAAGAATACCTAAAGATATTACTGCAGCTTATGTCATAAAGTATTTTGCCTGTTTTCTCTTATGTATTTTATGGCTTTAAGTCTTATTTCCAAATCTTTTATTCATCTTAAATTTATTTTTGTGTATGGTGTAAACCATAAATAATATCGAAGAATAAGAAATATAAAGGCAATACACATCTTGACACTGACCTTGGAGATATGTTTGGGGCCACATCCAACAGCAAGGGAAGCAAAAGCAAAAATAAACAAATGAACTACATCAACATAAAAAGTTTCTGCAAAGCAAAAGAAATCTGCATCAAGACAAAAAGGCATCCTACTGAATACAAAAAAATATTTGCACATCATACATCTGACAAAGGGTTAATATCCAAAATATACAAAGAAATAATACAACTGTACACTAAAAAAAAAAAAAAAAAAAACTGGTTAAAAAATGGGCAGAGAATCTGAATATTCACTTCTCCAAAGAAAACATACAGATGGCCAACAGGCACTTGAGAAGATATTCATTGTCTCTTATTATTAGGGAAATGAAAATTGAAACAACAATGAGATAGTACCTCATACTTATGAAAATGGCTATTGGTAAGACTTTTTTTTAAAGATTTATTTATGCATACAAGAACTGGGGTATAGGCCAGAGGTGTGAGGGGTGAGAGGATTCACCAGAGACAGAGTGGGGAGCAGAACAGGCAGATTGAAATACACTGCTGAGGAAAGCAGCAGGTGAGACAAAAGAGGTCTGCCGCGCCATGTGGGCCAGCCCCCTGGCCAGGGATCGAACTCATACTGCAGTGGCTACAGATAGCTTCATAGTGCTGCACCACCAGGGAGGCCTCTGGTAGGATTTCAGAAAGCAGAATGAGAGCAATATAGAGTCCTCAAAAACTAAAAATAGAAATTCCATATGATCCTGTTATCCTACTTCTATGTATTTACCTGAAAAATACAAAGCACTAATTCAAAGAAATATATGCACCCCTATGTTTATTGCACCACTGTAGGCCAAGAACTAGAAAGAACCTTAGTGTCCATCAAGATGACTAGATAAAAAAAGTGTGCGTGTGCATGTGTGTATATGTATATATTACTCGACTATAAAAAAATGAAATCCTGTCATTTACAACAGTATAGATTATGCTTCTGAAATAAATCAGATGCAGAAATTACTGTATGATTTCACGCATATGTGATGTATAGAGAAACCAAACAAACCATGAATAAAAAATGAATTTTTAGCCAAAAGACCAGTGATTGGTTACCAGAGGGAAGGGGGAAGGGAAATAGGTAAAGCAGCTAAAGGGGTCAATTGTTTGGTGAAGGATAGAATTGGACTTTTAGGAGAGAACTTAATATAGTATATGCAGATTTTGATTTTAAATGCTGCACACCTGCATAACAATCTTACCTAATGTTATGTAGTGCTACTACTGAAAGTTCTATGTTAAAAGTGTTCAGTAAGATCTCATTTTACGTCACTGATACATTCTTGGAAATTATGACTACTTTTATTTTTTACATCATTGTTCATTTTTAAACAATGTTTGCTTCCCCCCACCCCCTCAGGTGTAGTCCCCATAGAGTTTCCTTCACCAGAAATTATGACTTTAAGAGAAATGATGTATAAGGAAAGTAGATCTCACATAACCTTATTTTGTTCAATTTGGGCTGGATTTTTTTTTCTCATCAATATTATAATGAAACAATGTTGAATGAAATGTTATTTGAGGACCCGCAGTGTTTCTGTAAATATTAGTAAGATACAAATTGAAAAACATCTAGGAACAGACAATAGGACTGCACATGTGAACACTGTTATAAAAAAGTTGAGACTGAAGGGGGTAAAAAGAAAAACCAACAGGAGCTTAAGCAGTACTGAAAGGATCAGCTGTTTCTCTCCAAAGTAGAGGGTGGTGCTGAAGGTTTCTCTTCAAGAATTCAGGATATAAAGAAGAGATTAGCAAAGGCTATACCCATGAACTAATCCTAGTTCCCATGTATGCCACAGTTAATTTAGTATCTAAGCTTTTGTTACTCCAGTTTTGTTAAATGAACATAATTATTGCCACCTAGAAAGAATGACAAAATTAAACCATCACCAAGTCTGAAGAAATGAAATTTAACAATCCTGTATTTCAGTGTAAACCTTTACCTACAAGGTTTCTAAAAGCTGAAGTACTATCACTGACTTTCTCTCACCTTGCTTTACCCAGGGATGGCTCTGAAATTTCCTTCTCTTCAGATCAGAATGTATTTCTCTAGGATTTATTCGGGACATCCGATCTTGAGATAAAAATATGAAAAAAATTCTATGAAAATGAGCACATGCAAAACTTTTTGGAGTAGGGTGTTCCTGCACTTTCTGTGTAGGAGAGTGAACACTGCCACTCAGATTCTTTACAACATATTGCTAATGTCTACAAAGTGTAGCCTGAGAAATCAGAAACTGAATCGTAAAATGAAGTCCATTGTTTCTGCTGCTCAGAGGAAACCCCTGTTCTGCTGAACAGGAAACCCCTGTTCCTCCTTGTCACTTAGGGGCCACAGTCAAGGTAAACACATCCAATTTAGACATCTGGAGTGATACCCAATTCCTTCCTCTGAGGGACAATGAAAGAATACTTCTTTTGCCTTTCTATAGGCAAGGCCTCATGCTAGGTCATAACTCTCTTCAAGAACACAAAATCCTGAATCTCTACTGCTTTCATAAATAATGTAATACAAATATACATATAATTTCAGCTATTTTTAGAGGCAACATTATTTATGTTCTCCTCTAATATAAACTAATAGGTATTTGCTTAGAAAATGAAAGGCTATGCTATAAGGTATAGGGTATTCTAAGCTAGAAAACATTTTACCAGATTAAAATGAGAGGATTTAAAAGAAAAAGGAAAAAAAAAAAAAAAAAAAAAGCCTGGGACTGTAAATTAAAAGCATAGGAAATGATGCCTTTTAAGACTAAAACTGAGGACCTCTCCGGTGGTGCAGCGGTTGAGCGCTGGGTTGTGAAGCTGCCCGCAACTTCTGCAGCACTGGTTCGATCCCCGGCTGCTCCCCGGCCACCGGAGGAGGGTCCCACATGGCGCGCAGACCTCTCCTGCCGCCCGCTGCTCCCCTCAGCAGTGTACTTCGGTCCTTCTTCCTGCTCTGCTCCCCGCTCTGGCTCTGGTGAATTCTCTCACCCTCCCACGCTTCTGACTGTACCCAGTGCTTGTATAAATAAATAAATAAATCTTAAAAAAAAAAAAAAAAGGAAGAAGAGAGCTGGGCTTGAGTCCAGATCTTTAAAAAAATAAAATAAAATAAAAAAAGACTAAAACTGATCCTAATAAACTATCGGTTTGATGCATGCATAGGGAAAAGAATGGAAAAAGAACCAAGTAGAATTTCTAGAAGATATAGCCACTGACATTGAAACTTTATAGAGACGTTTTATAGCAGAGTAGACAGGGCTGAAGAGAGATGTGGTGAACTGAAAGAGGACTCTTTAGACAGGAGGCAGCAGTGGAGGGAGAGGCATAATAGCATCACTAGCCTAATCCACATTTCTCATCATTTTTATAGTACATATAAGTTATAATCATCCCTGCCAAATTTCCTTCTTTTCTGCATATTGGGATAATGCCACAGGTTTTACTGGGTTCATGTAAGGATTAAGTGCGATCGTGAATAAAAAGTATTAAGATAATACTTTGGATCAGGAAAGTTCTCGATAGCAGTTGGCTATAATTTTTATTATTCTAAGTAGTCACTTAACTTCTCTAAGCCTCAGTTTCTTCAGCTGTAAGGCAGGGCTAGTAGTTGTCCTGACTATCATGGTTGCTATAAGGAGCTAGTAGGAGAATGAATCTGTAAGTCGTTTTTAAACTGTGAAGAGTAGCGTGGGGTCAGTGAGTGACTGGAGGGAGGGACTGGGAATTAACATTACAAGACTCAACGTGCTGTGCCTCTTCTCAACTCTTCTAACATAAGGCAAAACTGGGCCTAAAATCCCCAAACTTATTGACTATGTGCTCTGTGACTGATTCTGAGTATTTATTTTTATGTTCAGCAGCATGCAAAGCTCATTACATACATTCTCACTATTAAAATGTGTATTTTGAAGTGAGAAAATTGAAGCTTACATAAGTGCATTAGGAATTTGCCTGAGGCGTCAGTCAGTGGTGAACTAGGAGCTCAAACAAGTGAATTCCACAGCTTTTTCTCTGAACCACACCACACAATCTTCATTCTGAAATCTATATTTAAAATGTCTAATATTTATGATTTTTAAAAATTTAGCATCGTGCCAGGAACTTTCCATTATTTATCCCTTACCTTTTTGGAAGGTAGACACTTTGGCTCCACCAGCTTTTTTTGATATGGCGAAAGTGGCAGTTCCTGTGAAGAGAGGCACACTGTCTTTAACTTCCCATACAAGGTGTTTTATATGTCATAACTTCTATGAAGACAAAAACTTTGTTCTGATTAGCAGGGGTCATAAAAATGGTGGCTGAATTGAACTAAGAAAACAAAACAAAAGTGCAGATGAAGGAATGGAAAATTCTAATGCTTGTAATTCTTATAGAACAACCAAGGTCCTTTTTCAACTGGCAAATGTGCCTTGACAATACCTCTGGCAACTGGAAAAGTCATGCATAAAGCCTATTAAGAAATAAGCACCTACACAGAATAGCAAGTTATTTTTTGCAGGAGAATGATTAACAAATACCTGGAGTCTCTTAAACTCCAGGATTAACAACAGCCATTTACTGTTCCTATCATACAAAATGCTTTACCTTAATCCTCATCATCTCTCTGAGGCAGGTTTAAAGTAATATATCTGAAAGCACAAAGCAAGCAGCAGACCTGGCATAAAGACCTAAGAACAGAAGACTCTAAAGGCTGGACCTTCTTTTTTTCATGGTTACCATGCCTCTCAGTTATTTACTATATAGTCTCTATACTATTTTTGGTGGAGCAAATACAAAACAGGCAACAAAAAAAGGTGGTAGCTGGGAAGGGTAGGGGAGGGGTGTAAGATGCCGAAAGCATTAAGTATGCAAGCAGGCTGAAGAAATTAGAAATTACATATTGCTTTACAAGATAAACAGCAACACAGTCAACTCCAAGTAAATCTTCAGAAAAACTCTTCTTTGACAAATGAACTGCAGTGAGCTTTAAGATCTTGATGGGTCCTCCCTGATCTGTGTTATGACAGAACTTGCCCCCAGGGTGGCTTGGAACTTATGGAAGAGACTGGGATCACTTATGCCTGAGTTTCTCGCCCACTATCTCACAATATTGGGGAGCCTAAAGCCTCTGAATATAGTCAGGTGTAATGCCTGGGTGCTGAATATGGTAGGGCCACATGAGCAGCATGCTATCTAGTCAGAGAAGACAGTGTTCACAATTCTTTGCCGTGTCTCTTATTTTGCCTTAAATGTCTGGGGAATCTAAATGACAGACTAGCTAGGATAATAGTTCAGCATGTGGTGGTATTCTCTGACACAGAATAAATACTACAATACCTGCCCATTAATATACTTGGACAATAATTGGTTTAGTTATTTTGGCTAAAAGTTATGTTTTTATTTTATCCTATTATTCAGAATTTCATTTGTTCCATGTGAGTGGTAATGCAAGATAAAGAAGTGTTGCTACCCTCAAAAAATTTAGTCTAGCATGGACTGTAAGTTTTACAAGTAACTACAACATAATTCCCGCTGCAGTTGTACTTCAAAGCGGCATAAACTTATGATTGAGGGTTCAGAGGACAAAATATAACTTTTAACTGTTTTAGCCATTATTGCTACCATTTTTCTCTGACATCCGAAGAACAATGCAATTAAGTATTAGCCCCAGTTTATGAATTTTTAGTTTATTTTATAAGAGGGTGAATGACACAATTTTTTACTTACTTTAGCCTAAAATTTACACATATTGCAAAGTGGCTTCAGAAACCCTTCATAAATAAATTCCCAATAAATATTTTTCAGTAGGCTTAATTACATGTTAGCTATGATTATATATTTTAATATGTAATCATCTTTCCTATCTTACAAATAAGTATATTTTAGTTAAAACATACCTTCAAATGTGGAAAAAGATATTTAAAGGGTAAAACTATGACATTACTTCACTTTCAGCCTCTTAGCATTCTGCTTCTATGATATACCCATCCTGAAGCATTTGGTCTGTAAAATTTTGGTCTGTAAAACGGCCTACATCTTTAGGCAGACACATAAAAGATACAAACTCCCAAATAAGTCATATCTAATTCAGTGACTGTTCAAATTTTATTATACAAGGCCAAATATTCCTAGGGTATTATTATTTCAAAACAAACAAAATCCCACCAGAGCTAAGTCTTTAACAATCCCTATGTCTATGAAATAAGGACTGTTTTTCACTAAGATTAGTTTTTACTAATGAAAACACAACTTTGGAGACAAGAAGGAATGGGTCCTAATTACACAAGATAAAAAAACTTAGTCTTACCACGTGGCCAAGGTGAGCTTTGAGGTTGCCCAAGAGTTTTTCCCTTTTGGGCGTAACTTGGTTTAACTATACATCTGACTTTTCCATGTCGATTTATTGGAAAATTGTGAACATGTTGATTCTCTCTAAAGTAGAAATCACATAATTGTTATATTCCTAGAATCCCTTATCAGTGATAAACTGTATTTCAAAAAGTCCAAATTCTAGCTGGGATTGATAAAATACTTGAAATGGCTTGTTTGTACCTCAGACTTAGTATACATTTAGTGTATAATAACACCTAGCAAACTGTTCTTCACATCTCATATATCGAACTTGAATCCTTTTTCCCCAAAGAAATATTTGGTTCTCTCTCTATTCATTTCAAATTTTCCATATAATTGGCAGTTATTTATGTATGTAATATCCTGCTTTATTTTAGAAAAGATTGAAGGGTAGTTTCCAGTATTTTGAGTATACCCCAAACTACAGAGACGCAAGTGACCTGATTACATCTGTACTTGTATTGGTCGTGTTTCCTCTAGGCTCTTAATTTGTGTGATTTATATTTATAATCTTAATCATTATTTTGTCAAAAATAGTAATTTTTAACACTTTATTGTCACCTTAATGCAATTACCAATAAATATGATTTTTTGTATGTTAGACATATATAAGAAAATTTACACTTGGCTACATTTTTCTTTAGCAATCTATGTTCAATTAATTCATGCCTAAGTAACTTATCTCCAAATGCAGTGAAGGTCATTAATTTAAACATAAAGCAGTGTCTACAACTTAATCATCAATAACTAGGCAAGGCGGAAAAGGATAGCAGAGGAGTAAGCTTGTTTCTGCAAGAGGGAAGTCCAATGAAGGAAGCGGGAGAGCAGTTAGGAGGCAAATTATAGAAGGAAATGTTAATACAAACTGCAGAAAAGAAGAAAATAGAATTGAACAGATATCAAAATTAGGCTAGGTATGCTAAAGTGCACTCTATTATAGCTTAGAGGTATAAAACCATTTTGTCTTTCTCCCTGAGTACTCTATAAACTTACAAAGATAACATAATTATGGAGTCACTTTTTTGTTATAATAATTCTAAACAGTGTAGATTTAAGCACATTGAACTTGAGTCACGAAAGCATTACTTTACTTCTTATCACACTTGACATCTTACCAAATAAGATACCAAACCTTGTTTTACCTTCTTGGAGAGAGGGAACGTTGCTGTCTGGAAATTTCTGCAGTTTTGGACTTATTAGGCAACAGTTTCTGTGCCGTTGCTGGTAGTTGTACTGATTCAGATAAAAGCTCATTCATTAGATTGTATGCTTGTGAGATTCGACGACTATAGTGGTCAGAGAGTAGCAATCTTGAGACAAAGAATTAAATAACACTTAGTAAGTGTCACTATCAGTTTTATATTTCTAAAGGGAACATAGTGTTTGAAGACCACCTAGCATTTGTTTTTTTCAGTGCTTTTCAAATGCAATGCAAATTCAAATTTCACATTTCTGAAAACTATTAGGGAGTAATATCAAAGGTATTTTCAAAATCCACATACAGACCTGAATTGGGAAGAGGCAAACAGCAGAAATCAGTCATAAAAATGGAATGGAATAAACACTCCTAAGAAGGCTAGTGGAGGCTCACTATTTTCCTTGCAGTTATCTCCCAGCATTTTTTATTTGCTGACAAGAGGACTACTGCAGCCCACAGAATTCCTACAGCATTGTCTACCCCATGGATGAAAGGACGCTCAGGGTAAGCCACCAGACTCACCTGTCTTTTTCATGTTTCAGCTTTTGTCTCAGCCTGATTTCTCTTGAAGTCATGTAAAACTGCACAAGAGATATGCGATTAGCTCATTATTGTTCAGTTCAAGTAATCCACTACGACCCATGGAAAACATGAAAATTCTACTAATCAATTTTAATATGAAATTAAAACATAATTTTGCTATTTAGAAAACAGTGTCATATTTAATGGTGTTTCCTATTTCAGCACAAAACATAAAAATGTTAAAGAATATAATTAAAATAAAACCCAACTTAATAATAAATGAAATGCAGACTTACTGGATTGTTCCTGGGACAGAAAGGATCATGTTCCTGCCCTCTCTTTTCTGCCAGCTGGTGTAAGTACTCTGCCATTCTTTCTTTTCGCTTTCTTTTCATCCAGACTTGAATCTCTCTTCTCTGCTTCTCAGTTCTTTGTTGATGTCTACCAGAAGAACGCTGAATCCTGAGAAATTTAACAGTCGGGACCATGTGATTTTGAATTCATCACGGAGGTAAGGAGTATCACAACTAAACACTGTTTATTTGGAAATATTTTGACACATCACAAAAAGTAGCATAACATTTCTAATCTCTAGTTAATTGGATCCAATATCCATTGAAAATGCACTCAAAAAGGTACCAGTGGTCTCTCCAGTATTCTTCCTACTGGACTTCTCAATAACAGTCAATATAATTGGCTTTTCCTTTCTATTTTACACTCTCTTGCCAGAGTCTTTCCTCTAAACACTATGTAGTCTCCTACACTGCCTTCTTTCTTCTCTGCTCAATATTAGTATCTTTAAAAGTTTTTTTATGGGGCCTCCCCGGTGGCGCAGCGGTTGAGTGCTGGCTTGAGAAGCTGCCCGCAGCCTCTGCAGTGCCAGTTCAAGCCCGGCCACCGGGCAAGGGTCCCACATGGCGTGCAGACCTCTCCTGCCGCCCGCTGCTCCCCTCAGCAGTGTACTTCAGTCCTTCTGCCTGTTCTGCTCCCTGCTCTGGCTCTGGTGAATTCTCTCACCCTCTCGCGCTTCTGACTGTACCCAGTGCTTGTATAAATAAATAAATAAATAAATATTAAAAAAAAAAAAAATCACAGCAAGTTCTTTAAAAAAAAAGTTTTTTTATGGCCCTTTTTAAAAAAACCCTATAATCTATTCTTACATTATCTCAATCACTTTTAAAACATGAAACAGAGACAACTTCCAAGCTGCTGCACTTCTGGATACTCACATTTGTGTGCTGTACTTCCTAATGCTGGGCTAAGCTAGTGACTGAGTGTGGCAGGGATGCTGCGGTTGGCCCATTCCTGCAAGACAAGACTTCTCTGATAGGTGATTGGCTTGAGCTGAAACTTTTTTACAACTACACTGTATTCTGAGATTCTACCTACCCAGCCATCTCCCCTCTTTCCTTCACAAGGAAGGGTAAGACCTGCACAGTCCTGCTAATGAATCACTAAACTTGGGGTAATCCTGGGACTCCCCCCAGTACAGGGACAGACTTACACTGGCATTGCAGTCAGTCAGCGATCCCTGCATCTTCCTGGTTCCTCCTTTTTTCTCCCCTTTTAGAAGTTTCTCCAAATAAATCTCCAGCACATTTAAATTTTATTTTAGCACCTGCATTTTTTAAAGCTAACATACCAATAAATATTATCAACTGAATATTCTCCTGACACTTTATAACATATCTAAAAGTACATTCTCTATCTTGCTGAAAAAGTCACCATCAATTCAGTCACCCAATAATTTTCACTTCCTCCTGACAGCCTCCAGGTTTATCCATGCTGGTTACCCTACATTCTCCATTCTGAGCCACCTCATCTCTAGACCACTGAAGACCTCTAATTGGCTCTCATTTCTAGTTTAATCCATCTATTGCCTACAGATAAAGTAATGCCTCTAATTCCCCATTTGTTACCAGCACATCCGCCAGACACTCTTCTCCTGCATAATCTCCAGTCATATCTAACTCCCTGCCCCCACTGACAATTACATAACATTCTCTATCTAGAAATCTCTATCTTCACTTACAAGCCCATGAATTTATAGTGCTCTTTTATTTTTTTAAAGATTTATTTTTTATTTATACAAGAGCCGGGGTACAGGCCAGATGTATGGAAGGGTGAGAGGAGTCACCAGAGACAGAGTGGGGAACAGAACAGGCAGATTGACTGAAATACTCTGCTGAGGGAAGCAGTGGGCAAGACAAGAGAGGTCACCATGTGGGTTGCTCTGAAGCCAGCGGGGATCGAACTGGCACTGCAGAGGCTGCGGACAGCCTCACAGCACTGCGCTCAACTGCCTGCGCCACAGGGAGGCCCTCTACTGCTCTTTTGATAAACAGCTCAAATACCCAAACTGGAAAGCTGTCTTCTTTGTCTCTTTTATCCCTAGATACCTTAGCACACTAACACACTCTTACATTATACTATTTTTTTATAGTTCTACTTCCATCCAAGAGTAGAAGCAATATTTTATTTTTATTCTAGTTCTTTATTTAATACATTATTGAGGAGATATGTGTAACATGATCATTAGCTTTAATTAAAAAAAAAAAAGAAAATCCCTATATATGTGATTGAAGGTAACTAAATGTGTTTTAAAAGGAAGCAGGGACTATATGATCTTAATATGAGGTCATAAACAGTAGATAATTCCACTAATTGAAAAGAAATTGAGTTTTCTTTTTATATTATTTTCTAATAACAACCTTTTAAGTTCAGTTTCTATTCACAGGGTGATTATCTTAACTAAACTAGCCAAGAGAGTGTGCATTTCAGTGAAGCATTAGAAGAGAGCCAGCCTTTATTCTCTCAGGAACCAGGTTTTGGCCCAGGAAAGGTTACAGGGAAAAACATTTTATCCTAATGTTTCAAGGAAAGACTATTTCAAAGGTATTATAAGGGTTAATATTTGGGGCAAAGTACTATGAACAAAATTATTTACTACTTCTAAAAAATAGAATTAAACCTATGTTGTACTAAGATTGACGAGAATTTGGGAAACACAGGATATAGCTATGCTTCATTAGTTAAATAAACCAGTCTAAATACTACTGAGGGAGGGAAGCAGAATGACACATAAATGTCACAAAATGTATTTACAAAGAAAAAGAAATCTAAGCTTTGAATTTGCTTCATAAAAATCTATTAAAATATAGGCAGCTTTGAATATTCTTGATCCATAAATATTTTAAATGGGTTACAAATGAATTATTCATTGATTACCTGGAGATACTCCTAGCTTGTTGTTCTGTTAAACCAAGCTCTTCACTAGAAACTCCATCTTTTGTTATAAGGTCATCAATAATGTCTGCAATATCAGTCAATCCAGTCATCTGAAGAGGATCTGAAATACTTCAAATTCAAGAAATATGTCAGTATCTATAACTTAATTATAGTAAGCAAATATGAACATGTAAAACTATGCTCTTCAAGGGCATAAATGATTAACAAAAATTATTCTTCTATTTTTTTAACTCCAGTATCCCGCCATGGAAAAAAACTAATCATCAGTAATGGGTGATTTCATCCGTGCTTTTAAAAAAGCAAACATAAGGCCCAAGAGAAAACCTCTACAGGTCCTGCCTGCTGAAAGGTAATTCCTAGTAAAAGAAATGTAGCAAATGAAATCTATTGTACTCTAATTACCTATGCTGAAACAGTGAGGGATATTACAAACCTCAGTTTCTTAAAATATTCCAATTCCAATGGGCATTTTTTATTTGCATCGTTTAAGATGCAAAATATGTAGTGCAGAAATTCACATACATATAAAACAATTTCCAGAACACATAATACATATCCATCTTGAAGTAATTTGTACATTCTTAAGATAGTTACCATTCAGGGGCCTCCCTGGTGGCACAAGGGGTTAAGACACAACTTAATAGTGCTATCTGCAATCTGCAACCACTGCAGCACGAGTTCAATCCCGGGCCTGCCAGAGAGCAACTCACATGGCGCAGCAGACCTCTCCTGGCTTGCCGGCTGCTCCCCTCAGCAGGGTACTTTAATCTGTTCTGTTTCCCATTCTGTCTCTGGTGAATCCTCATCACCTCCCACACCTCTGGCCTGTACCCCAGCTCTTGTATACATAAATAAATAAATCTTTTTTAAAAAAAAATGATATTTAGGGCCTCCCCGGTGGCGCAGCGGTTGAGCGCTGGGTTGCGAAGCTGCCCGCAGCCTCTGCAGTGCCGGTTCGATCCCCGGCTGCTCCCCGGCCACCGGAGGAGGGTCCTACATGGCGCGCAGACCTCTCCTGCCGCCCGCTGCTCCCCTCAGCAGTGTACTTTGGTCCTTCTGCCTGCTCTGCTCCCCGCTCTGGCTCTGGCGAATTCTCTCACCCTCCCGTGCTTCTGACTGTACCCTGTGCTTGTATGTATAAATAAAACAAACAAATAAATAAATCTTTAAAAAAAAAAAAGATATTTACCTCTCAAATAACTTGCTACTGTTATTCACACCTAAAAAAAGAAACAGTATTATTAGTAAAAATTTCAGGTGACTTAGTTTTTCTAGTTTGAATTATTAACTTGATTTATAAATTATATAACCAGAAATTGAAATATTTCTAAACCTCCAATTTTATTTTTTCTCCTTGAAGAGTTTTTTTTTTTAATTTAATTTTTTACATCATTGTTCATTTTTAAACAAGATTTGCTCCCCACACCCCCCACCCCGGTATAGTCCTCATAGAGTTTCCTTCCCCAGTGCACCTGTGCACCATCACCTCAATCCCCTGTGCTCCTCCCTCCCTCTCTCTGATCCCTCTCCCTCCTCCTCCCCTGTAGGATGTCTCTGATTTATAATTGTCTGCTTTCATTTTGTTGTGTTTTGTACTGTTATTATTTTTTACACTGATGTCTTATTTGGTTCCCCTATATTTCTGCTATAAGTGAAACCATCCGATATTTTTGTTTTTCCTTCTGACTTATTTCACTGAAAATAATCCCTTCTAGTTCCATCCACGTTGCTGCAAATAGCATTTAAAGATATATTATGTATATAGCATATTCATACTCCTCTTGAATATACTACTTAGTAGTGAATATTATCCACATTTTAAGGCTATTACTTATCTATACAGAAAAATAGAAATATACACTTCAGAAAGTACAATCTTTCTTTGCTTTCCATAGTACATAGTTTAAGATACTAGAGTGCAATTTACTAAAAACAACAACAAAAGCAAACGTCTGATGATCTTTAAGTAATACATTTGGAAATACATCTAATTTAAATGCAAGAAACCTTTACTTGGAAGGTAAAGTATGATCCAAAAATAATTTTAAGCCTTATCTAATATTAACTACATGTCTTTATAGCAAAACACACATCTAGTCAATTTTCTATTATGTCTACCCTCATAGGAAATTGAGTTAATTTAGGAAAAAGTATTCTAACATCTCATCACAAAAACATGTCCTTGTTAAGCTTTATCTCATACATAAGTTAGATTTATCTCATACATAAGTTAAATCCACCCATTCCCTAAGACTTATACTTAACATGTTTTTAATATTAATAATTTGCTTTTTTAGGCACATGTTGTTTTGCTTTATTTATTAATCCCCAAACCAAGGATTTTACATTATTTTCAGAATCTGGGAATTTGTGAGTTCTTAATAAAAATTAACTAATTTAACTATATTTTTAATGATTTATTTATGCACACAAGAACTGGGGTGTAAGCCAGAGGTGCGGGGGAGGGTAAGATGATTCAACAGGGAGAGTGGGGAACAGACCAGGCAGATCTACTGAAATACACTGCTGAGGGAAGCAGTAGGCAGGCGAGGCAGGAAAGGTCTGCTGCACCATGTGGGTTGCTCCTCAGCTGGCCAAGGATCGAACTTGTGCCAATTTGTGCCATAGTGGCTGGTGATAGCTTGATAGCACTGTCTTTTTACCCCTGCGCCATTTAAATATTAAGAAAAGCCTCACCATGGCAAAGCAGACCTCTCCTATCTTGCCCACTGCTCCCCTCAGCAGTGTATTTCAGTAGATCTACCTGGTCTGCTCCCCACTGTCTCTGGCAAATCCTCTCACACACACCCCACCTCTGGCCTACATCACAATTCTTGTATGCATAAATAAATACAATAAATCTTTTTTTAAAAAGCCTCAACTACTGAAAGAAAAACTGAAAATGGTGTAAGTATAGATCAAAACAGATAGATATAAAAGGTCTGATGACAACTAAGAAATGAAAATCCTTTTATAATAGAGAAAGAATTATATTCAAATAGAAACCTTTAAAACTGGTTATACAGGAAAATACTAATCTTACTTTAATTTAATTTTTTAAGATTTATTTATTTATTCATACAAGAACTGGGGTATAAGCCGGAGGTGTGAGAGGTGAGATGATTCACCGAGGCAGAGTAGGGAGCAGAACAAGCAGACTGACTGAAATACACTGCTGAGGGGAGCAGTGGGCGAGTCAGGAGAGGTCTGCTGCACCATGTGGGTATCTCCCTGGCCGGGTATTAAACTCATGCTGCTATGGCTGCAAATAGCTTCCTTCATAGGTTGTGTCTTAACCCCTCGCGCCACCAGGGAGGCCCTATTTTAAAACCATTTTTTGAATGCTTTCACAATTTACTAAATAATATCAGCTTCATTCCTTGAAAACCACAATTCCCTTTTTAAAAAATTTCGAACAATGAACTTATCCTAATAATCTACTTCATTTGCCAGAAATGCATCTAAATAACTTATGGCTATTACCAAAAATGAAATCCATCCTCAGTGAATAAATTCTGTGACATTATTTAGAATACTCAGAATAATGTGCTAAATAGTACTCAAATTCTAAAAAGGAAATCAAAGCTATTTTTCAGCAGTAGAAAAGAAAGAATATACATCTTTCCCAAGATAAACTTTGGAAAAGAAAACATGTTAGGGCAACTAAATTCTGTACTTTAAAAAAGTATTAATTTGGTTTCATTTTAAATTTGTGTTATGCCATTTATTGAGATTTCTCCTTTTTTTCTTTTGTGCATCCTAATTTAAGAGCTTTTACAATCCTGAATGAATCACCTCCTTAACCTGATACTTTCAATTTGTCTTTTCCTATTACTTTCTTTTCCTCTGCCTTTAAACATTAAAGAGTGCATACGTATACCCATCTTTGTCTTTATTTCCCTTGTCTTATAGCTCACGTTTCCATTTCCTTTTACTGTCACAATTGTTATGTAGTCTAAATTTATAGCTTCTTTTAACCTGTTTCTAACCTGCATTGGGGGACCTACTTGTTTCTGATATTACATTGTAAGTCCCCAGAGTCCTTAAAACTTGGTATTCTTGACTTTTTATCAGCATGTGATATTGTTAGTCTCTCACTTTTTCTTGAAAATCCCTTCATCAGCATCTGCTCATCCATTTCCAGCACTGAGGAGGCTCCCCGTAGATTCTAATGGTGACTATTCAGAGGGTAGTTTTTAGTATTTTTTTCCCCTTCCTTCTTTCTTGCAGAAAAATGTTGCACTTCCTAAGTCTTAACTATATCAAGTAAAATGTTATTGTATCTGTTGTTCAAGCCCAAACCTCTCATAAAGTTCTACTACTTTGTGAAAAACTGGGTCCTACACATGGGCACCCATGTACCCCACCATCACCTTAAACTGTTATGTTTAGTTTCAAAGGACATCAGTCATATGTGTATCTGGTGATACAGTACAGCCATTCGTTGTCACCTTCTCTTTTCTCTGTGTAATTTTGAGTACCATCAGTTACCTCTGTAGAATGCCTCCTTTTTCTTTTCTTTTCCTACAACATGACCAGGCCCTCATTATTTCAAAGGTCAATTTAATTTAATAGCTCACTAACTCTATGCCTCCATGCCAGTCTTCCTCAAAAACTCATTTTATTTCTCTGCCCAGAATTCTTCAACATATTTCCCAAGTATAAAATGGAGCTTAAACTTTCCAGATACAATTAGAACTGTCTACACCCTACCCTCATAATCCTGTTTAACTTTATTAGGCAATTCTTCCCCATAAAAGAGAAGAAGAAAGTTACCAGTGACCAAGAACTAACAGGAATGAAACATTCTCAACAAGATGCTTTACATACAACACTCAAATCTTCACATGAACTCTGTGAAGAAAAATAATTATTCTATATGACAACTACTAAAACGTAAATGGAATCTAGAAAGAATTTAGAGAAGATAATTATAAGATTTAAAGCCAGCTTCTCAACATTTTTTTACTCAAACAGAAATGCAATTTAAAATTAGAATCTTTAAACCATCTACATTATTTTAGTAATGGTAATAAAAATACATTGTTAACATCCAATAAATCACCACTATTGATAGCCAATATCTGAGGGCAAAAAATTTTTTTTCAAAGTCACTGTCAGTAGTTCTAAGTTGCTGTTGTATTTACTACACCCCATTATATGTATGACAAAATGAACTCATTAGGACTAGTACATTTAATTGCCAGCACCAAAAGAAATGGAGCGAAATGTGACCAACTTTTCTAAGTCTAAGGTTAGTCAACTGTAAAATGGGAATGATTATAGTCACAGGTCAGGCCTAAACCAGTGCTGATGTATATAGAACACCTTGAGCACGGTAGAGGCTCAATAAATTATAGCCATTATTTCGCTTTCATTATTAAAACTCAATGTTCTCATAATTGGCAGAGTTTGAATTTATTGCTATTTATAAAACATCAGTTATTAAGGTAACTCTATTTACTACTGTTAAGATTAATAAGTTACACAGACATATGACACGTACTCGCAGTACATCTTATGAAGGTGACAAGAAGACATAAAGGGAATAGCATGATTTTTAATTTCCTGTCCTCTGAAATTTATAAATATTGCAAGATGGCTTCACAAATCCTTCATAACTATATTCCCAATGATTACTCTTGGTAACATTATACTGAAAAACAAGTGTATCAATGAAAAAAGTGGAGAGAAATACCAGGAGAAGTTGTATTCTGGTCACTGGAAAGGCTGATAGCTGACTCGGCAGAGGGAAACACACATGTTTTCTGACTAGATTGAGTTTCTGTTACTGAAAATTCTGAAGTCTCTTCTTTATCACTTTGATCTTGCTTATCCATGTGAGTTGGGAAATGCACTAACCAAAGTACATATTAAAATGAAAAGAAAACAGAGAGAGAAAAGTCACATGGAAAGATTTTAACAATTTCTAGGGCAACAGTTATATTAGAAATTTGTAACTTCTATAATGCAAACATTTAATAGAATATTTAAAATCAAAACTCTCCCATAGTAAAATTAATTTTAAATTGTTTCATCTTCTGAAAACATGGTCAACTGCGATAAACAGGCAGGTCCATGCCCTGTTATAAAGAACACAGAAATGCTAAATTTAAAAAAAGAAAAGGAATATTATACCACCCAAGTGCTATAAATAAAGAAATTCCCTGACGGCAGAAAAGCAAAAGGAACTTTAAGCGGGGTAACAAGCAGGCAATGATACTGAGATAATCCCCAGTGGAACAGGGGATGTGGTCTCTGTAGCTTATAGTAAGGGGAGTGGACCTACCTTCATCCCAGATGACTGCAGGCAGCTCTGTCCTTAAAGTAAGGATAAGAAAAAAGTCTGCCCAGGAGAAGCAGCAAAGATTTTTATCTGCCTGGACAGTATATGGGAGAAGTCTAGTCTGAGAAATCAAAACCCCTGTCTTGCTATAAGCAGGTAAGAGATGTGAATTTATATTATACAATATAAGTTTTATTATCTATTTATAATGGCTGTAGGCTTGTGATAGGTGGCCTTATTATGTTAACCTAGGTTCCTTCTATTTCCATCTTAAGAGATTTTATCATAAATGGGTGCTGAATTTTGTCAAATGTTTTCTCTGAATCTATTGATATTATCATGATTTTTTTCTTTTATTGACCTATTACATTGATTTCCATTTATTAAACCACTCTTGCATCCCTGCAAGAAATTCCATTTGATCATGATGTTTAATCCTTGTAATATTGAATTCAATCTACTAGTATTTGTTGATTAATATTCATCGGGGATTTGGTCTGTAGTTTCCTTGTGCTGCCTTGGACTGGTTTTGGTATTAGGGTAATGTTGACATCATAAAATGTAGTAGAAAAGCATTCCCTCTTCTTGAATTTCTGACAATAATTTCAACAAAATAAGCATACATTCTTCTTTAAAGCTTTAAGAGAATTCACTCATAGAACTTTCTGGCCCTGGACTTCTCTTTTGGGGGAGGTTTTTATTACTGTTTCATTTTCCATGATTGGGGTCAGGTTTCTTTGTTTAATTTTGGTAAAATATTGTTCAATAAGTATATTTCTACAAGGTTATCAAATTTATTTGTAAATAGCTGTTAATAGTACTTTCTTATCCTTTGTATTTCTGTAGTAACTTCTCTTTCAGTACGTATTTTGTTTATTAATGTTTTTTCTTTTCTGTTAGCCTAGCTAATGGTATATCAATTTTGTTTATCTTCTCAAAGAACCAACTCTTAGTTTCATTGATATTTTGCACAATCTTATTGGTTTCTATTTTATTTATTTTCATTCTTATTGCTATTATTTCTTTCCTTCTAACACTGTGTCTTCTTTGCTCCTCTTTTCAAATTACTTTAGGTGTAATATCAAGTTATTTATTTGGGATTTTTTCTTGCTTCTTAATTATATGCAATCATTTCCCTCTTAAGATCACTTTATTGCATCCCATAAGCCTTAAAAGCATGAATTATAAACTACTTTGATATGCACAACATCAAAACATGGTACATATCAACACTCTTCTCTCAGTCCTTGCAGAAACATTCCAGCATATATATTAGGAAAAAAAAAAGTCATGAAAAAACAGGAAATTAAGTAGAAATCAGAAGAAATAATAAAGCTAAGAGTAAAAATTTATGAAAAGGAAAATTAAGAAATAGAAAATACCATTTTAATAAACCAAAACCTGATTTTTTCAAAATAACAAATTACTGACAAGAATGAGAGAACATAAATATAAACAACTAAAGGGAGAGTAGAAATATTTTTTAAATAACTCCCTATTGTTCTTTCATTAAGAAATGCAGAAACTCAATACTTCACTATTGCCTGGTCATTTAACCAGAACCTCAAATTCCAGCTCAGCTCATGACCAGGTAAAAAGCTCTGTGCAATCCTCAGCAGGGGTGCTAGTGGCGTAGAGTCTCAAAAACTAAGATCTAGCCTACACTACTCCACCCTGTAATAAAAGTCAGAAAGGTTATAACATTGGCTCTGCAAGAAAAAAACATGGCCAATCACAGTATCACAAAAATAATACTAATCTAAAACTAGGGGGGGGGTCATGTAAACTATCTCTAGTTCTAGTACTCCAAAAGGCAATGCTTATTCCTTCAAAGCAAGGCTTTAAGTCCCAGCCCCATTCCACCACAAACCTTCACAAATGCTAATGGCTTTTGAAGCCAATGCTTTTTCAAACTCAGGGCCAAAAGACAATTCAGTGGGATCCATGGGTTCAACCTGTAAAAACACACACACAAAATAAATGTTATAAATTATATAGTTTTATAATTTCAAGTACCATAAACAATTTAAGTAGGTCTTAAACATTTGTATTAATTAAACAAATGAAAGAAATGGGATTAAATCCAAAATAAGCTAAAAGGTAGGGACTGATGGCAAGGAAGACATTTTTATTTGCTTGTGAAGTTCTAACAGTCTTTTTGTTTTTTTGATGTGCGACCTCTGAACTTTTTATTGACCTTCTCCCCAAAGGGTGTCCCACTTCTGCTGCCTCAACACCTCAGAACTTTGGTATCAAAGTGTTAGACAACACTTTCCTATCCATAATTCTGCAGGTGGTGATCATTTAGATGGTTTGCATGGAGCTGCTGATGTCCTGGACATCACCAAAATTGAAGTCCTCCCCATCTTTTAGCAGGTGAGGGTAGGTAGTGAACTCAGCCTCCAGCTTGACCTTGATGTTCAGCAGGCACTCGTACTCCTGGGACTGGACCAGCTCTGACTCTAGGTGCAGCGGACTCCCACTGAGCTGCTCCATCAGCATGGCATAGTGGACTTCAATCTCCCTCAGACTATTCTCCAAGCTGGCCTTCAGATTTCTCTGAAGAAATCCAGGTTGATCTACAAGGACTGGACTATGCATCTCAGGTCCCTGAGGGTCATCTTGGTTGTTTTAGCTCAGTTATCTGCATGGTGACTTCTGTGGTAATCTCCTTAATCTGATGGGACCAGAATTTGTCCATTTCCTTGTTTCTTCAGGGCCAGCTTATCATACTGGGCCCAGATGATATTGCTGAAATCCTAAGACTTGGGGACATCTACCTCCATAGTAAACACATAGTTGGCGATCTGAGTTTGTAGATCTTTTACTTCCTCCTCGTGGTTCTTCATGAAGAGCAGCTTCTACCTGAGAGGCTTGATTTCCATCTCCAGCTGCAGCTGGTGACCTTGGTGTCATGAGTGACCTTGCAGAGCCCATGGATGTTTCTCCCCACAGATGGCAGATGGCCAGCTCCATCTCATACTTGACTCTGAAGTCATCAGCAGCAAGATGGGTGTTGCCAATTTGCATAATTATGCAGACATTTTCCACAGAATTCACAAAGGTACGAACCTCAGCTCATTGGTGGTCTTAAAGAAATGCCCCAACATCTGATCGAGGGTCCCTTCTTCTCCAGGTATTCCCAGATTTTGCTTTCTAGTCTCCACTTATCCTCCAGTCTCCTCACCCTCTCTAGGTAGGAGGCCAGGCAGTTATTCTGGTCTTACACAGTCTCCCTTTCACCCTGGATGGTCCCTATGCTGTCCAGACTCACAGTTATCCCAGAGGCCAGGCTCCCAGAACCCCAGCCACCCTGGAAGCTGGAGGAGCAGGACACAGATCTGGGTGTCTGAGCCTCCAGCACCTGCATAGACTTGGCTGCAATGGTGACCAGCCGGACAGGGTGGCTGGGTGACTGCAGAGAGCCCAGATTAGATAAGTGGAGTGGGTGGTAAAGTTCATGCTGTTTGAGTGGGAAGACAATAAGTTATAACAATTTTGCTGAAGAAAATGATATACAAGTATGTGCATGATGACTAAGCCAGTGGTTCTCAGCTGGCGGGAGATGTGATCTTATCTCCTAGGGGATATTTGCAAATGTCTGGAGATAGTTTTATTATAGGTGGAGGGAAAGCTACTGACAGCTAGAGGGTCAAGTCCACCAAATGTCCTATAAAGCAAGGGGCAGCTGCCCATAACAAAGTACTAGGTGGTCCAAATGTCAATAATGCTAAGGTTAAGAAAACGCACACCCTATTATTTTGAAAAACCAAGTATTTAAAATATCACACTTGGGCCTCCCTGGTGGGGCAAGGGGTTAAGCATAGCACTATGAAGCTGTCCACACCTACTGCAGCATGAGTTCGATCCTCAGCCAGGGAGCTACCCACATGGTGCAGCAGACCTCTCCTGACTCACCCACTGCTCCCCTCAGCAGTGTATTTCAGTCAGTCCACCTGTTCTGCTCCCCACTGTCTCTGGTGAATCCTCTCACCCCCCACACACACCTTTGACCTGTACCCCAGTTCTTGTCTGCATAAATAAATAAATAGTTAAAATAATATCACACTGCATTATCTAATAACTTGATAACAAAATAGTCTACCTTATCGCAATGTTGGTCTAGCATTTCATTCCTGGGGAAATTCTGTTCTATGTTTTCAGCAATGTTCTGTATTGCTAAGAGCTGTTCATCAATTTTCAGAAGCTTGGAGGTGAGATGCTCTAGTTTGTGAGCTACAGAGTGTGATACAGGAGGAGCGACAGAGACATCCTGCAGCAGTTCCCACAGCCGATCATCTCGTGCAGCATAGGACTTGGAGCTCCGTTCTTTAGATGGGAAATCTGGTTTTGGCATATCTAAATACAGATAAAGGTAACATCAAAATTGATTGTAATTAAGTAAGAAGTAGATGTTTATAACCTAATATTTTTGAAGACCTCATTTTAAGTCAACCTAACAGCCCTTTTCAAATCAGCTTTAATATACTTAGAAACACCACTTCCATTTTCCCTTTTCCCTCTCCCCCAAATAACTCTATCCATGCCCATACCCCATCAGGCTCCCCCCTATCCCTTCCACCCTCTCCCCTACTCCCTCTGGTACTATTTCAATTTCGTGACTTCTGAGACTTGTCTTTTTGTGAGGGAAGAATGCATAACAACGGTACTATTACCCCACGCTCCTTAGGCAAGGCAGTTTGAATGTTACTTCTATCCTCTGCTACAAAATTTGCTTCATCACAAGACAAGTTTTAATATTTTCATGACTTTTGAAAACCAACAATGTCACAGCAAAAGTGAGGCCAAATAATGTTAGCCATTACTGACTCTATGGTGTATCTCAGGCAAATAATAAACTCTCAAGACTAATATCAAAGTCAATGACTCTCTTTACTCAAATTTAGTTGATTCTTGTCCCAAATTTGAAACACGTGCTTTAAATAAGTTCTTCTGACTTCTGGGGCTCTTCCTGATATCCTGCTCTTCCTTCTTAGTAGTATTCTTGGTCTTCTCTTTGCCACCCACTCCTTTTACCCAGCACTCTTTCCTCCGTGAGACTCAGCTCACTTCTCTTCTTACTCTACGAGCCATGCTCTCTGAGTGATGTCCCTGATGCACAGGGGACTCCTAAATCCATACAGCACTTGCTGCGAGCTCTAGCCCCTTAAGTCTGTCTGTATCCTGAATATCTAATTCAGGTTATCCCGAAAGTGTATCAAATCAAACTCATCTCTTCTGCCCTTCCAACTGGCTCCCTTAGCTTAATGAATATCACTGTCATTGACCGAAGTTCACCAAGTCAGAGGCCTGAGCGAATCATTCAAGGTTCTTCTCTTTCTTTCAGACACAAAGTGAACACCAAATATTAATGACACCAAATGTTCAACCTACCAAGTATCTCCATTCCCACACATAGACCTCCAATAGTAGCCATACCTAATTTATTTCATTCCTATCTAGTCAAGCTTCCACACAGGCTCCAGAGAAATCCTTTAAAACACAAAATCTGATATTGTGCCTTTTCCACTTTTTCTCTAATGCCTTCACCCTTAAAGTTCACATGCCTCAGTATGAGACAATGGCATTCACTTGTTACTCTGCCCACACCTCCAATTCATCTGCAAAAAAAACCAGAAACCAAAACTCCACTGACTCCAAAGCATACTGAACTTTAAATTTTCTCAAACTCAGCAGGTTCTAGCAAACCTCTGAGTCATTGCACTAAGATATCTCTATCTATAGGCCCTTTTTTCTGTAAACCTATTTGCTAAAACCTCTTTTTTTTTCACTTGATTCTTTTTTTTATTTTTTTAAATAATAAATTGTATTTTTATATTCCCCATACAATTGCAACCCCCCCATTCTGACCCCAATCCCTCCCTTCCCGCCCCCCACCCCCCAAAAAGTGTCTCTGGTTCATAGTTTTTTGTTGATTTTGATTTTCACTTTCTTATAGTTATTCATTTTCCTGCTCTCTTATTTAAGTTTTCTAGATTCCTGCTATGAGTGAGACCATCCGGTATTTTTCTTTTTCTTTCTGGCTTATTTCGCTGAGCATGATCCCTTCCAGCGCCATCCATGTTGCTGCAAATTGCATGTGTTTATCTTTTTTGAATGCTGAGTAATATTCCATGGTGTATATGTACCACATCTTCTTGATCCAGTCATCTATTTTTGGGCATTTGGGTTGTTTCCAAAGCTTAGCTATTGTAAACAGTGCTGCTATAAACATAGGGGTGCAGGTGCTCTTTGGAATTGATGTTTCTGTGTCCTTTGGGTAAATACCTAGGAGTGGAATTGCTGGATCATATGGAAGCTCTATGTTTAGTAGGTCCAGAAATCTCCACACAGCTCTCCATAGTGGTTGGACCAGTTTGCATTCCCACCAACAGTGCAGGAGAGTTCCTTTTTCTCCACAACCACGCCAACATTTGTTGTTGCTAGTTTTTTTAATATGTGCCATTCTCACTGGTGTAAGATGGTATCTCATGGTAGTTTTGATTTGCATTTCCCTGATTAGGAGTGATGTTGAACATTTTTTCATATGCCTGTTGGCCATTTGCATTTCCTCTTCAGAGAAGTTTCTTTGCTAAAACCTCTTTTCCTTAAAATTTTACTTGTGTGTCTCCCCCTACATAGCACTAGTCCTCTCTATCGATGTATTAGATGTTTTGCCCCAAGAATCTCATCTATGCCACTATCATAGCATTCATGTCGTATCATAATCATCCCTTTATTTCTCTTTCTTTCCCCATCAAGGAGGGCCCAAGGGGCAGAGAGCCTAGTATTACTCTCTTCTTTAGACCTGTTACCTGATCACTAAGTAGTGTTTATGGAATAAAGAGTCAAATGAGGATAACGATGCCTGTCTTACCTGACCATATAGATTTTGGTAAAGATTAAATTATGTGACAGAATACTATGAAAAATGTGAAATGCTAAGCAAATGTAAATATTGTTTATCATATTTCAGTCCCAGTCGAAGGTGAACCTTCCCATGAGAAGACAATGGTAAATTCAAATGCTCACAGTGGCAATTAATCTTTCCCTACCTGTTTTGGCGCTACCTTTTTTAGCTTGACTTTCACAGTATTTTACTATCTATCTTTCCTTCCTCTATGTAGTATATACATATGTTAATTCTCACATCTGAAACTTAATACAATGTTTTTAAGATAATGCGTTATATCAACAACAACAAAAAAGAATTAGGTAAACAAGCTTCAAGTAGAAAGTAAAATAAAAAAGATGAATATACTCACAATCTAGAATGGCTTACATGAAAGCATCACCTATAGGAGGGTTGAATACTGAGTTTCATTGCTCCTTCTCCACCAACATAGCAAAATCTCTACTTGCTATTACTATAGTATGTGATAGATATTTCTAAACTAGATAGTATTTTTACTCAAAATACTGAGCAAGTCGCCACTCAAACAGGAATTTACAGTTTGATTTACTTTTGTTTTTTGCTTCAACACCAAGGAACCATGTCTCTCACGTCTACTAACCTTATTATATAATGCAAATCCCATTCAACTCTACTGTATGATTATATTCCAAATCTTTAGGAGTACTATGTAAATATTATAGTGGTATTTTAATTTCAAAATATAAAACTCTTTCTTTTAAATTGGTATTTTAAAGTTCTTTCTTTCGCAAGGGTAGAGAGATACACTTGCTAGTCTAAGGCAGTTACCCCAAAGAAGGATCCAAAAGGTTGATTACAGACTTGATTTCACCGATAGAGGAAATTAAGCTGTAGCTTATGGTTATCTGAAATGCTAGTATAGTATTCAGGGTCACAGGGAGATGAGTCTGGTTCCAATTTGTCCAAATTTCAAAAGTTGATTGGGATGAAAATAAGGTAAATTCATAGAGTACCTAAGTAGCCCCAGGTATTTTGCTAGATGTAACACTCATGATAACCCTGTGGACTTTTCTCCTACAAAGATACAAATGAGGATACAAGTTAATTTACTTGCAAAATAGCCTCCAAGCTATTAGTGACAGAGTTGGGATTGAAATGCATGTCTGTTCTATTTGAATCTACAAGCCTAACTTTTTTCATTTCCCCACATACTTCCCAAGGCTGAAAGATTGTTAGTTTTCATACATTCTCCCAGCCATGGCTCTCCTACCCAGCAACACTGTAACAGGAAAGAAAGGAGGAAAGGGCTTCAAGATCTGAAAGTGTCAATTTTATATGCAGCTTTAACCTACAGGCTTCCACACATCTTAAGGTGAAGTTTCTCTGGCATCCATCCCTTCTAATTGCTCCTGCCATCTCCTGAGTACACATTGTTGATACACAGACAATGCTGGACTCTGCACCCAAGCATCTGAGAACCATAAGATTGAGTCCACTGTCTCCTAACAGCTGTGGAGCCAGAAGAGACACTGAGTCTCTGTTGTAGGAAGTGTGACTGTATATTATTCACAGGATGTAGTAACTTTAGATTCTGAAGAAATATTCTTTTAAATTTTGAAATATTTTATAATATACAATCTGATGTATGAGTATTAAACTGAATAAGTTACTCATAAAGTCCTGTTTGCCATTATGTATGCTGGCTATGATGGCTATCTTCTATGTGCTATTCTAGATTTCCTGACCTTTTAAATTTGAGCTCCCTCTTTAATACCAAACACTTAATGAATTTCCACAGGATACTCATTTTTTGCCTCATTAATTAAGAAAATATTTATGCACAAATAGATCTGTAGTCTCCTTGCAAAATATCTAAGGGCTCCTACTTTGCAACACAACCTCTATCTCGCTTGCCTATCTGTACCCACTCTCCTAAGCAAAGAAAATGTCCTTTTTTTTTTTTTTTAGTTTCTCTTGTATTTACAAAGTTTTAGTAATTATTTCTAGTATAAAAGTAATTTAAGGGTAAAAATCATGCTATATGTCCAGGGCACTCACCTGTGTCCTGGGGAATGTCTGATGGTGCAGGGGAGGTGATACTAGGCTCCTTCACTTCTGTAATGGTTTCTCTCCACCTTCTTCCATTCAGACAGGATGGAGACACTTGTGCAGGTTTAAGAAATAAATCCACAGAGGTATTGGCAGATTCTGTCAAGTATATGGAAAGCAAACAAAGATTCTAAACTTCTAAACGAGGGATTCAGAAAATTAACGAGACAGTTCTGAATGTGAATATTAACATCCAAAGTACAGCATGTTTGCAGGCGGAGAGCTAAGACAGGCAACAAAGCTCTGTTAAAGAATTCCTCAAAATACATGTAATTTGTTTATAAAGTGAAAAAATCATTACCATGATTCTTAAAATTGTGCAGGGGAATGGCTTTGGTAACTGAGGCTGCCATATAATGTAGCTCTGCAGAAGAAGGGACTTCAAGATGACCATTTTGCTGTTTTATAACATTATCTGAAGGCTCTTTCCTGACAGGTAATTCCTGTAGAAGATCATCAGCTTCAATGTCAATCACATTTATATAAGTGTGTCCAACCTGAGCAAAACAATATAAAATCAGAAGGGATTACATTCTTTTTCTTTACACGGCCATTCCGCCTGCTTTCCTCCCCACCTCGCAAGAGGTAAGGAGAGCTCATGTGAACCTAATTTAAGTTTCAGGAAGTAGAGGTCATGTTGCTACTCTAGAATATCTTAAATATTATTTTTTTTTTTGCCAAATGAGGTTTTTAGCCTCATTTTATCTATACAGTTGGCTAAAGCCAGTGACCATAACAAAACCTCTGAATAAAACACAAAGCAAATTTAGCACCGTTTCACAGGCTGAAGGTGACAAAGATTTCTCTGGTATTTCAGTGGAAAACTTGAGATCTAGATGCACGTCTGGTTGAGGAACATTCAAAAGTTCATGTTCTAAAAATTAAGAAAAATCAGAATATTAAAAAAAATCTGTAAATAGCTCTAAGTCATTAAGTCTGTAAAAATAAATTAACAAATAAACAACATAAAATATTTTTTTAAAAATCTAAGGGAGGGCCTCCCTGGTGGTGCAGCCAGGTGAGCGCCGTACTGTGAAGCTGTCCGCAGCCTCTGCAGCATGGGTTCGATCCTGGCTGGCTGGCGAGGGTCCTACATGGCACAGCAGACCTCTCCTGACTCGCCCGCTGCTCCCCTTGGCAGTGTATTTCAGTCAATCTGCCTATTCTGTTCCCTGCTCTGTCTCTGGTGAATCCTCTCACCCTCCCGCACCTCTGGCCTGTACCCCGGCTCTTGTATAAAAATAAATAAATCTATAAAAAAAGAAAAAAAGAAAAAGAGAAAAAAAAGAAAAAAAATCTAAGGGACTTGTAACTAAATTATATAAAGATATTCTACCAGTAAATTATAAGACATAAAACAACCAATTTTAAAACAGGCAAAGGATTCTTCTCCAAAGAAGACATACAAAAAAAAAAAAAAATCTAAGTAGAAGTATTCCAAGGGCAGTTCACTCTAGAGTAATTTCTAACTGAATGAAGACTATTGCTTATCTCATGATACATAAGAATTATCTTATAAATGATTCACAAAAACAATGAAGTATCTAAATAGTGTCAAGCAAATTTTATAGTTGCCTATTTCCATTTCTGATTGATTGATTTTAAGAGCTTTGTTGAGCTAGAATTCTTATCCTTTAAATGGTAAAAAAAAAAACAAAAAACCTGCTTATTTATAGAACCCATAGCTAAATTTTACCAGTTAAAATTTTATTTTATTTTTTTTAAACATTTATTTATTCATGCATACAAGAACTGAGCTACAGGTCAGATGCACAGGAGGGTGAGAGAATTCACCGAGACAGAGTGGGGAACAGAACAGGCAGACTGACTGAAATACACTGCTGGGGGAGCAGCGGGTGAGACAGGAGAGGTCTGCTGCGCCATGTGGGATTCTTGCCAGCCGGCCAGGATCGAACCAGCGCTGTAGAGGCTGTGGACAGCTTCGCAGCTCTGCGCTCAACCGCCTGCACCACCAGGGGAGGCGCCAGTTAAAATTTTAACATCTAAATTTTATAAAAGCCATTACCTTCTATTCCTAAGTAAACCAGACACTAACCAAAAAACTAGGGAAAAAGGTGAAAATAATTTATTATAGCTAAAACTATGGAAACAACCTAAGTGTCCCAGAACAGTTGAGTGGATCAAGAAGATGTAATATATATATACAAAATGGAATATTACTCAGTGATCAAAAAATATAAACCCATTGAGGCAACATGGATGCAGCTTGAAAGCACAATGCCAAGCAAAATAAGTCAGAAGGAGAAAGATAAACACTGGATGGTGTCACTAATATATGGGATAGAAAGTAACTAAATAAATCACATAAAGACAAGCTGAAAAACTAACACTCGATAGTTGACTACAGAACTGAGACACCAAGGCGGGGAAGGGTTGGGAGAGGGAAAAGAACAAGGAGGGTGAGTGAGAGGAGAGAAGAAGGGAGAGAAGGAGGGAGACAGGCATAGTTAGTGGTGTGTACAGGTGAATTGGGTGGTGGATGAATGTGGTGATGATACCTGATGGGATACCCTCAATGTTATCTCAGTTAAAAATTAATTTTTTAAAATAGTGAAAATACTTAAGTACTTAAATTATCATTTTTTTGCCTTTTTTTAGATTTTAAAAGGTCAGTTTTATTAGGAAAATGAGAAAAAGACACCGGCTTAGTCTTAAGTGGGCAGGAGAGCTGTCAATATTTTGCAAAGGGAAAATGTTTGTATAAAGAAACACCTGCATAGTCACAGGCAGCAGAACTGCTATCATTTTATCTCTATTAGTTGACTGGTTTAGCTGATTTTTCATGGAGGGTGGTTACTCCTGTTTTGACATCATGAAGTCATGCATCATTTAACTAGTCATGCTTTTCTCAAGAAAAAAAGAAAGAAATAATACCTGACGTAGAATAAATGACTGCTTGATTTTTACAACATTCTGAAATAGCTTCTTGAGTAGCAGCTTCTCTGTCTTGTAATAAATTAGGAAGTGTGATGCAAAAAGAATACAAAAAGAAAAAAATTCACAAATGAAAATTAATATGCATGCAGATTTTTAGTTATAATGTGGTAGGAGGATTTCATAGCTTAAGGATCAATTTTTTAAAATTAATATAATTCATATTTTATTATTTATAACCTGTGCTGATTACCTGAATGAATAACAGACTGCTAGCAAAGAGGCTACTAACTTTAGAAGACTATATAGTAACAAAGGCAAATTACCTCAAGGCTTTCTCAAAGTTAAGAATGTTTCTCAAGGCACACTCATTATTTGTATTTAAAAATATCTTATACATGCACACCCTCATAAAGAATCAAAAATAACAGTGAAATGGCTTATTTTGATTTATCGAATTGACAAAGATAAAAGAGTTAGTTAAATCATTGTAATGACCCAAAAAACGCTTTATGCAGGAAGAAACTCAAAACATTATAGGAGAAAAATTCTGGAAATCATCTAATGCACTCACCAGAAAGGAATTAGTCAAATATTTTATGGCCCAGTTGAAAAAAAAAGAATATGCTTACAAAGTGCTTTTGGTTGATACAGGGGAATGTCTGGCATAAAGAGAAATCAAAGCCGATTACTAACATTGTGTTCATATTTTTGTGGTTCCATTCAATTCCTTGTGTGATTCTTTGTGTTTGCTCCTCTTTGGTTCAAAGTTTGAAGCTCCTTTTAATAATTCCTGGAGGGGGTGTCTAGTGGTTGCAAATTCCTGAAGATTTTTTGCCTGAAAAGGTCCTTATTTCTCCCTAATATAGAAAGGAGAGCTTTGCAGGATAAAGTATTCTTGCAGGATAAAATATTCTTGGCTGGCATTTTTTTTCTTGAAGTACTTTTAATATGGTACTCCATTCTCTTCTAACCTGTAGTCTTTCTCAAGAGAAGTCAGATGTTAGGGCCTCCCCGCTGACACAGCGGTTGAGCGCTGGGCTGCGAGGCTGCCCATAGCCTCTGCAGCACCGGTTTGATCCCCGGCCACTGGCGAGGGTCCCACATGGTGCACAGACCTCTCCTGCTGTGCCCACTGCTCCCCTCAGCAATGTACTTCAGTCCTTCAGCCTGTTCTGCTCCCCGCTCTGACTCTGGTGAATCCTCCCACCCTCCAGTGCTTCTGACTGTACCCAGTGCTTGTATAAATAAATAAAAATCTTAAAAAAAAAAAAAAAAAAGAAATCAGATGTTAGTCTAATTGGATTTCCTTTATAGGTAATTTGTTTTCTTCCCCTTGTCAGCTTCATTATTTTTTGTCTTGGACTCTTGGGAGCTTTAATACTATGTGTCTTGATGTTTATTTCCTTTCATTTATGTAGTCTGGTGTCTTTTTAGCTTCCTGTATTTCCTTGTTCATTTCCTTCTTCAAGTTTAGGAAGTTCTGTTTGATAATTTCCTTTGTTTTTCATCTCTTTTCTATTTTCCTTTCCTGATGGTGTCAGATAATTCTTTTTTTAAAAGATTTATTTATTTATGCATACAAGAACTGGGGTACAGGCCAGAGGTGTGGGGGTGAAAGGATCCAGCAGAGAGAGAGTGGGGAACAGAACAGGCAGATCGACTGACATACTCTGCTGAGGGGAACAGTGGGCGAGTCAGGAGAGGTCTGCTGCACCATGTGGGATGCTCCCTTCCGGCCAAGGATTGAACTCATGCTGCAGTGGCTGCAGATAGCTTCATAGGTTGTGTCTTGACCCCTTGCGCCACCAGGAGGCCCCCAGATAATTCTTGAAGTATTTATTCAAGAATTGTTTTTCTTTGTTATCTTTTTCTATCTTGTTTCTTTTAATAGCTGCACCTTTGAGATTACTGATTTGTTGTTCTATTTGGTGTAGTCTACTTTCATGACTTTTTTCAGAATTTTTTACCTCCTTCATTGATTTTTTTTTAAGATTTATTTTATTTATACAAGATCTGGGGTACAGGCCAGATTCACGGGAGGGGTGAGAGGATTCACCAGAGACAGAGTGGGGAATAGAACAGGCAGACTGATGAAATACACTGCTGAGGAGCAGCGGGAGAGATAGGAGAGGTCTGAGGCACCATGTGGGACCCTTGCTGGCCGGGATCGAACCAGCGCTGCAGAGGTTGTGGACAGCTTCACAGCACTGCACTCAACCACCTGTGCCACCAGGGGAGGCCTCCTTCATTGATTTTTTAATTTACTCTAGTTTTATTACTTTATTTAGAGATTCAATCTCAATCTTCTAGTCTTCAATTGTTTCTCATAGCTTCCTTTTCTTTCTCTGAGTTTTTTCATATACCTCTGATCTGTTTTTGTGAGTTTTCTTTGTATCACTCTAATTCTTACTGTAATTCCTTGATTTTCTTGATTATTACATTTGAATTATTTATCTGATAGAAAGAAAGCTCTTCCACATCTGTGCTGTTGGATTCTGGAGATTGGTTTTCTTTCTATGCTTTAGTGTTCTTCTGAGGACTTCCTTGTCCATTTGTATTTTTCTTTCTCCCCACTGTTTGCTTTTGGGTTTGCTCTGCTGTAGATGGGCTTCTATTGCATGTGGGTCTTCCTCTCCAACTGATCTGGGCATTTACTGGGTAGTGGGTACAGTAGCTGGGGCCTTCATCAAAGCAGATTGGGGTGTGCCAGCATGGTGGCAATCTTGGCTACCTGAGTGAGAAGTTGGTAGGGTCTCATAGGAGGTCATGTCAACATTGGCCACTCTGGTTTACTCCCTAATACAGGTCCAGGGTCTTTCCAGTCAGTGTGGATGCTGTGGGGGGATCTCCTGGGAGGTCACAAGGCCTCTACAGGTCCATGTGGGCACTGACAGAGTCCCACAGGAGTCCAGGAGGCCTCTACAGTTCTGAGCAGACACTGGCTGGGTCTCATAGGAGGTCATTAGGCCTCTGGTGGCTCTGGCCCTCTTGTCAAATGACAAGGGGTCTCACTGGTCTGGGTGGGCACTAGTGAGTTCTCACAGAGAGTTGTGAGTCCTCTGCTGGTCTGGATAGGCACTGTCAGGGTCTTGGAGATAGTGCAGTATTTTGAATGGGGAAAAAAGGGTGTTTCCAGTCCACCCAATATTCCCAAATATCATCAAAAAACTCTAAAACACCTAAATAACTTTCCATAAAGGATACTAAAATAATATAATGCATTTTACACATCCCTTTTAATTAACATTCATTCATTCCATTAATTTGTGTGTAATATATAATACTGAACATATCAAATATGAGTCACCTTCAAAAGTGCAGCAAACATGAATAAATAATACCTTAAGATACACATTTATTGGAGGGTGAATGAGGAACCTGGGAGAAAAAACAAGCACTGGGACTGATGAAGGATTAAACTCTCACGGAAGATAATAGTATCTGGACAATGAGAGTTCACATAGTGAGGGAGGACACCTGTAAATACATATCATATCTAACTATGTAAAATGTATAAAAGGATAAAGATAAAGACATCAAAATGTTACTACTGAGTGGTATGATTATAATTAATTTCATCTTCTTATAGCCTGCTACATTATCCAAATATTCTACAATATTATTTTTTATAGTAATATATAATTAGAGGTTTTAAAAGCATCTTATGAGGTTCCATATACTTCAGGGAAACTGTTTCCTAAATATCATAAAAAATAATTGTTACAACACAATGGATAGAGCACTCAACATCACTGAAGAAGTATGTCAGGCAAAATTCTAAATAATAGTTCCTCCAACATTTATTTATCTCTTTATTTTTTTTTATTTATTTTTTTTTTTTATAGAGGCATGCTTTATTTATTTGTTTGCTGGTTTGTTTGTTTTTTTTATACATGCACTGGGTACAGTCAGAAGCGCAGAAGGGTGAGAGAATTCACCAGAGCCAGAGCAGGGAGCAGAGCAGGCAGAAGGACCGAAGTACACTGCTGAGGGAAGCAGCGGGTGGCAGGAGAGGTCTGCGCGCCATGTGGGACCCTCCTCCGGTGGCCGGGGAGCAGCCGGGGATTGAACCGGCGCCGCAGCGCGGGCAGCTTCGCAACCCAGCGCTCAACCGCTGCGCCACCGGGGAGGCCCCACATATACCCTTCTATATAAAACCCAATCTAGTCTTTTGCCTAGTTACACTTTACCAGCCACAACTCTAGATCTCTCAACCTTAGGCATAAAATTCCAGCACAAGTAATTAGTGGCACAGAGAATCCAAATTCAAAACATTAGTTCTGATTTTGGATGTTCTCATAGCATATTTGAATAAAAATCTCTTATGTTTTAATTGTGTTAAAATTTAATTATAAGTTTCAAAGTTTCCCAGGGCTGGGAATAACAACCTGGGATGAGAAACTAACATTACATAATTTTAAATTCTCTTTTAAATCACTGTTTTGAAGAAAACATCTAACTTTATGAAATACTGTAAAAAATGAAGTGCTTTAATTAAAGAAAACCAGCCTTTTACCTTGTTCTGTATTTGTACTTGCATCCTGATGTTCTACAGCTTTCTTTCTTACAGAGGCCATGAAATGCAACCCAGCTGAAGTATTAGTATCATTTTGTAGCATTTCTAAAATGTAACAACAAAACATTGGAAGGAATCACCAAGAAGTCAACATATTACTGGGAGTCCAGAAGCAAGGTACCTAACTAAAGGTAGGTGAAGTGTGGAGTCTCAAGATGTTATCAAAATGGACTTTCTGAATGAAATGGTGTCTAAGTAGACTCTCAAAGGCAGCTCAGTGGAACCAAAACCAAAATTATGGAGGACTCTACATGCCCAGCCTAGAAACCTAGATATTCTCCCGGCTGATGAAGATTCAGTAGAAATTATTAAGCAGGGAAGTGGTATGATTAGATTGGTATCTAGAAAAACTTACCCAATCAGTGTGTGATAAATAGATTTGAATAAGTAAAATTGAAGTAAGGCAATCAGTTAGATGGGGTTGCTGCAACAGTCAAATAAGTATCTAACAAGATAAGAATTACAAAAGAGGTAGGGAGTTCCCTTCTACTTACTAGATGGACTGTTGCCTGATTCATGAATTGATTAAAAAGCCAAATTTGAGTATCAAAAAGTAAAACCAGAATTACAAAGGACGCAAAATAAGTACTGGTTTTTGGCTGGATGAAGGTGGGGGAAGGAGCAGAATTCAGGAAGTATATATGTCTGTATCTGTAGATATATATAAAGAGATATTCAGAAAATAAACCCAGCAAGAATATTAACATCGGTTATCTCTAAACAGAAGTATTCGGGAAGATTTTCATATTCTTCTTATTCCCTATTTGTATTTTCTAAATTTTCTCCAGTGAACATTGTGTGACCTTTACAAAGAAAAAAAAATTATTAATGGAAAAGAAAGTGGTTTTAAGACACATGTGTTGGAAAGAATGATACCAGATGGATTAAGAAGCTGAGAGAGGGAAGCTAAGCAATTAGGAAACAAGCACTTGGCTTAGGCATGCAGAGGCCTGATGCGGGGAGTGGCACTCAGAAAGGGAGGGAGAAGCAGGTGGAGGGCTAAGTGAAGGAAGGGGGCAATGGAGGTGATAGATGAATCAAGGATGACTTTCAAGGAAAAAACTCGGTCGAGAGAACGGTGATATCAGTAACAGGGAGATGAAAATTCAAAATCTGGACATGTGGAATTTAAGTTAATGTAGAAAAGGAAGATGAGAGAAATGAGATGTATACTTGAGTTTCATCAAAAAAATGTAACACTTAGCCCAAGTGAGGAGAGTTGATGCCCCTACAAGCATGAGAGTGTTTGCATGTATGTGTGTGAAAATGATGGAGGAGAAAGCCTGGGGACAGACACTCGGGGATGAGATAAATTGAACAATTCAAGAAAAAAAAAAAATTACTATCTATAAACAAATTATCGTTTCTGAAAAGATTCATGTTCATGTATTTTCTATGATAAATTTGACCCTAGGCATGTTCTTCCATTATTCGCTTTTAGACCTTATATATTACTATCTTATTTGAGATTCTAGTTAACTGCATTACTCTACTGTAGAGGTCGCAAGCTTTCTCTGTATTGTCTGCAAACTGTATTTATAGACAGTAAATATTTTAGCTTTGCAAACCAGATGGTCCTTTTTGCAACAACTGAACTCTACTGTAGCGTGAAAGCTGCCATAGGCAATGTAAACACATGCATGGCTACGTTTCAATGAAATGATATACAAAAACCGGCATGGTTCAGAACTGGCATGTGGACCATAGTTTGTCAATCACTATTCTACTGGATAACATAACAAAATACATGATCTTGTCAAAGATAAGATGAAAATAATTTAGTTTCATTTTCATGTACACATTTCTAGAAAGCTGATTTTAACCTGAACTTAGACATTGCATTAGTCATGCATATACATACCAAAAGGAATGTCAAAGTCATCCAAAGCCTGGGAATCATGATGCTCCTGTTGCTCCTAAATGAATGCCCAAATGATCAAACTATGATTAACTTAAACTATTTATTATTTTTAAAAAATGCAACAGCTACAAGGATAATTCCTAGGTACAGGTTCAAACCCTGTGAGTATTTACTTACTCTATCAAATTATTTACCAGAGTAACTCTAAAAAGGAGTTCCTAAAATTCACAAATCAAACAATAAAAGAGTGTTATCAATTTAATGCAGTTACTAAATTAAGAGGTGTAATTTCTCTATCATGAGATTTTGAGTAGGACAATCTTTACATCATTAAATACACAAATCTCTACTGCTTCCTTCATGACACAGTAGATAATACAGTTGTGATTGTGAAAGGAACCCCTCCTATCATAACTGTTCATGGATTAGCAGTGCCTCTAGACATGTTCTTAAGGATTCACTGAAAAAATGTGTCTTTTAAAAACATATGTAAACAAAACTGTTTGCTGAATCTGGACTGGCAAAAACAATAAATAGGAAGTTACCAATTTAGAAGGAATGTTTGAAAATATGAGATTTTAAATATGTTACATTAGAAACCTTATTTGGGGAATCCTAGATGCACCTAAGAGAGGCAGGTAAAACTGTAGTAGGAGAAAAACAACACATCATATGTATTAACATGTCACAGAAAAAAGAGGTTTCAAATATTAAAATGTCACTCTAGTTAGATACTCTAAGACAGTTTTTGGTTTGCCATCAAGTTCCTTTCACAATCACGACTGTATTATCTACTGTGTCATGAAGGAAGCAGTAGGGATTTGTGTATTTAATGATGCAAAGATTCTCTTACTCAAAATCAGAAGCTTCTAGCAATCAGAAAACTAGACAAACCATAAAGACATGCCAACATCTGTGTACTTCAAGATCACAATTAAATGTATAGTGTGGGATCCCCGACTCTTCTTGCACTCAGGGCTATTGTCTTGATGCCCAGAGTTCCTGCTCCTCAAGCTAAATGTACAGTCAGGCCTCTAACCAAGACAAAAGTCCAGGTATGAGGAACATACTGGGAAACCAGTATCTGCTGAAAACAGCAGGCAGATATTATGGCCAGATAGCAAGATCAGCTAAAATGCCTTATTTGTAAAGATCAGCAGTAAGTTAGGTAAGAATAGCGAATAGGCTTTGATTATGGAGCCCCCCAAGTAATAGCCCCTGGTCAATTCACCCTATTTTGTATCAGATGATAACGCAGCCCCGCTAATGTATCCCTACCCATGTACAATCCCCACCTGCTTGCCTATCTTCTCTCAACCTGGTCCTAGATAAATAGAAGACTTCCCTTGGATAGGGGCTGCACTTTCTTGGTTTAGTCCCTCTAGGCTTCTCATTAACCCACTGAGACTCTGAGCAATCTCTCTCATCTGCCACTCCCAATACTGCCGCTCTGCGAGGCTGCAGTATAGTAGTTTTTCTGTACCTTGGGTTTCATAACTATTTCTGAATCATTATCATTAGTAATAGAATCCTCCTGTTGGATAGTCACACTTGGTTTTCTCCTTTGTTTCTCTGAGGTTTTTTCTTGTAGGTCTTTTTTAGCTCGTCGTCTTTGTCTGTTAAGAACAATAATGTAAAATATATTTTTACCATTTTATTAATATGTTTTTCATTTGTCTCCTGATATGTAATGACAGTCATCAAAATTATGTCAATAAATCATTTGCAATGGCATTTAGTTAAATCAGGAAGATAATCTGCTAGAATACAAGTAACTATAAGCAAAATGTCTGGACATAGTAAAGTCATTTCTAACAGAACTGATTATTCTGTATTAGTAACTGGAATCTCAGGTCAGGGTTATACTTTTTGAGGTAATTTTCAAACTCCTTTCTGGAGATTCTGAGCTGATCTCAGAAATCTACTGAATACCTCCATTTGACTATTGAAGAAGTTAAGCACATGTAGTTAAGCACACGTAGTTAAGCACACTTAGTCACTCTGGTGAAATCTAAAAAAGGAGGAAAGAGGGCTGAAAACATCAAAGGGAAGGCTTACTATGAAGAGAATGGAAGGAAGGAACCCCTTGGGGAAAGAGCACTGACAATAGATTTTAGGGTCTAATAAATGTGAAATTTTTAAAGTATTCTAGACTCAGTAATAATCTACCAGTCAATACATGTACTAAATATCCATTATTAGTAAAACACTATAAATGCTCTTCCTTAGAAGTCACAGCCTTTCTTTTTACATGTACGTTTCTTAGTGTCCTGAAACACTAAGAAACACTACTTTCTTATGTGTCTGCAGGATATGGTAAGACGAATAACAATAAATATTAGTTCAGTGTGTAGTATAGAGTTTATGGAGTATCACATAAGATACCAAACATTTGTGATGCAAAACATGACTGCACATTGTATTATCGAAAATGTAAATGAAACCTCCAATCTCTGAATGCCAGGAAAGAATTCTTTAATGAAATGGAAAATTTAATAGTATTTGTCTTTTACAAAATAGGAATTTTCCTCATCACAAAATATGTTTGAATGACACTTAAGAAAATTGAACATGCAACTGTGTACAGGCAGAGGTTGAACAAAGTAAGTTCCATCTTATTTAATTATATTATTGAAACTAATCATTAACAAATATGTGATATTCTGAAATAAAAGGTTACTGAAAACCTGCCTTTTTTTACTGTTATTTTCTTGCGTCACTTCAGGTGGTTCTATTTTAGCTTTCAGAAGGTGAAGGTGTCCAGAATCTCCTTGTTCAAATAAATTATTTGTTAGTTCCTGTTGGCTTTGTTTTACTGCAGTGAGGTATTCAAGTGGGATAAGATATGGCTTTTTGTACTGTAAGAAACAAAAAATTTAAAATTACAAACCTCAGTTATGCAGTGTTAATAAAAAATTAAGAAAAACTTTTGTTTAAACTAAGGTGTGAAAGAGATCATAAGTGACAAATTTATTTGGACTGGTAAGATGAGCATCCAGACCTTAAATCCCCATACCTCTCTTGGCTATGGCAGAGGCCTGAAGGGAACTTGGGGGAATCTTCCTGAGTGGCAGGAATAGGGGCTTAAATTCATGCTGAGGTTGAAACTGAAGCAAAGGAAAACCATCACTAGATCTAAAAGTTTTTGCAGTTGGGGTAAGTATAGGTATCTGTAGGGTAAGGTAAAACGTATTAGGCTTTTCTGTCCTCCCACCATAAGGATTGATGATGGATCCTTGCGGTCCTGAATGCATGCCTGAGGGCGGGCACCTGGAGTAGGGTGTGGGCATGCATAGGTGGGTACATCTGGGCTGAGATACTGAGCTTATAAGGGCGGCATCACGGGGACGCCAGAAGAACCACGAGAGAAGCAGAGAGAATGAGAGCGAAAGAGAGACCGAAAGAGAAGCAGAGACCATGAGAGAATGTCGGAGAGCCCAGATAGAGTTTAAGACTTGCTGGGGGCTGGGAGGCCTGTCAGCCTCCCGGCCCCCCAGGACCCCTGCCTGCCGTGTACCTGCTAAATCCCAATAAAAGCCTGCAAAAGCCACCGAGGGCTCCGGGACTCACTCCTCCTTTACCCGGTCTGCTCGCATCACAGTAAACCTGCACTGTGCCCTTCCTGCCCTTACAGTACCTCATGCCAGATGTGGACAAAATAAATAAATGTTTTAGAGTTAAAATTTTCAACTGGATCATCCTGTTTCAGAAATTAAGTGAGAAATTATTGTTAATTTCTTTTCCATATTAAAAATTCTCCTCCTTATAATTATAAATGAAATTATATAATGCCTAGCACTTGATTTAAAATTCCTTGAAATATGTAGTAGGCAGAGGGGTGGAAACCATGTATGGAGATTATCAATCTGGTGATGACCTGATACTGGATGGTGAGAACCTGGGGGCTCACTTATACTCTTCAAATAAATCTTTCTCAAAATGCCCACTTTTCTGCTTGTTTAGTCCTTTCTTTTCTATTCATAATACATTCAGAAGAAAAGAAGGCACAGTGAGTACCCTCTTCAAATCTTAAAAGTACACCAGAGAATGATTACTCAATTACCTTCGTACTACAGTACTTACAAATTAGAAACTAAGCCTTTTGAATTTCATAATTCAAAGATTCGACCTTACAGGGAACTTGGGGGTTTTATAAAGTTTTAAAATTTGTGTTTTAAATACTTTTAAAAATACCATTCTTTTAAATATACAACCACTTACAGACCTGGATCTCTTTAAAATTCTAACTGATAACAGTGAAGGCAATCATATCACAACTGCTAAGAACCTCAAATATCTCTTTCAGTCTCTAAAGAGACAAATATGAACAAGAATGTTATTTTATTTATTCCTCTTCTAAGCAGGAAAAATGTCTATGAAAGAGTCCAGCAAATTCTGATATTAATGTACAGAATTAAAACTTTTATGATGATACTAAATTATTATTTTAAACCTGATTTTTATATATTTTCAATAACAGAAGTATTTTTTAAGAAAGAAATATGTAAGACCTTTTCACTGGCATATAGTATTTATGGTATAAAAAAATGCAGGACTGTGCTTGTGCACTGCTCTGCGAAAAACATTACCACACTTTCTGGGGACAGACATGAATGAAGCAAGGACAGCCTTGGGTGTTTTCTTTCTTCTGCTCTAGCTCTGACAGCCCGCGATGGAACTGTAATCGATGCTCTTGAGGCAGAAGAAAAAATATAAGGAGGGTTAAGTTGCAAATGCAATAATGGAAGTCCAAATGAATTGTGAGGAGATCTCTCAATTGACACTGGCTTAATATCAAATCGTTTTTCTGGTTTTGTAATTATTGACGAGTCCTGCTGAGATGTCAAGTTTCCTTGTCCAACATACTGATCCAAGCCCACATGCTTAGAGGCTTCTGGAATTACAGTTTCTGCCCATTTCTTCTGCTCTATGTCTTTTTTAGTATCTGTAGTATCACACTGGTTCAAATTCAACTGAGATATTGACGTAGAATGCATTGCTTCTTGTGGCAGAGGAGTCGGGAAAGAATAAGATAATCCCCAAGCCTCTCTTGGCTGTGGCAGAGGCCTGAAGGGAACTTGGGGAATTCTTTCTGTGTGGAAGGAAAGTGGTTTAAATTCATGCTTAGGTTGAAACTGAAGCAAAGGAAAACCATCACCAGATCTGAAGGCTTTTGCAGCTGGGATAAGTCTAGGTGTCTTTGGAATGGCAGAAGATGTGGACAAAAGGTGATGAGTATTGTGAGCAGAGGCTGGAGACAATGCAGGGATTGGGAAACTTTGAGCTGGAGTTAATCCTCTATTCTGGGGTTGACCTTCTAATTGACCTGGAGGACTATTCCCATGCGCAACATCCTGGAAGTGGAAAAAAAGAAGATATGCTGTAAATTTAGAATACATTACAAACTCCTTATTTTATAAATGATATTCAATATGTTTTAGGGAAGGTGGAATGTAAAAATTGCTATAAAAAGTTATTTACTCAAATAACAAAAACCAACATTGAAACTAACAGGACAAATTTAATGGTATTTTTACATACAATACCTGTAAATTTCCATTACTATTTTGATCAGACTGCACAATTCCTTTCTGGCCATGTGAGCTGTTCTCACCAGACTCCCTGGGATACTCTCCCATGGATTGTGGTTTAATAAGAAATCTTGCCTTCAGATTTCTACTGGCATCTTCAACATCACCACTTCCTCCTCTGGGATTTGATACTTGGCCTCCCACCAAATGCGCAGACTGAGACTGCTGTAGAAGTTGATGTGTATCTGGGAGGTTAGCAAAGGATGATCCTACTATTTGCATTAGGCTCAAGAAGTTGATCTGTTGTAGCTAAAACAAAAATTAAAGAAACTTCTAAAATAATTAAAAGGCACTAAGGAATCAATAATCATCCGAGCATTCCACAATAGACATATCTTTGTCTCAGTATCTTCCAGAACTATGAAAGTTGAGCAGGAAGCACAGGTGGGAAATATTTAAAAAAGAGGAACAAAGGGAGCTTTCTATTTTTAAGGAATTGTCAACTGGGAATTTGACTTGGGGCTATTTGCACAGCAGTTTGCATACAACCAAAGGCTCATAAGGAAATGATATGATGGAGTAGGGTAAGGATAATTAAAGAGCTCCTAAAATGGTTATGTTTGAAACAGGTTTATAGGAAAGAAAAGAGCAGAGAGTAGCAAACAGGTGAGGAGTAAGGAATTTCATCATTTACAAAACAGCAGCCTTCCACGAAAGTGCTGATTGGGTGAAAGGCAAAGGCGTGCACCACTGGTTGCCAAACATTGCCACACATTAGAATTACCTGGGGAAGGTTAAAAAACACCTATATCCAGGTGACATCCCATGCTAACAAAATCAGAATGTCTGGACGGATGAAGCTGTAAAAGTCCAAGGCTGGTTACAGCTACAGAAATATCATGAGGCTGTGAGTAAAAGAGTCAAGAGAACAAAGTAAACACTGAATATAGAAAGTGTATAGAAAGTGAAAAAAGGTAATGATGACTTTTTAAACAGTAATTGAAAATGCATGCCCATTTGAAATCAAGACAAATTTTGGGTCAAGGATAAGAAATATGTGACATAGGCTGTGCTAGTAGACTTTGGATACTTTTGAACAGGAGTACACTGGTCTGGTTTGCTTATCTCCTACCTCATTTCTGTGAGCAGCTCTGAATTCCAAAGATGCAGAGTAAACGGACATTACTAAGTAAAAGGCAGCTGAGCCTAGACTCTCACCTAAAGTAATGAGCTTTTGAATAGCAAATGAAAAGAGCCCACAATACAAGGCAGAGAAACCTTGTATTTCTGCAAGTTTTTTAACACTTACATATATCAGGTGTATATTTACTGTTTACATGGAGATAGTCTTACCTGAACTAATTTAAACATTTCATCTTGGAGCATCTGTCTAACAGAATCGGAAGAATCTGGTAATTGAGCTCTGGGTTCATTACTCTGGGTCAGCTGAGGTATTATTACAGCAGGTGTTTGTGAAGATTTATCTTCAAATGCAGACATCTGTACACTAGGTGCAAATAAAAAAATATACATTAACAAAAAAACCAGGATGCCTATAATCTGAAGTTTGATGCTACTTTTTTCTACTAATTTAAAGGCTTTCTGATGATTTCGGGAAATTTAAACTCTAAGGCCTATATCTCTACCCCTCAGCCACCAGACACATTCATCTTCAGCATAGTTTTTTATCTGAATGCCTTATTTAAGGTATTTACTACCAACTCAATCATGCTCCCCTTTTTCCCATGGTATTATTTATTACCCAGAGGAGTTCATACATTCACTTTACTTGTCTGGTCCCTCCCCATAAGGCACCTGAGTTTGAGACCTGTATAGTCATTTGGATGAGCTGTATAAACTATGAGATTTGGTTTGGGAAGACATTTTTCACTGAAGTTAATGATTGGGGGATGGAGGGGCGGGGAAAGGAGGGATTGGGGTCAAAATAAGGGGGTTGTAATTGTATGGGGAATATAAAAATGAAATTTAAATTAAATATGCCCAAAAATAGATGACTGGATCAAGAAGATGTGGTCCATATACACCATGGAATATTACTCAGCATTCAAAAAAGATAAACACATGCAATTTGCAGCAACATGGATGGAGCTGGAAGGGATCATGCTCAGCAAAATAAGCCAGAAAGAAAAAGAAAAATACTGGATGGTCTCACTCATAGCAGGAATCTAGAAAACTTAAATAAGGGACCAGGAAAATGAATAACTATAAGAAAGTGAAAATCATAATCAACAAACAACTATGAACCTGAGAAACTTTATTAGGGGTGGGGGGCGGGGGAGGGGGAAGGGACTGGGGTCAAAATAAAGGGGTTGCAATTGTTTGGGGAATATAAAAATAAAATTTAAAAAAAAAAACAAAAAACGAACTAGCTTAAAATATTTGCCCAAAAAAAATTTTTTTTAATAAATAAATAAATAAATAAATAAATAAATAAAGTTAATGATTCAGAAAGTTTTGCAAAGGTTTAATTCTGGGCCTCCCTGGTGGCGCAAGGGGTTAGCCGCAGCGCTGTGAAGCTGCCCGCAGCCTCTGAAGCGCAAGTTTGATCCCTGCTGGCCAGGGAGCAACCCACATGGCGCAGCAGATCTCTCCTGACTCACCTGCTGCTCCCCTCAGCAGTGTACTTCAGTCTATCTGCCTGTTCTGTTCCCCGCTCTGTATCTGGTGAATCCTCTCCCCTCCCACACCTCTGGCCTGTACCCCAGTTCTTACAAAAAAGGTTTAATTCTCAGATGGTACAGCAAGCTCTTGATCATTTTTAAATATGAAAGAACAGAATTGGAAACATTTCTTTTCCAAATAAGGTACACACTTTTATTTATAAAAATACTAATTTAGAAACAAAAATTAAAGATCAAAGTAAATTTTTTATGAATAAAATGATTGCTTTGGATGATTCCTTAAACATTGCAGGTACTGAATTTCTTCTATGCAAATCAATTTCATAAGCTAAGTGAACAGGTATTATAATAGTCAAATAAATTGATTAGTATTCTAAAATAAACATTAAATTGCATTTAGATGTATTTGGGTTTACATTCATTCCTTTTCAGCAATAATATTTGCCTTTATCAGCAAGATCCTGAAACAGAATACTCTGCTCAACCTTTGTAAAAAAAAGTTCACAAGACAAGATAAATCTGTTCTCTGAGAGAACTAAAGGTATTTTATACATTATTAGAAATCGGAAAAGGAGCAACAATTAGTTTGTGAAAAACATATCTACTACTATTCTTTTTTTATTTATACATACAAGAACTGGGGTACAGGCCAGAGGTGGGGGGGCAGTGAGAAGAGTCACCAGAGACAGAGTGGGGAACAGAACAGGCAGATGGACTGAAACATATTGGAGTAGCGGGTGAGCAAGGAGAGGTCCTTGCTCCCTGGCTGGGGATCAAACCCGTTCTGCAGTGGCTGCAGACAACTTCATAGGCTGCATCTTAACCCCTTGTGCCACCAGGGAGGCCCTACTAGTCTCTTTTTAATAGAAGACTGCTCTAAAATAGTTCCTCTATGCCTTTAAAACACAACTGCTTTAGAGGAAAACCTTTTAATAATAAATTTGGAAATGTCATAAGTGTATAACTATGTTGCTCTTTCAATGTTTCCTGTTACTTTCACTTTATTCTCTTAATTTTTTCCAGAACATTTAACAATTATTCAAAAGGAACAGTGGACATCTCTTTATTCTCATATTTATAAAACATTATTATATCAAAATGATCAATACATATCAATATATCAAAATGATACAGTATGCAAAAATTCTCACCTAGAAATTTTTGAACTTGTGTCTACACAAAATGAATGAGGAACGTTGGGTTCAGGAACTGAGAAGGCTTCACTCATACTGTAATTATAGATCAATAATCAATTAGGAAACAAGATATTCTTCAGATTATCTAAAGTTAGAGGTAATGTAATGCTCAGCCATCTAAGCCTCTGTCCTACTGCTTTGCTCATAATTACAATCTGTTTATATTAGTCTCCATAGCAATTAGCAACAGATTCAAACAAAAGCCAAGAATGCCTGGATAGTTCAATATACGACTTGAGCATTGCTAATTGCTTGGCAACAGAAGTAAGAAATAACAGAATTCAAAAGGAGGAGAAACGAGGTTAGCTGGGACCTCAAATTTCACCTATGGAAGAGGCAGACACTTTGCTCAGGAACACTACAGAGTTCATTATCACACTAATTTTTTGTTAATAGAAAAATGTAGATTACTTGTAAAGACATGACATTAAATCTTCTTTTGTTAATTATTCACAGAAGTACTGAACAAAATTTATGTACTGAAAGAAACTCTAATTATGTTGTCTCATTAATTCTAAAATAATTCTAAAAATTAAGATATCATGTCCAAACTACAACAAATGAAAACTGCTTTCAGTTTTCCATGAAATTTGCCAGTAGAGTATATGTACATCACAGTCCGATGGACAGTGTATCATAATCATACCACGATAATGAAAGATTATACATATACAGCATGATTCATAATGGTTGTTCATTTAATTTAAGAAAAAAAGGAATCAGTATGAACTGGTTCTCTATTAGTTAGATTAATTCTGATTTACAGATATATTTTACTTTGTTAAAGCTAATAATGAAACATGATATTTTAGACATCATTATTTATTTCACGCTACCAAGACTTAGAAGTATAAACACTTACTAAAAATCACTGTTTTCCATTGCTGTAAATTCATTTGTAAATAAAATTAAAATTTCACTAGGAAGACAACAGCACTGTAAAACATATATTGCATATTACAAGGGAAAAAGTCCTGAAAACTTCCCTGAGATAAATAAAGCAGTTAAAGTCACTTCCATACTGCCCACCACCCCTTACCCTTTCTGTTGGCTTGACTTTTTCTCCATGTATGTCTCTAATGGCTCGTCCTTCAGACAATGAACTTCTTCTGTGGTGTGCTGTTAAAATAGTACCAAAAATGCAAAAAGGTGAAACAAATAGTTACCACTGTGTTAGGTATCGTGAACTTTACATTGGCTCCACACCTACAGCAACAATAGTCTAAACTAGTGAGCAACCCAACATTAGATGTGCACCCAGTCTTGCTCTGATGGGATCTTTAAACTGTGTGAAAACTGTCCTATCGCCCTGAGCCATGGAGTATGTTAAAGTACAGAGACAAATGATGTCAGTACAAATAATTTGTAAAATATTTGCAAATACATTTTATATTTTGCAAATACATTTTTATGACATGTGATGTGAAAAATCTATAAAACCAAGAAAGACAAATTCTTTAAAAAAACTGTTTAGGGCCTCCCCGGTGGCGCAGCGGTTGAGCGCTGGGTTGAGAAGCTGCCCGCAGCCTCTGCAGCGCCGGTTCAATCCCCAGCCGCTGGGCGAGGGTCCCGCATGGCGCGCAGACCTCTCTTGCTGCCCGCTGCTCCCCTCAGCAGTGTACTTTGGATATCTCCCTTTTCTGCTCCCTGCTGTCTCTGGTGAATCCTCTCACCCTCCCCGGCATGTCTGGCCTGTACCCAGCTCTTGTGTAAAAATAAATAAATCTTTAAAAAAAAAAATGATGTAAAATATACATAAATACATTATATCAAAAATATTAAAAATAAAAATAAATACTAGACAAACACTGAATAACTTTACTCTCTATTCATTGACTTACTTCTTCTAAATGCTGTGGTAAAGCTTGCATGCAAATGGCAATACTAGGACTTTTGAGACGTCCAACCTGTTCTCTGGCTTCTTCTAAATGGAAACAAGAAGGAGAGAAAAGTGATCATTTGAAAAATGATCTACTCACTTTTTAGAATTTCAGGAAATGTTATAGAAAACAAATATAGTAGCAGAAGCATTTTCTATCCTTCCTAAAAAATATATTTTTTAAAAACACCCGGAAACTACTCCTTCATCAAATGAATCGCACATGAGCTATGAGAAGTCTCCTATCAGTGTGTAAAACTCTATTAAAAGCTTGGGGACTTTCTGTTTTAAGGAAAACTGTCCCAAAAATGTTAAAAGATTTGGTTCACAGAAATGAAGAGACCCAGTAATAATTATACAAGTAGGCCAAAGGTCCTGAATTAATTTAACAGTTCATCAATATTATATTCTCTAATGTTTGAGTATGTAGGTTATGATAACCATACTGATTTAGATATATAGCTGAATTATGATAATTTATAAATTATGATAATAATGCATCAAACAAAAAGATTATCAAAATGTACTGACCTTCATAGTCTCGTAGGTCTATATTCATTTCCTCCTGTGTAAGTGTTTCTACTTCTAAAAGATCCTCATCTGTATCTACAAATTCTTTGTCAGTATCATCAATGACAGAAATAATCTCATCATTGATTTCTTTCATTTCAGGATTTTTTGCTGCAGTTGGCATTCTATTGAGAAGAATGAAGCAGCTAAAATTATAATCACTCTTGGAGACAAATAACTTCCATTCATGATTCAGTTATTGAGAAAAGAACAAACACACATACAGAGCACCATTTTTTTTGTACAATTTTTTTTAAATTTAAATTTTATTTTTATATTCCCCATACAATTACAACCCCCTTATTTTGACCCCAATCCCTCCTCTTCCCGCCCCCCACCCCCATAGAGTGTCTCTGGTTCATAGTTGTTTGTTGATTTTGATTTTTACTTTCTTATTCTTATTCTTTTTCCTGCTCTCTTATTTAAGTTTTCTAGATTCATGCTATGAGTGAGACCATCCGGTATTTTTCTTTTTCTTTCTGGCTTATTTCGCTGAGCATGATCCCTTCCAGCGCCATCCATGTTGCTGCAAATTGCATGTGTTTATCTTTTTTGAATGCTGAGTAATATTCCATGGTGTACATGTACCACATCTTCTTGATCCAGTCATTTATTTTTGGGCATTTGGGTTGTTTCCAAAGCTTAGCTATTGTAAACAGTGCTGCTATAAACATAGGGGTGCAGGTGCTCTTTGGAATTGATGTTTCTGTGTCCTTTGGGTAAATACCTAGGAGTGGAATTGCTGGATCATATGGAAGCTCTATGTTTAGTAGGTCCAGAAATCTCCACACAGCTCTCCATATTGGCTGGACCAGTTTGCATTCCCACCAACAGTGCAGGAGAGTTCCTTTTTCTCCACACCCTCGCCAACATTTGCTATTGCTAGTTTTTTTTAATATGTGCCATTCTCACTGGTGTAAGATGGTATCTCATTGTAGTTTTAATTTGCATTTCCCTGATTGCAAGTGATGTTGAACGTTTTTTCATATGCCTGTTGGCCATTTGCATTTCCTCTTCAGAGAAGTTTCTTTTTAGCTCTTCTGCCCATTTTTTGACTGGATTATTTTCTTTGTTTTTGTTGAGTCTCATCAGCTCTTTGTAGATTTTTGTGATCAGTCATTAGTGTTGTGTGCAAAAATGTTCTCCCAGTTGGTGGGGTTTCTCTTTGTTTTTGTTATTGTCTCTTTTGCTGTGCAGAAGCTCTTTAATTTGATGTAGTCCCAGCTGTTTATCTTTGCCTTCACTATCACTGCTTTGGGTGATGTGTCTGTAAAGATGTCTCTGATGTGCATATCATGGAATGTTTTGCCTATATTTCCTTCTATGTATTTTATGGTTTTAGGTCTTATGTCTAGTTCTTTAATCCATTTTGAGTTGGTTTTTGTGTATGGTGTGAGGTAATAGTCAAGCTTCATTCTTTTGCATGTAGCGACCCAGTTTTCCCAGCACCATTTATTGAACAAACTTTCTTTGCGCCAATGCATATTCTTTGCTCCTTTGTCAAAGATTAGTTGACCATAAATCTGTGGGTTTATTTCTGGATTTTCTATTCGATTCCATTGGTCTGTGTGTCTGTTCTTGTTCCAATACCATGCAGTTTTGATGATTATGGCTTTGTAGTAGAGTTTGAAGTCTGGGAGTGTGATGCCTCCATTCCCTTCTTTTTTTTTCAGTAGAGCTTTGGCTATTCGGGGTTTTTTGTGATTCCATATGAATTTCATCAATAATTGTTCTATTTCTTTGAAGAGTGACATTGAAATTTTTATTGGAATAGCATTGAATCTGTATATTGCTTTTGGCAGGATGGTCATTTTAGTAATGTTTATTCTTCCAATCCATGAGCAGGGGATGTCTTTCCATTTCTTTGCGTCTTCTTCTATTTCTTTTAACAGTGTTTTATAGTTTTCTTTGTATAGGTCCTTTACCTCTTTTGTTAGAGTTATTCCTAAGTATTTGATTTTTTTTGTTTTGATAATAAAAGGGATGGTTTTTTTGATTTCTTCTTCAGATTTATTGTTTGTGTATAGGAAGGCTACCGATTTTTTTTTTTTTAATTTATTTATTTGTTTGTTTTGTTTATACAAGCACTGGGTACAGTCAGAAGCGTGGGAGGGTGAGAGAATTCACCAGAGCCAGAGCGGGGAGCAGAGCAGGCAGAAGGACCAAAGTACACTGCTGAGGGGAGCAGCGGGCGGCAGGAGAGGTCTGCGCGCCATGTGGGACCCTCCTCTGGTGGCCGGGGAGCAGCCGGGGATCGAACTGGCGCCGCAGAGGCCGCGGGCAGCTTCGCAACCCAGCGCTCAACCACTGCGCCACCGGGGAGGCCCAAGGCTACCGATTTTTGCATATTGATTTTGTATCCTGCTACTTTGCTGAATTGATTGATTAGCTGAATTAGTTTTCTGTGGAGTTTTTGGGGTTCTCTATGTATATTATCATGTCATCTGCAAAATAGTGATAGTTTGACTTTTTCTTTTCCTATTTGGATTCCTTGTATGTCTTTCTCGTGTCTTATTGCTCTGGCTAGGACTTCCAGTATTATATTGAAAAGCAGTGGTGAGAGTGGATATCCTTGTCTTTTTTTTTTTTTAATTTTTTTTTAATAGAGGCATGCTTTATTTATTTATTTGTTTGTTTGTTTATACATGCACTGGGTACAGTCAGAAGCATGGGAGGGTGAGAGAATTCACCAGAGCTAGAGTGGGGAGCAGAACAGGCAGAAGGACTGAAGTACACTGCTGAGGGGAGCAGCGGGCAGCAGGAGAGGTCTGCACGCCATGTGGGACCCTCCTCCGGTGGCTGGGGAGCAGCCAGGGATCGAACCGGCACTGCAGAGGCTGCGGGCAGCTTCGCAACCCAGCATTCAACCGCTGCGCCACCGGGGAGGCCTGACATCCTTGTCTTGTTCCAGATCTTAATGGAATTGCTTTCAGCTTTTTGCCATTGGGAATGATACTGGCTGTTGGCTTGTCATATATGGCCTTTATGATGTTGAGGTATGTTCCTTGTACCCCAAGAATTTCAAGGGCTTTTATCATGAATGGGTGTTGCATTTTGTCGAAAGCTTTCTTGGCATCTATTATCATATGGTTTTTATATTTCTTTTTTTGATGTGTTGGATAATATTGATTGATTTTTGGATGTTGAACAATCCTTGTGTCTCTAGAATGAATCCTACTTGGTCGTGGTGCATTATCTTACGGATACATTGTTGGATTCTGATAGCTAAAATTTTATTGAGGATTTTTGCTAGGGGTTTGTCTATTTTATTTATTTTTTCAAAGAACCAGCTCTTGGTTTCATTGATCTTTTGGATTGTTCTTTTAGTTTCCATTTCATTTATTTCTGCTTTGGTTTTTATTATTTCTTTTCTTCTACTGGTTTTGGGGGTTTTTTTGTTGTTCTTTTTCTAGATCTTTGAGCTTCGAGATTAGATTGTTTCTTGGAGTTCTTTCTTGTTTCTTGATGTGAGCCTCTATTGCTATATATTTTCCTTTTATTACTGCTTTTGCTGCATCCCATACATTTAGGAAATTGGTGTCCTCCTTGTCATTCAATTCAAAGAATATTTTAATTTCTTCTTTGATCTCCTCATTAGTCCAGTGGTCTTCCAGTAGTTTGATGCCTTCATGGTCGGAAAAGATGCTTGGTATGATCTCAATCTTGGTGTATCTGTTGATGTTTGTCTTGTATCCCAGTATGCGATCAATCCTGGAGAATGATCCGTGTGCACTTGAGAAAAATGTGTACTCAGATTTTTTTGGGTTTAGTGTTCTATAGATGTCTGTTAAGCCCAAGTGCTCTAGATCCTTATTTAGAGCTTTAGTGTCTTTACTTATTTTTTGTCTCGTTGATCTATCCATTGTTGATAGTGGTGTGTTGAAGTCTCCCACTACGTATGTGTTTTCTCTGATGTCTGTTTTCAAAGATGACAATAGTTGTCTGATATATTTTGGCAGAGCACCATTTTTTTAAACCATGTCTGAGACACAGAAGCTCAATAAAAGGCTGTTCAATAGATGACAGAATATTGTCATTTTTATTTATTCAAAAGAGCAGAATAATTTCAACTTATCTAAATTTTTCTATTTTCAAAAATGAATTTTCCTGCTATAAAGGTTTTAGCATTAGTGTTTAAGATATTGCTTCATATGTAAATATGCAATTTATAGAATTGCTTCATATGTAAAAAAAGGAAAAAATGATTTGTTCAGCTTCCTCTGGCAAAGGAAATCAATTAATAAAATAAAGGGATATTTCAGGATGAATTAGGTCTTCACTCAGAAGATATGGGCTAGACAAACAGGGAAGAAACATAGCTTACAATGAACTGTTAAAACATTTCAGAAAGTGTTCACTTCCTGCTTATCTAGTTCAAAGAATTGTTCGCCTCTTTAATTTTCAAGAGTTTAGTTTTTCACAGTAAGCCAAAACACCATCATATGAGGTATCATTCACTGAAAATGAAGATATAACCAGGAACTTACTTCAAGATACTTGGACGAGACTCATTTTCATCATTTCTTTCCTCAGTACCACCTTGAGAGGATACTGATACAAAACAGCCAGTATCTATTTTGCTCTCAGTCTTAATGTTGGGTGCACTCTGAAACCCAGTGTAATGATTCTCTAGCACCTAAAATAAACAATTTATAATATTTAGTATTCACTATTATATGTCTTATTTTTTTTTTTTTTAGATTGATTGATTTATTTATACAAGCACTGGGTACAGTCAGAAGCGGGGAAGGGTGAGAGAATTCGCCAGAGCCAGAGCGGGGAGCAGAGCAGGCAGAAGGACTGAAGTACACTGCTGAGGGGAGCAGCGGGCGGCAGGAGAGGTCTGCGTGCCATGTGGGACCCTCCTCTGGTGGCTGGGGAGCAGCCAGGAATTGAACCAGCGCTGCAGAGGCTGCGGGCAGTTTTGCAACCCAGCGCTCAACTGCTGCCACTGGGGAGTCCCTGTCTTACTTTTCATTATGATTTTATAATAAAATTTTCTACAGAACTTCTTTTTGACTCTCTTATTTACCAAGTATTTATTGTGATTCTTCACTCAATATTTGATGCTGAAGCAATGATCAAGTCTTTATTCCACATGGGGAAAAGCAAACCTGACTACCTGAATAGTATACAGAAGGAATCAGCCTTACAAAGTGGTGAGGGGTATCACCAATGTTTTTATGCCATGAGAGAATAGCAATAAAAATGTACAAGTGCTTTCATTTCTTTCTCTTTGCTACTATTAAAACATTAAGTAATTATTTCAAAATTACATAATAGGCAAAAGTATATATAGCTAAAACAAGGGATGTATCTCTTGTCTGTTAATTAAAAATTTAGTTATGCACCATCTAGAAACACAGACTTCAGTGCCAACATCACAATATAAACTACCTATAGGATAACAGAAATCGATATTTTTTAAAAAGGGAAAAACCTAAAGAAACACCTACCACACACATACCTTTCAATAGAATTTACTATTTACAATAAAGACACTTTAAAATAGAACAAATTTAGAACAGGAAAGTGTGCAGCAGTAAAGTGTGGAGCAAGATGGTAACCCAGGAGGCTCCAGAGCTCTCCAGCTCCCATATACTCAAAAAATATTACAGGGCCTCCCTGTGGTGCAAGCACCACACTATGAAGCAACCCGCAGCCTCTGCAACACGAGTTCGATACCTGGCTGGCCAGAGAGAACCCACATGGCACAGCAGACCGCTCATGTAGCGCCCGCTGCTCCCCTCAGCAGTGTAGTTCAGTCAGTCTGCCTGTTCTGTTCCCCACTCCGTCTCTGGTGAATCCTCTCACCCCCCACATCTCTGGCCTGTACCCCAGTTCTTGTATGTATCAATAAATAAATCTTTAAAAAAAAATTCGACAAACAGAGAAATTATTGCTGAAATAAATCCAGAAACCAGCTGAGCACCTCCTACACATCAGGTGAATGAGAAAATATCCAAATCAATACAGGTTGAAAAGGTTGAGATACACACATGGCATAAATTCCACCTCTGGCAGAGAGCCCTGAAAGAGAGCAAGAACTCCCAACTTCCAGCTTCTCCCTAAGGAGTGAAGTATTTGGACCCAACATTTAGCATCCCAACTTTTAAGACTTCCAGGGATCAACCCCCAAACCTTCTATCTCTGAAAGTAAACAAGGCTGCATCTAGCAACACTCACAATACCACAGCAAGTAAAGAAGCTGGCTGGTGAATGAGGCTTATCTACCACACAAAACTGTTCTATACAGGCTGGGAGATAAGGCTGTTTTATCTCATACACAGAAGGCATTACAAAAAGTCAAGGAAATGAAGAAATAGAGGAATACATTCCAAACAAATAATGTCTTTAGAAAAAGATTTTAATGAAATAGAGAGGAGTGATTTATCTGATAAATAACAATCACAAAAGATGCTCACTGAGGTTTGGGGAACAACTCATGAACAAAAAGAATTTTAACAGACACAAACATTTTAAGAGTACCAAATAGAAATCACAGAGATGAAAAACATAACAGCTGAACTGAAGAGCACAATATAAGGATCCAACAGAAGACGATTTCAAACAGAAGAAATGACCAGCAAACTCTAATCAGAGCAGCAAAAAGACAAAAGGATGAAAAAATTGAAATTAGCTTAAAGGATTTATGGGACATCATCAAGTGGACCAATATATTCCTAACAGAGGTCCCAGAAGGAAGAGGGAGAGAAAAAAGGACAAAAAGTGTATTCAATAAAATAACAGACGAAAACTTCCCTAAGCTGGGGGGAGATATGGGCATCCATATACAGAGAGCCCAGAGTCTCCAAAAAGATAAATCCAAAAAGACTAAAAACAATATACACTATAATTACTGTCTGAAGTTAAAGAGAAGGAAAAAGCAAAAGAAAAGCAAGTTGCTATCTGAGAATCTGTCAATGGATAAATGAATAAAGAGATTACACACACACACACACACACACGGAGGAATATTATTCAACCTTAAAAAGGAAGAAAATCCTGTAGTTTATAACAATTAGGATAAACATGGAGGGTATGACACTAAGTGAAATAAGCCTGACAGAGAAAGACAAATACTGCACAATATCACTTCCACAATATGTGGAATCTTAAAGGTGATTCCATAGAGAGTAGAAAAGTGATTGCCAGAGGGGTGGGGAAAATGGAGAGGTTGGTAAAAGGGGACGAACTATCAATTATAAGTTATTCTGTCAATAACTCAGATAACAGTTATTCTGTCAATAACTCAGAATTATAAATTCTGAGACTAATACTTTGTAACATGGTACCTTATAGTTGATATCACGTTATTATACAAGTGAAATTTGCTTTAAAAAAATTTGCTGAAAAAATCTAACAACTGTATTTTCTAGTTTAAAATACTATTAGTGGAAAAAATGCCAGAAGACCTTAAATGTACTCACACACATAAAAAAGCCACATATATGGGGTAATGGATGGGAATCTTTTCTTAACAGCAAATCATCACATTGTAATCTTTAATTTTGTCAACTGTACCTCAATAAAAATAAAAAATTTAGATCTTAAGGAATTTTTCAAATTTTTTTTAAAAAGTGCAAGTTCTAACTACATTATATAAAGAAAGTAAATTTATTTTCTAAGAAATTCATCTTCATTTTGTTTTTAGTTATCAAATAGAAACCAACTACCCTACCAACACCCATTTGTATGAGTTTGATTCTGTGACACCTTCTGGCCAGAGAGTAAAAGGAAAATGATCCCCTGATGCATATGATGAAATACCAGTAATAAGAACTGTCTAGTTCCTCTTCATCAGATCCAAAATTTGAAACCTCATGAGAAATATAACATTATTTGTAATAGCATTTAAAATTATCTTTTCTCTTTTTTATAAACCTTAAAGTCTCTATGAAAGCACTTTTACCATAATTATTAAGAATTAAAGAAACCATTTGAGTAAAAACAAAAATGTGACACAGATTATAATCAATATTGCTATTAACTTTTGGTTATTTAGTGATCTGGTAATAATTAAAACTACATATAGTTTTATTCTAAAGTGAGACCTCTTAATAAACAATTCAAGTAGTTACCTCAGTAATGGCATTTTTTGACTTATATGTAGCAAAGTAGGGTTGTTCCAAAAGCCACAGTGATGTAAGAATGGCAGTAGTAGACGTCTTTACACGAATAACAGGACTGTACTCAGAGTTTGACTCAGCGAGACCAGGATCACAGAGCAGTCTTCTATCAGCCCATCTTATCATCCACTCCAGCAGCCTCCTGATACTGCCAAAATTTTCATTTAGTGCTAGGGGAAGATCTTCTTGAGGGTTAATATCATTGCACTCAATTGCTTTGAAAATATATCTTCTACTTTTAATGGATTTGGGAGTCCAAAAGATATGGTTTGACAATTTCTGGATTAAAGGTTTCTCTGAACTGTCGTCTTGTATTCTGTAAATTGACTTTTGTTTTAAACCAAACAATCCTCTTTGCCCTTCATTTTTATTGACTTCATTCAAAGGTTTCTCCACAGAAGATCTGAACCCTGGATTCAACAGCACTGAAGCTGAAGGTGCCTGGCTTTCAGATTTTTCAGACATGTGTGACTCAGGAGCAACAACAAAGCAAGATCCAGCTCTAAACACATTCTGGCCTTTGGCTTTGCCCTGACGTCGTTTTAATGTCGTATGTACATCAAACAGCAGAGAATTAAGCTCATGTTCTCTAAGATGTTCAGAGAAACTGGTTAGAAATGGAATGCTAGGTTCCTTGGAACTAAGTAAGTCTCTTTCAAGAACATAGCTCAAGAAGAGCTCAAGAAATTTAATGTATTCGTCATCATCCCTTTCAAATTCCCAAATACCTATTACTGGAAGTCCATTTTGTAATAACTTTTCATGGTCTTCTTTTTTTTCAGTGTCTTTTTTCTGATTACTTACTTTCTTTTTTCCATTGGGCTTACAAGTCAATGTTAGTTCCATGTTATCTGAGGCATTTCTACAGCAAAACAAAGTTGAAAAAGACAAAATTAAAGATCATTTAATCATTAAAACAGATCTCAGGATTGATAAGGAAAATCTCTTCACGGAGTAAGTCACATATCTCTTGTATCTCAATCTCTTATCTTTCAAATGAAGGCTTTGGACTAAAGGATCTTAAGTGTTCACTAGTATTGAACATTCTGAGTCCAAAAAATGCGACACAGTAATATCAAAAGGGAAAACTATGTATTAATAAAAAGACTAAAATACAGTCACAGAAATTTCAGTGTAAAAGACATGAATTTTTTTTCTGGGGAAAAAAGGTTCTGTAATAGATCAGAATTTAGGAATACACAGCCAATAAAAATTCGCACCTTAGTTTAGGGTTTTTTTCTCTTTTTTGTTTGCCCTCATGCCCTCAGCTGTCCATGTAAAATGTGCAACAATAAAGGTAAACTCATGCCATTTTCAGTGCCTTGGATGGAGCGGGAAGGGATAATACTAAGTGAAATAAGTCAGGAGGAGAAAGATAAATAATGGATGGTGTCACTAATATTTGCAATATAGAAAAACCAAATTACGAACCGGGTAAAGAAAAACTCAAAAACTAGCCCTTGGAAACTGACTATAGACCAGAAGCATTCAGAGGGGGGAGGGAGGAAGGGGTAACAACAAAGAAAGAAGAAAGCACAATGGACTATGGTGGTAGAAAAGGGGTGATTTGGTGGTGGGTACCCTAGAGTGGTAATGCCTATGGGGAGGATACTAATTTACCACAATTAAAATAACAAGTTAATAAAAAATAAATATATGCAAACATGCTCAAGGCTAAAAGTAAAATAATGTGTTTTTTTTAATTAAAAAAAATGTGCAATATCAAGAATGCCCTCAGGATTATTTATTACATGAAAGTTGGGAATTTTTGCTAAATACCTTCTATTGCTAATAAACCTGCTGGGCAGGCATCCTAACGATCAACCATAATTACTTTTAAATCTACCGCACTTCAACATGTTCTTTAGACCAAAATACAGAACTTTAACTTACTCAAGAGAAGTAACAGTTCCTGGGCAGAAGTCACTATGTCTCACTGTATTAAAAAATGTACAACTAGCAGTCTGTAAGATATTCCTGTGCTAAAACTGAAGCTATGTGGCAGAACAAGAATATCACTAATAATATGGTTAAATATAGTTTAAGCAGATGTTTGAAGTAGATGGAATTACTTCATGTAAGCACGGTTATGACTGATTATATTTTCAGTCATGAGGACTGCAACTGCATTGCAGATACTGAAATTATATAGAAAAAATCCTGCTTAGACAGAGCAATAGGTTAAAATGATAAGTAATAATTTCTCAACAACTTATGGACAGGCTTCAAATTTGAATGTGCAATTTCTTCCCTGGAGGCCCTTCAAAGTAACATACCTACCCCAAGAATCCTAAATCATTTAAAAGAACTAAAAATCCTTTGGTGAACTCTATAATTTTATCTACTCATTTGATTATACTACCAGGTGGAAAAAATATTTCAGATATGAATAACACTGAAAACAGAGTTTTCAAATGTAATTTCATTTTTATGCTCCTAATATCCTTGTGAGTGGGGCAGGGAACACTCACCACTCACACTGTTAACACAATCAGCTCATCGGTTGTATAAAACCAATGAAAATTTATTTTCCCAAAAGTAGGAAGTGATTTCGATTAGAAGATCTCAACTGTACCTTTGATATAAATGTATTCTATATTTTTCTTCAACTGACAGAGCTTCAGAGAAGGTATCTGCTGTATCCGCATCACTGTAAACCAGAGAATTGCCCAGTTCTGTGAGTGTGCTCCTGCTCAAACTAGTCCCCAGAGAAAACCTGTCAAAACCTGGAACCTCAGCTGGTTTTTCTTCTTCAATTGGCTCCCATATATTCATCTCAAAAGAGCCTATATTCCTCTTCACACGTTTTAGGGCTTTTACCCTCACTTTGTGGAGTGTATGAATGATAACGGACATCATTTCTTCATTTTGGGGACCTAGGAAGAAAATAACAAAATCTTTATAATTCATTAAAATATTTTCAGTCAATACAAAGAAAACCCAATTCTGATCCTTGCTGGGGATACAAAATCTAGTTGATACCAAGGTTTATTTCCAATATTTTTTATGTTGTGCTTTCTTTGTACTGTTAAAAAGGTGACGGTCCATGTCATAAAGAAAAGCTGCAGAAACAAAAGAAGTTCCATTAAAAAACAACAAAAGGAACAGAACCTAAACTCAAAAACATGTGTCCTGGAAAATGGAAAATTAAGAAGTCATTTAATTATTTAAAATATCAGGACATAAAAACAATCAAACAAAACAAACACAAACCCTTGGACTCTGACAACAAAATGGTGGTTACCAGAGTGTGATGACTGGACATCAGATGGTGGGTATGATGTGAAATAATTTAAAATAAAGACTGAGGTGTCCATGTTTCTTTAGCTAAAATTATATTTATGTTCTGTCAGTCACCACTCGAAGTAGAAAAATTAATTTATTAGTCTTTAAATTCTTTCTGATTTTTAAGTATATATATTTTCTTTCTATTGAGGTAACATTAGTTTACAACACAGCATAAGTTTCAAGTGTAGAGTTTTGCTCAACTCAGCAACTTTATGTTTCACATTACTAACTCACACTCATGACACAAAGTCAGTTTTGTGCGATTCCAAACCAACAGATTAGTGCTTCTATCTCCAAGGAACAGCCGAAATTGCATAGAAACAGTACTAGAAAGTAAGTGCCTTCAAATCTAACAGAATCTTCAGTAATTTATCAGATATATAAAAAATGACATGACTGTGAAATTGAGGCTACTAGGGTTTGGGTGTGGAATATGGAGGGAGGGAGGCCCAATGGTCTATGGAGAAGGACAATGTGTGCTTCTGTCTGGTGGTGGGTGTGATGTGGGAACATACACATGAAGGGGTGGGGGCTATTACCCTAAATCAGATATAATACTGTAAGCCAATGTTACCTCAGTTAAAAAAATTTAAATAACATAGTATACCTTTCACAACACAGTGTCTGAGTCTCTGCTGGAGAGAGTGATATTTTTCTCTTAGTGGAACCCGTATGTCCTCAGGATTGGGAAATGCTTTCACAAAAATTTCTGCTACCTTCAGAAAAGTTAAGAAATGAATTCTATGATCAACATCATTCTTAATCAAAATAAAGCAAAAGTCCTGTAAAGTCTGATTCTGACTTAGTTTATTTCTACCTGCAATTATATTACCTTTCTGATTGGTGGCAGTTCTCCAATAAGGCTCAAAATTAGATCCTGAATAAGTTCTTCAATATTAGAAAAACGAGAGAAGGGTAGCATTCTATAAGCCCATTCTATGGCACTGAGACAATGCTCAACCATACAAGAATCAAACTCCACTTCAATGTCCTAAATGGATATTTGAAAAAAAAAAAATCATCTAAATGGATATGCCAGAATTAACTCAAGAGAAAATTCTGTTACAAACAATAAAATCTTCTATCAGGCAATACTTTCCCCAATAATGCTTATTTATTTTTCTCATTCTTGTACAGGTAAATACCTTTTTCCCCTCCACATTTTCTCTTGCTTTCTGATACTGCCTGCAACTATAGGATAACTTATCACGGATATGCAGCATCCAACACAAAGCACAAAGTTCTCTGAAGCAACCTAAAAGCAAGAAAAAAAGTATGAAAGAAAATCGTATAAATATCTACATTAATAGTATCACTTCAAATTCTACTGGGTGTTTTTAAAAATAAACCTTTATTTTGTTGATTAATAAAGAAACGTGCTGATTATAAACACCATCGATAAAGTCATGAATATCCTCCCAGAATTTTTATGCACATTATTCTAAATTATGCATTTAATTGAACAAAAATATTGAAAACATTTTTATAGAATAACTATTTACTAGTAGTTCACGTGCTTTTATAAAACGTGACCAATCAAGTAACACCCCTCTTCTCTAGTCTATAGTTCTAAGGTTAACAGGACCTTTCCTTGTGGAAAACTGAATAGTCATTGATTTAAGCCTTTTTTTTCCCAAATCAGCCTTATTTTCACAGTCAACTGATTTTCATGTTTATAGTCAGTATTTTCATTTTTCTTAGAAAACATAAATTTTTAATTTTTTTTAATTTTTTTTAATAGAGGCATGTTTTATTTATTTACTTGTTTGTTTGTTTGTTTATACATGCACTGGGTACAGTCAGAAGCGCGGGAGGGTGAGAGAATTCACCAGAGCCAGAGCATGGAGCAGAGCAGGCAGAAGGACAGAAGTACACTGCTGAGGGGAGCAGCGGGCGGCAGGAGAGGTCTGCGCGCCATGTGGGACCCTCCTCCAGTGGCCGGGGAGCAGCCGGGGATCGAACCGGCGCCGCAGAGGCCACGGGCAGCTTCGCAACCCAGCGCTCAACCGCTGCGCCACCGGGGAGGCCTAGAAAACATAAATTTTCAAAGAACCATTACAAAGCCAGAAAGTATGGTATGACATAGAAACGGAGGTGGAAAGCCAGTCTTCACCAAAACCTATCTGTGCGGGATAAGGATGGTGGTGGGTGGTGTAAGGATGGTGCAAGGGGTGCGTAGTTGGTAAGTATTGATACATGCTAGAGGGGGGACTATCAAGATCACCTGGCATTTTCAAACTACACTCCATCCTCATAATATCAGATTCTAATAGGGTCTACCAAGGAAGCATGGTCCAATTTTTCTTTTTTTCCAGAAAGACTCCATTATTGTGGAGTATGTTTCATTGTCTCATATTTCATAGGCATGATGGGACAGAACTACGGCCAAGAATCTGAAAGAGGTCCTCCCTGGTGGCCTAGAGATTAAAGTCTCAGTGCTACCACTGCATCAGCTGAAGTGGCCTGAGTTTGATCCCCGGCCAGGGAAGTGACCTATATGACACAGCAGACCTCTCCTGTCTCGCCTGTTGCTCCCCTTAGCAGTGTATATCAGTCTGGAGATAAAGTTAGGAGTGACTGTTAAGAATTAAGATTAAGCAAAAGAGAATGGGGATGAAATTGAAAATGTCTGTTCCTTTTAAGATTCTCATGCAGATAACTAGACATAGACCATAAACAGGCAATACATTTGATAGAGAAAATACATATTAAATGTTCAACGTAAGTAGTCTAGATAAAAACATGTTACTATATAAACTATTATTTTTTTACCCATTAATCTGGAAATTGTAAAATTTGGCATACTAGTTCGAAACATATAAAATAGGTATATCCATAGATTCAGCAGCAATTCCACTTCTGAGGATCTATCTTAAGAAAATATATCAAAATAGCAAAAAGAAACGGATATGCCTGAAGCAATTCAAATATACAACAACAGAAGTAAATTACAATACATACACTAATAGAAGTCACTAAAATTAATAGATATGAAAGTTCACAAAATTGAAAAAAGCATTAAGTGGGCATATTAAGTTAGAAAAGAAGGAAACAAGATTGATGAGTGCATATTCAAAGGTTCAAGGCCTATCCAGTTAGTTACTGGCAATGTATCCTAAGAGCAATTACCAGAGAGGCATTGTTAAGTGCTAAAGTTTCAAATTTAAATAATAAAATAATGACAGTGTCATTAACTGTCACTTGTCATATAACTTAATACCATACACAAAATATACAGTATTATAAACATAAATATTAGAGAACAAACTTCGCTTTGAAGAGTGACAATATGTTAAATATATCATTGTTCATATTTAGATACATTTCTAAGCAAGCAGTTTATTTTCAACAAACCTATTGCTTTAATGGAAACTTCATCAAGCTTGTGGTCTCCAGTTGATCCAGGTCTAAAGAATGCTATACCCCCTTTACAATAATTAAGTAATGACTGAGGGAAAGGACTCAGTGAAGGAAGGGACCCTTTCATTCGGATCTGAAAATAAAGAATGATAGAATATGTTCATTGTCAGTCATATAAATCAATTTTTAATAAGGTAGGTAAGATAAGCCATACAGAATAGAAAACACAGCATAGTTCCAAAACTATGTTAAGTAAAATACCCCTAAATTAGCTTACAAATTTAACTCAAGAATTCACTAGTTTAAACTAAAAAAATAGAAAACAAGAGTTATAATCAAATTACTCTCTCTTGTCACCCAGTTTTTGCTTACAGTTATAGCTCCACTGAAGTCAGCATGTGAAGGGATGATAGTCTCAGAATCAAACTGAATCGCACATTTCAAATGATATCAAGGGGGAGACTGACTGGTGTGCTCAAAGGAAACACATAGCAAAGAACTACCTCTAATTTTCCATGCTTTTTGACCCCACAGAAATCCCCATAGGACACAGATAATATCAGGTAAAGTCCTGATTTTAAATCTTCAGTGATGGGGTGAGGGGGGGAAGTAACTGAAATCAACTGGAATTAACAGAATAGATTACACTAACAATTGCCAGGCAGAATGGGACTAATGTAATGACTCAATTTGGAGGCTTTATCTCTCAGTAGAAAGAATTAGGACTGTCCAGATTGCTTATTGTTAATAAATCTGCAATTCATGGACTTATAGGGGAATATTCCTTAGGAAAATGCCATCAACTGGAAAATATTTTTCTTATAAATTATTTTATTTTATATAATTCTTACATCATTTTTCATTTTTACATAAAGTATGCATTTTCATTTTGGTTATATTCCCCATACAATTCCCACCCACCCCCCTTATTCTGACCATAATCCCTCTTCTTCTCCCCCTGCCCCCACTGTAGTGTGATTCTGGTCTGTATCAACTGTAAAATATTAATAAATATTAGTATATTATGTTGTTTGACATAGGAAGGAAGTGGCTGAGATATTCCATACCTTCTGCATGACTTTTCTTGCCCACCTCAACTGCAAGATGTACCACTGTGCTACAGGAAAAGAACACCGAGCGGCCCGGAAAAGCAAGAGGATACGTTGAAGGATTCCAGATACTTTCTGGCGATTATCTTTTTCAGCTTTTAAAAGAAAATCATCACCATCTTCCTGATAAAAATAAAACAATTGATTTTAGTAGCTAGTAATACGGAAATTTTAAAGGTTGAAGTAAAAAATACAGATTGGTTAGTGATATTCAGTGCTTCTCAAACTAGAATGTTCCTGGAGATTTAAAAGGAAATTTTGAGGTATGGTCTTAAAAGACTTCAACTACAGCTATTTCTAGTGTCAAGGAACTACTGATCTTCCGTCATACATTATCAAGGGCTAAACTGACTCAAATCCCAAGTCTTCCCCACAACACTTAAAGCCTACCACTCTTGTTTCCACTGGTGTAATATTATAGAGAGGTTCCTTTCAAGAATGCCCTTTCCCTATTTCTACCTGGAAAAATCTTACTTGTATTTCACCATCATTGACTCAATGAAGCCATCCCACTCTGTTCTACTGTTAACACCTGACTTTCATTATAGTTTTTACCAATTTATTTTCTACTGCTTAATATGTTTCCTACTATACTGAGAATTACTCAAAAGCAAAGACCTTGCCATTTGTCTTTGCATTATCATAGTGATAGAATAAAGTCTAAAATAGGACTCAATAAATGTTTGTGAATAAACGCTATTCAAGAGAGTAGAGATTAAATTCCCAGAGAATGAATTAATGTGAGTACAGTATACATTTGCTTCCCCAATATCCACCTACCATTACTATTTCTTCCTAGTACTCAATTTTTTATGGGGTATCTGACCCTCTTCTCAACCAATATGATTCAAGAAGAGCTGATCCTACATCCTCAGCTTCAGGGAAGGTTCTAATCAACAGAACCTGCACTAAACCTAGCCACAATAACTGATTAAAGGACAGATAGTAACCTAAGTCAGTCTTGCTTGGAATGCTGGGAAAAAAATACTATTGCGTTTTTTCCCTCCTTTTCCCTCTCTCTCTGAACATGGCAGCTACTGGCAGCTATCCTGCGGTCACAAAGGGAACCAATCTTAAGCTGAAGCTGATACCTTAGAAAACAAAGTAAGAGAGAAAAAGCCCAAGTCCTTGGTAACATAGCTGAGTCATCAGGCTGCACTCCCATGGTCTTCTCAATTTTACCAGTCAATTCTGACAAATTTTCTATTACTTCCAACCCAAAGGTTCCAATTGACACTGAATCCAACCATTGGGGTAGGAGAAATCCTACCATTGAGGTTTAATAAAATCTTTTCTAAATGAAGCACTATGAAGTAACCATTCAAAACCTAATATTGGCATAGGAGATCTCAAAATGTCTAAATGTTATTTCTAATTTTTAAACCAATATATTGAAGACTGAGATGTGAGAGTAAAGAGAAATTGCTAAGAACTATCAGATTATTTATTCGTTCCATTTGTAATATTTTACATTTGAAATACCAAGTGAAATATTTTTAACCTATTAAAACACAATTCTAAACATAAGGATGTAACAAAAAGCACTAAATAAAACAAAAAGTAGACAGAAGTTGATAATTCTGAAACAGCTAAGTATAATGAAACAATACCAGAATCACTTTAAAATACTAATCAAATACTAAAATAATTAAAAAGTAAATAATTTATATTAACACTTTAAATCTTAAAACCAGTTAATCATATTAAAATTTTTCAGAGGAAAACTTCCTGAGACAAAAACAGCATTGCTACCCAATAAATAGTAAAGGAGAAAAAAATTGACATTTCTAAGAAAAATGAAAATATTTCAAAGAGCCAAAGACAAGTAAATAATAGACAAAAATAACACTGGGCTTTCAAATTTTGATATTCATTATTTTATTACCTTATACAAATGCCTATTTTTTAATTATTTGGATAATATTTATAGCTCATTTGTTATATTACTGCAACCACTTTAACATTTATTGAATACCTACTATATATGTCCTAAGGTAAAAGCTTTTACAGGGTATCTCATTTAATCCTCATAATTATGCTATGAGATATACAATCCTCATCAGTACCTACATTTTACAGGTAAAGAAACTTGATAACACTTTACCACATTGCATAAAGCTGTATAATTAGAAAACGGCAAAGCTGTGATCCAGAAGTCTGTCTTTAGAATGTGCACATTTAACTTATTATCAAGTTGAATATTTTTAAAATTGGACAAAATAAACTTTAAAATAATTAAAAGATTAAGCAGTAAGCTTACTTCACTAAGAACAGCTGGTTGAGGACAATACAAGGGAGGAGCGGGAAGATACATGCCAACTGGCACCAAGCCCCACAGTTTCTTACTGAACTCCTTGGCAGAATGTATGAGCAGCTGAAAAGTCCCTGAGACAATATCTGCATCTGCCATCACTGCTGCTGTCAGTACTTCCTGCACAGAACCAAGCAGGAGATTTGCATCTTCCTCTTCAATGGGATCTATTGAATACAAGTGGTTGAATAGTTAAAATTTAGATTATACTCATCCTATCTTGTAGGACACAATTTTCACATCTTCAAAAGCTAATCAAAAATCAATATACTAAAAAAATAAAATCAATATACTAGGGGCCTCCCTGGTGGCACAAGGGGTTGAGCACCACACTATGAGGCAATCCACAGCCTCTGCAGCACGAGTTCGATACCCGGCCTACCAGGGAGCAACCCACATGGCGCAGCAGATCTCTCCTGACTCACCCACTGCTCCCCTCAGCAGTGTATTTCAGTCAGTCTGCCTGTTCTGCTCTCCACTCTGTTTCTGGTGAATCCTCTCACCCCCTGCATCTCTGGCCTGTACCCCAGCTCTTGTATGCATAAATAAATAAATCTTTAAAAAAAAATCAATATACTAGATGACAGGTAAAATATACAAACTTTGTACAAAAATTTATTAACTATTCTGTCACTTTAAAAATAAAGGCAATGGGGCCTCCTTGGTGGCATAAGGGGTTAAGCACAGCACTATGAAGCTGTCTGCAGCCACTGCAGCATGAGTTCGATCCCCTGCCAGAGCTACCCACATGGCACAACAGACCTCTCCTGTCTCTCCCACTGCTTCCCTCAGCAGTATATTTCAGTAGATCTGCCTGTTCTGTTCCCCACTCTGTCTCTGGTGAATCCTCTCATCCTATGCACTTCTGGCCTGTACCCCAGTTCTTACATGCATAAAGAAATAAATCTTTAAAAAAATTTAAAATGAAAAAAAAAAAGCCATAAGATTTACATTAACCTGATACATCTGTCAGACCATATGTATGCAACATACCTGTAAATTGTTTGTATTTTGAGTCCATTTCATTTTTTGCTTCCAAAGAAGCTGGTTGACCTAAAAAATATTGAAGTTTTTCCTGGAAAATCTGTGCTGGAGTCACATTTAATGGTAGATCTAGACTCTTTTTCTTGGATCTGAAATCACAACAAATTAATGGAATGAAACAAATTTTTTTAAAAAGGAAATATTCACATATTAAAAGCTAAACATGAAAATTTAAGAAACAATGAAATTCATTTTATTTATTCATCTGATATTTAGAAAAGAAATATTCAAAGACATATTTAGTATTAAGAAGATTATTAAGGTTCTCCATGATTTTGGTACCAGTATATCTCACCATTCGTTTTCCCCACTGCTGCCCTAACACATGCCTCTAATCAAACTGAACCAAACCTGCTTCTTGCCATAAGTCTTTGCTCATGTCCCTATGGCTACTCAATTTGTCAAGGTCCTATCTTCCCTTTGATGTCCATCTCAAATGTTATTTCCTATGTAAAGTATCTCCTGTCCTTCCCCGACTTGATGTTATTGATCTCCCCATCCTACCACTGGACTTTTTCTTTCCACAATAGGTACACTGTAGTAATTTTTTGTCCTATTTTCTGTTAAATTGTCAATGTTTCAACATAGGAACCATGTGCCACTTCAGATTACAACCACTAAAATACCTGACACAGACTTGGTACAGAATGCTACTTAATAAATATGATGAATTACTGAATTCTTTTATATTACTGGTAATGCCAGACAGCAATACCGTAATATACAGAGATTATTTTGATTAGCTTAAACCTTAAATACTATTTGGCATAAACTTTCCCACTGCTTATAATACCTTTGAGAGTGTTACTAACAAATAAATGTTTTAACACAAATAAGCCACTGAGCTGTTCATCTAGCAGCCTCTAGCTGCATGCAGCTATTTAAATTCATATTAATTACTATTAAATCGAAAATTCAGTTCTTTGGTCTTACTAGTCACATTTCAAGTGCTCACTAGCTACATGTGGTTAGTAGCTACCTTATCAACAACACATGTAAGACATTTATATCATTGAAGAAAGTTCTACTGCACAATGCTGAACTAAGAATGCCATAAAATGTAATGGGAGAAATATAAAATACTTTATAGATGATTCTAGTATACCATTTCTTAAGTTTGCCTAAATATGCATACCTTGTGAAATTGCTATCTTGTTTACAGAACAGTTGGAGGGCCAAACCAATTGAAACAGATGTCTTCCAGTCTCCAAGTTTATGTGCCAACCACACAGCTTCTGGAATCAGGCCACCAATAAGTAATAATTCGAGGGCATATTCAACTGTCCATACATTAGAAAGATTCTGATCTCTAACAACACTGGCCACCTCAGAGTGTTGCAGAGGAATAAGTCGTAGAGACTGTTCTATAAATAAGTTAAAGAAAATGGGTATTACATTTCTCAGAATTCACTCCTGCTTAAATGGGTATGTTTATCTTCTTCAGTCAATATTTGATATATGAAATCACAACATGAAATGTATGTATAATATGGATTAAAATAATATTTAACATACACTAAAAGAGTTTAACACTGAAGAATATGTCTCACGAACATGTTATGAAGAAAATGTCAGCATTCTTAAAAATGTAACAGAACAGAGTAGAACGGACACAGAAAAGACTATCACAGTGCACCACAAAAGTAAACATACAGTTCAATGAAACTTTTTATTCAGATAATATGAATGTATATATCCACACTTAAAAGTACTGGGTCACAGCATACCAGTTTATTACTCTAACATGTGTGTCTTGAACATATTTATCAATTAATGTTATTTCTTGCTTAAAGCCCTTCAATAACTTCTTACTGCACTTACAAGATATTCAGATTCCTTACACTGACATATACTATCCGGCTCCTATCTATGTGACTTCATCTTCTATCACTTTCCACCTTATCCTCTCTGCTCTAGTCACACCTATTTTTCAGGTTCTCAAACATATCAACTTTGTTCTTGCTTTGGGACTTTTGTACAAGCTCAAGTTAGAATGCTCTCAGTCCTCAGTTGCCCATGTCTGGTTCTTTGTTGTCATTAAGAGTTCAGTTTAGGGGGCCTCCCTGGTGGTGCAAGGGGTTAAGTCTGAGTACTATGAAGCTATCTGCAGCCACTGCAGCATGAGTTCAGCCCCTGGCCAGGGAGATGACCCACATGGCGCAGCAGACCTCTCCTGTCTTGTCCGCTGTTCCCCTCAGCAGTGTATTTCAGTAGATCTGCCTGTTCTGCTCCCTGCTTTGTCTCTGGTGAATCCTCTTACCCTTCTCTACCTCTGGCCTGTACCCCAGCTCTTGTATGCATAAATAAATCAATCTTTAAACAAAAAAGTTCAGTTTAAATGTCAACTCTTTGGAGAGCGCTTACCTAAATCCCACTCTGAAACAACCACTCCACTCAATCACAATGCACTACACTCTATTTTAATACTCAACATAACAATTATCACCATTTGACATATCTTATTAATATATTCATTTCACTTCATTTTCTGTCTCAACCTATTAGATATAAAATCCATAAAAACAAATACTTTATTTCTTTTGTTCACAACAGTTAGGATAAGGTTGTTTCACACACATTTCGATCCTATTGATGAAATGATTACACAGAACAAAGTAAGTGATCCAAAGAAAACCATCAAAGTATATCATCTAAATTAAATTACATTCCAAATTAACACACACAAAATGTGTTTCCACATTTTATACAAGTGAAGGCAATAGCCCTGTGTTTTTAAACATTGAAACTTCACAAATGCCAATCTGCCCAAAATCTGATTAAGAAATGCTCATTCAATTAAAAACAAATCTAAGCAATTGCCTTTCTCAGATCTTACTCATTCGCAAATAGTCACTGAACATCTATTATCTGTCATCATATGCTGGAACAGTATTATTTCCACTGGACAATGGTCCTCCTATAAAATGATTTTAAACAGTATGTGCAGAAATAAAAGTGAAAAAAATTGTTTATGTATTACCTGTGTTGATATGAAGTGGAGGCAGAACATTTACATTGTGAGGTGGCAAAATGCCAAGCGTCTGGTTGGTGAAATAGGCAGCCATGAATCGAGCCATGGATTGGATGACCCTCACTGCTGCCTCAGGATGAACACTGCCAGTCATTCCAAAATCACAATGAGACTTCTCAGGAACTAAAGGGTGTATGAATCAACCAAAGGAGATTCTGAGCAAACTATCAGAAACTAATTAATATCTAAGTTCCCAACATTATGCAAAATAATTTTTTTTCTGGGATGAGCATCCATAGCCTATACATGCTAATTTATAATAGTTAGTTATACTTCTTGAAGACAATAGAACAAAAACAACCAGTTCATAATTATGTGCACAGACATTTAGAAACTACTTATGACTTGAAGTGAAAGTTTTATTCAAAAACATGGAAGGGGGGCCTCCCTGGCAGCATAGGGGTTAAAGTCTTAGTGCTATCAAACTATCACCAGCCACTGTGGCATGAGTTCAATGCCCAGCCAGGGAGCTAACCCACATGGCACAGCACACCTCTCCTGACTTGCCTGCTGCTCCCATCAGCAGTGCATTTCAGTAGATCTGCCTGTTCTGCTCCCCACTCTGTCTCTGGTGAATCCTCTCATCCCCCGCACCCCTGGCCTGTACCCCAGCTCTTGTATGCATAAATAAATAAATCTTTTAAAAATAAGCATTATAAATATATTATGCATATGTTCATATATCTTTCACTCTGGTTACTGCTTAATTTAAGTAAGCCTTTTTTAAAAAGAGCAATCCAGATAATCTGTAATCTCTTAAACAGATATTTAAAAATAATCAGAAGACCTCAGAAAGTGATTTTCATTACTTTACAAAGCCATTTTGAGCAACAGTAAAGAAAATATGAATACATTAAGTAAAATACTTGGGTTTTGTGTAACAAATACTGGCTGGGAAAAAACAATTATATCAGTTGAGAAGGCAATCATCACCAAGCCCTGGGGATTCAAAGATTAAAAAAAACAAACAAAACTCACAATCCTTGTTACTGAGAAGCTGACAGCCCAAAATTCACCATTAATACAACTTAGACACTATAGAAACAGATCAATGAACTTCTATGTGCAATTTCAACTCTAAACCTATAAATACAAAAATAACAAGGTTAAACATACTGATATGAAAAGCATACCTGAACAATCTTTATCTTCTTTTATAGGCAGTTGGGACCATTTCAGTATTTTTCTTACTAGCTGATCACATAATCCTTGTGCATCGTTTAAATTGTAACAATAGAGGTAGCAGTATAAAAGAGAAAGATAATAGCGTATCTGAAGATAACATGTCCTTCTTCCTCCTTAAAGAAGAAAGAATTAAGCGTAGATTAAAAACACATTAGCAAGGCAATGTGTTCTTGACATGGGTGCTAGGGAGCAGTGCTCTATGAAATCCATCAAGTTGTATAGTCATGTTACTGAAATTTTCTGTATCAATTTTATATTTTATTAAGATAAAAAAACAGATCAATACTTTGTTCTTTTTCATTTTAGGTTCTAAACAATTTTATTTTCTTTCATCTGGCCCTAGGATAACTAAGATTTTATCCAAAGAAAACTGTATATCCTCACAATCTCAGCATTAAGAACCACAACAATTATCTCAAGGACACAATATAGGAAACAAAAGGGAACATGATTTTTGAAAAAAGGAAAAAAGAGGGCCTCCCCAGTGGCGCAGTGGTTGAGTGCTGGGTTGCGAAGCTGCCCACAACCTCTGCAGCGCCGGTTCGATCCCCGGCTGCTCCCTGGCCACCAGAAGAGGGGCCCACATGGCGCGCAGACCTCTCCTGCCACCCGCTGGTCCCCTCAGCAGTGTACTTCGGTCCTTCTGCCTGCTCTGTTCCCCGCTCTGGATCTGGTGAATTCTCTCACCCTCCCGAGCTTCTGACTGTACCCAGTGCTTGTATAAATAAATAAAAATAAATCTTTAAAAAAAAAAAAAAGGAAAAAGAAACCATACACATATCAAGTAGACAGTCAAAGGGACTTCCCGAAGGAGAAGAAACAATATACAATAAACAGGAGTCCCTGACCACTGCCTTCAAACATCTGAAGGATGTTTTGGCTTGAGACTGCTGGCTGTCTACCCTTTAGCCATTCCTCCTGAGTTAAAAAATTACAATTCTATTTGGGGTTACACTGCACCTACAACACAAGTTCTCATTAGATGTGGATGTTTTGAACCTAGAGATACTATTCCGTGAACTTCCAGAAAAGATGCTTAAAGACAGGTGGTTCACATCTTACATCAGTGAGAATGGCACATATTTAAAAAACTAGCAACAACAAATGTTGGCGAGGTTGTGGAGAAAAAGGAACTCTTCTGCACTGTTGGTGGGAGTGCAAACTGGTCCAACCACTATGGAGAGCTGTGTGGAGATTTCTTGACCTACTAAACATAGAGCTTCCATATGATCAGGCAATTCCACTCCTAGGTATTTACCCAAAGGACACAGAAACATCAATTCCAAAGAGCACCTGCACCCCTATGTTTATAGCAGCACTGTTTACAATAGCTAAGCTTTGGAAACAGCCCAAATGCCCAAAAATAGATGACTGGATCAAGAAGATGTGGTACATATACACCATGGAATATTACTCAGCATTCAAAAAAGATAAACACATGCAGTTTGCAGCAACATGGATGGCGCTGGAAGGGATCATGCTCAGCGAAATAAGCCAGAAAGAAAAAGAAAAATACTGGATGGTCTCACTCATAGCAGGAATCTAGAAAACTTAAATAAGGGACCAGGAAAAAGAATAACTATAAGAAAGAAAATATCAAAAATCAACAAACAACTATGAACCAGAGATACTCTATGGGGGGTGGGGGGCGGGGAAAGGCGGGATTGGGGTCAAAATAAGGGGGTTGTAATTGTATGGGAAATATAATTTAAATAAAAAAAAAAAGACAGGTGGTTCAGCTAGAAAATGAAAGCTTTCTTGCTCTGCTTTCCTTCATTCTTCGGCTGCATTGTCTATAGACGTGATGGCTGGCATTCCAGAATCCATCTTGGCCATTGTACTAGCCTCGAGATGGGAAGCAACGCACCAAAGATGGAGTAAAAAGTAATCTAAAGGAGCACTGGTCCTCAATGAGATCTTATCAGTCCAGGCTGTCAACTTTTGGTCTCCATGCATAATAAAAGAGAAATAAAGTTCTTTCTTATTGAAGCCACTGCTATGTTTAATCTCCATTTCTAGAACCCATTTCTTTTTTTTTTTTTTTTTTTTTTTTTTTTTAATAGAGGCATGCTTTATTTATTTATTTGTTTGTTTGTTTGTTTGTTTTATACATGCACTGGGTACAGTCAGAAGCACGGGAGGGTGAGAGAATTCACCAGAGCCAGAGCGGGGAGCAGAGCAGGCAGAAGGACCGAAGTACACTGCTGAGGGGAGCAGCGGGCGGCAGGAGAGGTCTGCGCGCCATGTGGGACCCTCCTCTGGTGGCCGGGGAGCAGCCGGGGATCGAACCGGCTCCTCGGGCGCGGGCAGCTTCGCAACCCAGCGCTCAACCGCTGCGCCACCGGGGAGGCCCCTCTAGAACCCATTTCTAATTAATATAGTAGGAAATGATATTAAATGAAATATAAGGCCTCCCTGGTGGTGCAAGGGGGTTAAAAATGTAACCTATGAAGCTGTCCACAGTCACTGCAGTACGAGTTTGATCCCCGGTCGGCCAGGGAGATACCCACATGGTGCAGCAGACCTCTTCTGACTCGCCTGCTCTTCCCCTCAGCGGTGTATTTCAGTCATTCTGCCTGTTCTGTTCCCCACTCTGTCTCTGGTGAATCCTTCAATCCCCACACCTCTGGCCTGTACCCCAGTTCTTGTATGCATAAATAAATGAATCTTTAAAAAAATAAATGAAATATAAACAATGTAACTCAATTTTGAAAACTTTTCTTCATCAGATACAGATCAGAGGCTGCCAGAGGAGAGGACAGGGGCAGGAAAAACAAGTTAGGGAGGTGAAAAGGTACAAACCTCCAATAATAAATAAGTCATGGAGCTGTAATATGCAACATGGTGACTATAATTATAATACTGAATTGCATATTTAAAAGTTAATAAACCTGAAAGTCTTCATCACAAGAAACAAAATCTGTAATTTATGTATGTATGGATGTCAGCTACCCTTACTGTGGTGATCACTTCATAATGCACACAGATTTATCAAATCATTATGTTGTACACCTAAAACTAATATAAAGTTATGTCAATTATACCGATTTTTTCATGTTAATTATACCTCAATTAAAAAACTGTTAAATATTGGTTAAATAGATGAATGAATAAAACATACAAAGCCATGACAGTGAGAAAGTAAATCTAGTAACTGACCAAACCTCACTATGTACTGTTGCTGTCAGGATAAGTTCAAAAGTCATCAGCTGAGAACTTCTGACAACGCAGTCACATTCTCAGTCCTTCATCACAAGAACTATCACCAGTTTCCAGAATCCACACCCCCACATTCTCATCAAAAACTCCACATAATTCCACATAACCCAACAATAAATCTCAGGAGATTCTTAAGGCTGAATTACTTAAAGGCAGAGACCCTTAACTAATGTATCTCTAAGTATGTAAGAAGATGATAAAATATTTGATCCCTAGTCTTTCATATAGATACTTGCAGTTTCTCTAAAAGGCAAACACCCTTAACCCCACTCCCCCCAAAATTATTTTATTTAGGATCTAAGTCTCATTTTTCCCCCAACAATCAATCACATCACTAACCAAAAAAAAAGACAGAAGGAGTCTTGTCTACAGATAAGAGGGGAGGGTGCTACAAATCCTAAGAATATTATTAATTTTAAGTATATATGACAGTCAAGATGCCTAGAATACGTATTACATTTATGCATTAAGAAACTGTTGAGGGGCCTCCCCGGTGGCGCAGCGGTTGAGCACTGGGTTGCGAGGCTGCCGGCGACCGCTGCGGCGCCGGTTCGATCCCCGGCTGCTCCCCGGCCACCAGAGGAGGGTCCCGCATGGCGCGCAGACCTCTCCTGCCGCCCGCTGCTCCCCTCAGCAGTGTACTTCGGTCCTTCTGCCTGCTCTGCTCCCTGCTCTGGCTCTGGTGAATTCTCTCACCCTCCCGCACTTCTGACTGTACCCAGTGCATGTATAAACAAAACAAACAAACAAACAAATAAATAAACATGCCTCTATAAAAAAAAAAAAAAGAAACTGTTGAGTATTCATTAATGTGAAATTATTTTAAGCTATACAGCATGCTAAAATGTTTTTACATATTATAGCAAAAATTTGTTAATACTTCACCACCTTTCTCTTGTATTTCTTGAAGAGATTTCTTCCATATTTGAACAGCTTTTTCATATGATCCTAATAGGAAACATTCTTCACCTACAAAGGTTTTAACCAACAATTAGTCATGGTGATTACATGACTATAAAAATTTACCATTTTAAAATTCAATGCCTGGGCCTCCCGGTGGCACAGCAGGTTGAGCACAATGCTGTAAAGCTGTCCACAGCCTCTGCAGCGATTCCTGGCCCGCCGGGGATATACCCACATGGTGCGGCAGACCTCTCCTGGTTCGCCCGCTGCTCCCCTCAGCAATGCTTTCGGTCTGTCTGCCTGTTCTGCTCCCCATTCTGTCTCTGGTGAATCCTCTCACCCTCCCACGCCTCTGGCCTATACCCCAGCTATTGCATAAATAAAAAAAAAAAAATTCAATGCCTATATCTCAGCTTGAATTTATTTTGAAAAACAATTGCAACTATTTAATAAAATTAAGGCCCATTTAACAGTATTGTTTATTCATGGGGTGAAAATTTGATTGTAAGTGTGAGGGAGAAGGGAAGATGGTGTTGGAGGAAGCTCCATGATTTGCTTCAGTGAGAACAAAACTGAGAAGTCCAAACAGACACTGAGCTCAGATGATCCCACCTCAAGGGATGAAAACAGAGTGCATCAATCACCAGTATGTTTGAACAAGAGGAACAGAAGAGACACAGAAGAAATTAAAATTAGAGGAACAAAGTATGAGTGTGAATAAAAGGTGGCAGCTCCTGGGCCAGAAACCACAGAGGTTAGGACTGATTGCTGTGGATCTAGCTGCAGGACAGTGCTGGGAGAACCAGGCAGATGAGGACTCCTGTGAGAAAGAAAAACATCAGGCACAATCCCCAACACCACCTTCTCCTGGGAGTAGGTGCATATGGGGACCTAGTGGATAAAGTGAAGCTATGTGGCATGCATTGGGGCTGCACGGAAAGTCATCTTGTAGACTTCAGAGACATACATCTGAGCCTCAGAGAGCAGAGCTAGCAGCACTGACACAGGCACAAAATAAGCCAGGACACAGCACTCTCAGGACCAAGGAAGCCAAGCTTATACTCATTGAAGACCAAGTTATACATTAATGCTCCCTGACATACTGGGCCATCTCCTGGAAAAGTGGAAGTGCTGCAGCTGTAACATTCCAAATAATGGGAAGATGAAAACACAACAAATGGCAATGGAAGATGCGGTATATATACACAATAGAATATTACTTAGTTTTCAAAAAAGATAAACATTTGCCATTTGCAGCCACTTGAAGCATTATGGATGGAGCTGGAGGGGACTTTTCTAAGTGAAATAAATCAGGAGGAGAAAGACAAATATTGGATAGTGTCACTTATATGTGGAATGTCGAGGAACAAAATAAAGGTCAAATACAGCCAAAATAATAACAAACCCTAGAAATCTGATGGTAGAACTGAGGTTCCATGGCAAGAACAAAGAATGGGCAAGAACAAAGTGGGGAGAAGGATCAATGGACTATAGTGGTGGACCATGGGTGGGTTTTGGTGGTGGGTATGGTAGAGCTTTTATACTTCTGAAACACAACACTGTAAAACAATATTACCTCAATAAAAAAAAAACAAAACTGGTTTTAAGATACTGACCATTGACAGACTTAAGGTCTACAGTTTGGTTCAAGGAAACTCCAGCAGTCTGTAAGTTAGCTTGTATATGACATAACAAGGAGTTGACGGTAGATGCTTCCTGTGTCATCTTTTCAGTTAACTGTGTGTCACCTTCGGTAATTTTTCGATCTAATTGTATTTGATAACATATAGTTTTTTTGTACAATATTCTCCAGAGAATAATCAATCTGCACAAAAATAATCATCAAAACCAAATTTCAGAATTAGGATAAGAATGAATATAGACTCCTTTTTCTTTTGCCTTATTCTTCACTGAGGTAAAAAAAAAATATACAGACTAATCAGATTTTAAATATAGCCAAATCCACAGACAAAAAATGCATATTATTAAAATCTTCATAAATTCATCGCACACTATGTTCATTTTATACTTGCCTAAACCAACATCTCAGCAGTCTCATGAGTGCCCAAGACTAATAAAATACCTATGGTGAGTAACACTTGTGATGTACCCTAGATATTTTTAAATAAAATATCTATAACACTGAGTGCTCTATGCTAATTGTTATAATGAGAGATACATGGTTTGGGGGTGATAAAAATGCTGTAGAATTAGGGTTAAGTTCTACACTCCTGTGACTATACTGAAAATCACTGCATTGCACACTTAAAGATGGTGAATTTTACAATGTGGAATTATATTTCAAATTATATTTCAAATTTTTTACCCTAATAGTAAAGTAATTATACCTGTGTCCCGGCTGATGAACAAAATTTACTACTTGAGGGCCAGTCTTGAAAGGTGAGTTCCAACAACAGTTTTCCTGAGAACCACTATGTCGAAACATTTGAAAAATGGGTACCACCAATGAGTCTTGATTTACTGTTCTACTTCCATCTGTGGATGCTGAAATAACTTCAGGTTGGAGACTGTAAATTCCATTTAAATTATTAGCTACCATTCTGAGTAAATGAAAACAGGCTAAAAGCTTCTCTGAGAATAACTGACCCTGTTGTTGCTGAGTCAGCAAAAGTTTCATAGTATTTGAGGTCAGCTTCACCAAATGTTCCACATTTTGTTTATATCTCAGATCCCAATACTGGATTGATAAACACTGATGAAAAAGCTGAAGGACACAAAGTACCCATGTATTATGTCTCAGGCTCTTGCTTAAAAAGAGATCAAGTTTGGGCAAGGGACATTTTATAAACTGAAGAATATAGAAAAGGTGAGTGATACAAACTACTGTGTAATTTAACATTAAATTTTTTTCTGGCACATTTTTTGAAATTCCTATAGCCCATGCTGCAAGGAGATTTTTCTGGACAGAATGCAGTTCTGTAATGGTTTTATCTGTATCCTCGGTATTATCTTTTGCATGTATCGTATCAAACATAGATGCAAATTCCAGTCTTCCCTCCTCCACACTACTAAACAATGAATCATTTTTATGGTTCCAAGAGAGTAAGTTGTCTGGAAAGTGTTTGTCTTCATTAGTTTGTTCTGCTTCAAAATCCTAAAACATGAGTGAAAAAATAGAATCATCTTGCTGTTCTCAGATTCTCTATAACAAAAGAAGAACAAAACATACTTCTTGAAATAAAGTCAATCTATAAATGTTCAAGTAAATCAAACACTGTTATCATGTACCTGCAAATCTGTTTTTTCATTTAACTTCATTGTTTCTTCTGCCTGCAAGAATCTAGGGACAGTAGTATTACCCGAGCTTTCGTTTTCTTGGTATTTTAACAGGCTAGACCTTAGAGAATCCAGTGATCGCAAGTTCAGTCCTTTGCTTTTGGGCTATCGAAGAGAAGACAAAAAAGATTTCCAAGAACAAAATCTTTCCCATAATTCTATCACATGCAAGCAGAAACTCCAGATAACTATTTACACTCCAAGGACATATGTCAATGTAGTTTTAAATCGAAAAAGACTAAGAAGCAAACTTTATTAATGATACCAAAAAAGCACCATACCTTAGACAATATCACACTTTGGTATGTTTTCTCAAGTCTCTGGGTTGAATCAAGCAGAAGTGACCTCATGAGCACAGATGGAGACATGTTGTCAAGAAATCGAAGGGTCGTAATCATGTATCCATCAGAAATAACGAGGTAGGGTAACCGAGAATGTGCTTTTACAGAAAATCTCTGTCTCATAGGATCATTATCAGAAGCTGATGAATCTACAGATTTATTTGAATCTTGAAATGTAAACTGCTGTGGTCTAGTAAAGAAATATCAAAAATTCAAGAATTAGAGAAAAAAATCCTATTATTCCAAAGAAAAAGCAAAATAATAAGTTACAGAAGGATAAAAAAAGCAAGTAAATTAAACCCCCAAATATTAAATGTTTATATATCTGGAAGGAAAACACAAGTAATTAACATAAAGGCTTATACATTTTTTAAATTATTTTTCCTGAATTGTGGCATTTGCTCTATTTTGTTTTTAATCTATACACTATTCCAGAAAAGAATTAAGGCAGTACATTTTTACTATTAAAGAAACTTAGTTAACTTTACTTAACTATACTGTACTTCCTTTTCACTCCCTCAGCCCTAAAAGGCAATTATTGTCATCTTTGCTACACAGTAAAAGAAACAGACATAAAGACTAACTTACCAAAAGTCACATAACTGGCAAGTAGAAAAAACAAAATTTGAATCTCAATCTTTCTGATGCTAAAGTCAAAATGCTACTCAATCTCTCAATTAAAAAATTAAAATATAGCTAAATTATAAAATCTTAAATTTTTTTAAAGATTTATTTTATTTATTTATGCATACAGGAACTGGGGTGTAGGCCAGAGGTACGGGGAGGGGTATATGTGAAAGGATTCACCAGAGACAGAGTGGGGAGCAGAACAGGTGGATCTACTGAAATACACTGCTGAGGGGAGTAGTGGGCAAGACAGGAGAGGTCTGCTGCACCATGTGGGTCACCTCCCTGGCCAGTGCTGCAGTGGCTGCGGATACCTTCATAGTGCTGAGACTTAATTTCTTGAGCCACCAGGGAGGCCTTAATTACAAAATCTTCTATGTTTTCTTTTCCCCAAAGGGAAAAGTTTCTATATTTCATATTCCAACTTGATTTTGAGTTTTTAATGTAAGTAAATGTTCTTCTTTTAAAACAATGACATATATTTTTTTTCTAATTTTTTTTTAAGAGAGGCATGTTTATTTATTTGTTTGTTTGTTTTGTTTATACATGCACTGGGTACAGTCAGAAGCGCAGGGGAGGGTGAGAGAATTCACCAGAGCCAGAGCGGGGAGCAGAGCAGGCAGAAGGACCGGGGTACACTGCTGAGGGGAGCAGCGGGCAGCAGGAGAGGTCTGCGCGCCATGTGGGACCCTCCTCCGGTGGCCGGGGAGCAGCCGGAGATCGAACCGGCGCTGCAGAGGCCGCGGGCAGCTTCGCAACCCAGCGCTCAACCACTGCGCCACCGGGGAGGCCCCACAATGACATATATTTTTACTAACATATCAAGAAACAAATACTTTAGTGATATTGAATATTTAAATAACTATACTTACAGAGTCACAATGTCAAATTTTCACTGGGATTAAGCCACAAAAAGAAATAGAAGAAAACTATAAATAAGAAACAGATATTGACACGGACAGACTCAAAGAAAGAAAAAGACAACCTTAAAGATGAAATTATACATATACAAAAAAAAACAGTGAAAATAATACCAAAAGAGAAAAACTTGTGTGTCCAAATTAAAACAATTCAAATGTCTCACCTATATGTTATTAGTGGGTGAAGTGGAATAAATTCTGCTGGCCCAAATTCTATAGAGCAACCAAATGTAATTAATGTTAGGAGTTCACCTTGGCAGGTCAATAAAATCAGGGAGCCACGTTTTAACATACAAGCCAGAAAAAGACTATCATGAGTCCAGCTGATATCACCTACCCAATAAGACCTGGAAAAAGCAAGATAAAATATTTAGAAAGGTCTCTATAATCTTTTAAAAAATTTATGCTGGGCTGTTACCAGGAACAGTCGGACACTTTAAAAAATGAGAGGAAATATGAACAGTAGGCATTTGTCACATATTTTTATGCATTATACTCCCTAGAAAGAAAGGTTTAAAAAAAGGGGTAATCTGCTCATAAACATCTACTTAACACAACATACTAAACAGAAATTTACTTAGATTCATAAACAACTCATAAGATGAAAATACTCTTTAAAAGATTTAAACTTTTTAATCACTCACATTTTAATTAGAACATATTTTAATTCTACTGGTGTCCACAACTAAAATCTTCTGATAGATTAAAGGTCAATGCCATGCCTCTCCTCTCTGCAGGCAGCAAAGGAGTCATTACTACTCAGTAACTATCCAGTCATGTTAGTGTTTCATAAGACAAAATTTAGTTCCTCATGTGAATTAGCATCCTTAAGTCAAACAGATCACTGAACTGAGACCAGGAGTACTTTGAATACTTTGGGAAAGGATCTTTGGGGGTGGGAGGGCAGGAAATGAAAGGCAGGACTAGATGGATCCAAAAAACTTGGAAATTCAGAGAAAGGCACAGAAAATATTCAGAAAAGGAAATTTGGAGATCCAAGATGAAATCTTTCTATTCTATCACCTGTGGAGGTTCTGGTCGCAGCTCATATGCCACCCATATCACCACTGAACTTACTAGGGACCCATATGAAGAGAATGGCAACTTTGTTTAAAAAGCTAAAAACACCTTAGCTTCCTTGAACATATGATGGTCCCCCAATTATTTCATGCTCTCAAGTCCAATATTTCTATACATTCATATTTCCACTCCTGAGAAACACATAAAGAAATAACAGAAAAAGAAAATATTTGTTCAGAGAGCTTCCACCTATGAAGTACAAGTGCTGAAAGTTGCATTATTCATCTAAAATCCTATACCGGATTATCAGACACTAAAACTTATTAAATTCTTGGATAAAAAATAAAAACATTATTTAGAAATACAAATGTTTTCACCTTACAAGTGTAGCTGGAACCACAGGATTCTTATTACTACATCCTTTAAGGTTGCCAGAGAGAGTAACAAAATTCAATGTGTTTATAAATAATATCTGAGTTGCCTAGAAAGATAAAAAAGATAATGAAACCATTTAATTATGCTTTAATCACTATTTATAATTCTGGAGTCTGATAGATCCATTATTATATGAATAAGCTACAAACTATTTAGTGAGTCTTTCCTGACAAGGCAATACTGACCACCTTAATCCTCCTTCTCTTTTATGCTACATTTTAAGAAAATAGTTATTATTTTGCCTTTCTTTCCACCTTTTAATTTAGCCTCTTTTCACTTCTGAAGGCCAAGTTTTGAAAATTAAACCACTAATATAAATAACTTTACCAATCCACAATGTTAAACTGAATCGGAAAACACCAATTTAAGGAATATAAAGCACTAAGGGGAAAAAAAACCTATCTTCAGGGCAGGGGCGGAAAGGAATCTCAAAACTAAACTAACTCTTTTATTGGTGACTTTTCAACACACTCCATTTACTGACCTTTGGGTCTTTCTGATTAAGAGTTACTGCCAGGGTAAGGCCATCTCTTGAAAAGGCAGAAATTAGAGCTCCTCTTGATTTAACTGATTCGCATTTAGGAATTAAACTGCATAGAAGACAGTCTTGTTGTGCCCAATGAACAGCATATGGCAATGACCTATGAAGGAAAGTAATGAAATAACTGTAAATAAGTACAGGGCCTCTCTGGTGGCACAGCGGTTGAGCGCTGGGTTGCGAAGCTGCCCGCAACCTCTACAGCGCTGGTCCAATCCCCAGCCGCCGAGCGAGGGTCCCACATGGCGCGTAGACCTCTCCTGCTGCCCGCTGCTCCCCTCAGCAGTGTACTTTGTCAGTCTGCCTGCTCTGCTCTCCCCTCTGGCTCTGGTGAATCCTCTCACCCTCCAGCGCTTCTGACTGTACCCAGTGCTTGTCTAAACAAATAAATAAAAATCTTAAAAAAAAAAAAGTACAGTAACATTTATTAAGTTAGGACCTAGTCCATCAAAAAAATGAAGAGTCCTTCATGTGCATATATCTTAGGGGGTGTCTTAGCAACCATTCAGAAATTTCATATAGGGCACAGCAAGCAATGGCCAGTTAAACAGGCTCCGTATCACTTGTGATAGTGGTGGCAGGTTCTGTAGCCAAGCCCAAATACATCTGCTTCCACCAAGGATTTAAGCTGGACACATATTTCTAGATGATAGCAAGTATCTGTACAGGGATTTAAAAGGTGGAGACAGGGGATTTGGGGGTAATGGCAATGTTCTACGTTTGATGTGACTATGGTTACAATGGTTACACAGACCTATTTACCGAAGTCAACCTAGTTCATCCACTTAATATTTGTTCATTTTACTTTACACAAATTAAACCTTAAAAAAGCATTGTTAGCATAAAAAATGAGGAAAAAAACACAATTTTACTAAATCTTACTTTGATATTATATGCTTATAATGTATTCTATTTTAATGAGCTTTTTATACTAAATAAACTGATTTTTAACAGAAAAACATTTGAGAATTTAAATGGTAGGCACAAATTCAAGTAAGTTATATTCCTTTCAAAATGCAATTAACTTACTTTCTAAAACAGTTACTTTTATAGTCCTAAGACCATAACTGGCTTATCTTTTATGCATTTTCGATGTGAAGAAAGGAAACAAAATAAAAACTCTGTAGACATTTATAAATGAAGTCTAAAGAAACAAAACAATACTTACAGGAAGAAAGGGTTTCTAAAATCTCAGAAGGAGAAATTCATATTAACAATTACTTATCTTTTTGTATATATAGGCCAAAATGATCTTTTAAAAGGCACAGAAAATAGAAAAATTTACCTCACCTTATGGGTGTAAATCCATTTTCATGCCAACGAATTGACAGAAATGATAATTTCAGATATTCCCCAGAATAAAAAGTAAATGAACACAAGCAGCAGTCTCCAAATAACTGTAGATAAATTTAATATACTTTAGTACATAGTATATAATTAATATACTTTAGTCTTTAATATACTTTAGTACATAATTAATTTGAAAATATATCAAGATATATAAAACATATTTCTCATCATAAATGAAATAAATGCAAACTATCAAGCTACTGCTTGTATTTTTATTAACATTAAGCATTAAGCCAAGAGTAAATAATTTACTTTTGAGTCAAAGGCATCCCAAATGGAAAATTATTCTAAGTAAACCCTGCCATTTACTGTGACTGTAACTTAGAAAGATTCCTATATTTTTCTCTTCTTTGAACAGTTAAATTAAATCACCACGACCCCTAGGGGTGGGAGGAGGTAAAGGAAAACAATGAAGTGTCAAAACACATTCTAACAGTAGTGGATTGGCTAATAAAATGTTGGCCCATACATACAAAGAGTTCCATGCAGCTATTTAAAATATTTTTCAGCTAATGAATGTGTTATTTCCTGGGATTTAAGCATATTACCTAATATCAACAATTCCAGCTTATTAAATTACAAAACTAGGGTCTCTCTGGTGGACTAGGGATTAAGTCTCAGAGTTATCACCCCTGCGGCCTGAGTTCTATCCCTAGCCAGGGAGCTGACCATATGGTGCAGCAAACCTCTCTTGTCTCACCTGCTGCTGCCCTTAGCAGTATATTTCAGTAAATCTACCTGTTCCACTTTGTTTCTAGTGAATTCTCTCATCCCCTGCACCTGTGGCCTACACCACGGTTCATCTATGCAAAAATAGGTAAATCTTTAAATAAAAAAACAAATTATAAAACTAGTTCTATTTTAAAACTAAAGAGAAAGGAAATCTCTAAGTTCAAACCACTTTTAGTAAAGTTTTTTAAATGTGAGTGGAAAAATAACTATCTTTTCAACAATAATTTTAGAATTACTGTGCCAATTAATGATAGAGATGAATAGCCACTATACACTCTGCTAAATAGCTTCAGACAGTGTCTGTTCCTAAAGCCTGAGATCTCAACTTTTACAACATCTTGTCTAATTCCAACTTTACCTCATTTTTTATAAAAACAGCATGCACTACAGCTTCCTTATCTTCAGTGGAAGGCAAATGAATTGTTTCTTCTGGTATGATCTGGGACCACTGACCCTCCAATGAAAGGCTTTTGGAAGATAAGATTGTCTTGAATTCCAAATATTCCCAAAGAAGTATACATCCAGAAGGAGTTATAAGCAGAACTCTTTTCCCATTTCCAGATACATACAAATATAGTTTCCAAGAGCTTGCTAAAGGAAAAAAAATTAAATCTTTGAAGTCTGAATTCCTCCCAGAAAGTACATAATCTATCTATTCTACCACAACCAACTCAAATGATGTTCCACTCAGTATTAAAATTAGACCACTAATAATATATTAAAAGTACAAATAATAAAAACATTTATCAAGTACTTATGTGATATTAGGAACCCACTACTACCACAGATATGTTAGGCATGCCAGACTTTTTTCCTTCAAGATGAATCCAATGTCACATATAAACACCCCCCCCCAAAATACATACTTATTTAAACACAGACATATATACATAAACACTATATATATATACACATACTTATACACATATAGTAACAGGAAAATGTTTCATCTTGTTTGCCTACTATTTATCAAGCTAAACTGATTTAAACAACTAAAAAGTTCCCACCTACTGCAGCTTTAATCATTTCTTTAGGCTTTTCAGTTGCTTGTATAGTTTTCAAACAATCTTGATCTTTGTTCCAAAGGAAAAGGTCCCCTGTAGTGAGTACCCCAGCCAGCCAGGCATCTGTTTTCAAAAAGGAAATTCAATACTTATAATCTAATATTTCCCTTAACATTACTTCAGATTATTTAAAAAATAAAGTTACTCTAGCCTCTTGAAAATATCAGTACTACTTAACCATTACTGGATGTTGTTAGGACAATAACATCCTTCAGCAAAGGCTGCAGACTAGGAATTTTCTTCTTTGTCCTTCCTGAGAGCAAGTCAATTTCATTGATGAATTTATCATCCAAAAGAAAAACAGCTTCATTTTCCTGAGAAGAAACATGTGAGAGACATAAAAGATAATTTATTTTTTATAAGATTATTCAACCTCTTATCTAAAGTATCCCAGGAAGGAAAACAAAATAATAACATTCAAGACAGATTATACATTTATACTATAAATCATAAAAATGAACATTAAGGTTGATTAGGTAACCTAAAGATATTTCACTCTACCTTGAAATACCTCTTATTAGAATTACTAGATGGAATAACCTAGGGGTTGCATTTAAAACTCCTTAAAATTTAAAACTCCAGCAGTGTCTTCTCATTTTGCTAGCCAAATCAGGGTTATCAACTATTTAACCTCATCAATTTGAATAGTAGTATGGACAAAGTCTTTAATATTTACTTAGATTAAAATAGACATGGCTTCTGGAATTCATAAACCCCTAGTTCTGATTATTTTTATTAACTAGAAAAAGTATGTTGTTTCAAATTAATTCGGTTCCCACATCTTCCAGGGGTGGTTTTCAAACCACTAAACCAGCAGCTACCCCAGACCTCCTGAACCAGAAACTCTGGAGTGACACCTAACAATCTGTATTTCATAAGATCACCTGGTCATCCTCAACTAATGTAAAGTTTGAGATTCACTGTTCTATAGGAACCTAACATTGTAATTATTCACAAAAAATATGACAATAAACACTAATTTTTAAATTTTAATTATTATTTGTTCTAAGAAGAGTTTAGGTTTGCCCACTTTCCCCAAGGTGAGGAATTTATTCCATATATTGCAATGTCATAAAAACTACAATAGAAAGGAACTTCCACTAACTGTTTTGAGAGTGTTTTTTCTAAAGATGGTGCTATATACTTTAAAGGCCATGCAACATTCTTAAGTCTTAGAGGTAAGGCCACATTTAATATATACTAAAAATGACATTGTAGGAAAAAAGAAAAACCTACCTGTCCCAACCAGGAGATTCGTGGCCAGGGTTTTTTCTGTTTTATACTTGTTGAGGTCAAAACTTCTAACCTTATCTCCATGCTCAAGATATCAGTGTGCAACTAGATAAGAACAGTAACCATATGCTATTAAAAAAAAAAGACCATAAGTTAATACTTGCTACTAAGGATCTTAAAGTTTTAGTGAATAACTTTTATAATCAGCTCAACTCTTTACAAGGTAAAATACTGACAATGCAGTCAGCATTTCATCTTATATCTTGAGTAGTCAAGCAAAAAATACTTGCTTTCTTGACAAACTATTTATTCTCAGACAATGAAGATAAACATGAACTAGGAAAGGATCTTGACCATAAATTTTCTATGTGTTTTGCTTTTCTCAGTGTGGCAAGTTGTATTTTCCCACAATGGCCACACAATATCTCCCATCTCATGCTCTTCCTACTGTGTGACTTTTGACAGTTCTCACGAAGTGTTCTGATCTATGCCTCATTCCTTGAAATTGGTGGGATTTTACGATTATCTCCACGAAGAGTAAAATGAAAGTGATGCTGTTTTTCCCAAGGCTCATTCATAAAAGGCAACACAACTTAAACATTTCTCCCTGGAATAATCACTCTTGAAGCCTCAATCCTCACATAAGCAGTCAAACTGCCCCTAACTGTAAAAAAGTCCAAACTAGTCCACATAAAAATACTAACAGTAAAGAAATCTTGACCTAATGGACAACATCTCAATCTAGGGGCAGACATTATGCTCCAAGATGGGTTGTGACAGCTTTAAAAGGACATAGCATTAATTATACAGCATTCCAGTCAAAAACCACAACCCTAAGTCTAATCCAAACTGAGAAAAATTATATAAAACAATGGGTTGTTTTTCCTTTAAAATGTCAATGTTTTGAGAAACAAAGGCTCAAGGACTATTCCAAATTAAAGAATATTAATAAGACAATCAGATGCAATATAATAATTTATAATGGGCAGGAACTGATATCCAATACCAGAAAAGAAAATATGCTTCAAAAAGACATTGTGACAAATGAATTGGAATATGCACAAAACTGGAATATGCACTATCTATAGCACAGATAAAATGCATTAATGTCACATTTCCTGAATGTGTGAACTCTTATTTATGTAAAAGAATATGACTGCTATTAGGAACTGCGTATTATACTAAATATTAAGGCAGAAAGAGGCATGACTTAGCTCACAATGAGTTCAGAAAAAATGTATCTGTGCACACCTGAAGAGAGAACAAAATATGGACAAAATATAAACAACTGCTTATTCTGAGTAAAGGCAGAGAAGTTTACACTATTGCAATTTTTCCTGTAAACTTAAATTATTTCAAATTAAAATCAGGCAAATGTGAGTATGACCGAATATTAATGCTGTATCAAAGAATTAATGTAATTTTTGATGGTGTGTGGTATCTCTGTTGCAGTTAGTTTTTTAACAGTCCTTAATTCCCTAGATAGGGGAATATGTTTAAGTGTACACTTAAACATTCAAGCCAGGGATTTTCTTTAAAACATTCCAGATGTACACTTATGTTTAGTAAAGGATCAAGAAAAAAAAGCCATTTCAAGATGTGAGAATAGAGTCCTACGGATTCAACTGATGGTGTTCTACCTTTCATTTCTTTTTTAGTTGCATTGTTTTTTTTATTGGGGTAAGGCTGGTTTACAACACTGTATATAATTTATAGGTTCACACCTCAGTCTTCTAGCTTTTAGAACGCTAAAAATCACACCCTGTCAGCCAGCAAGGGTGATTTCTACTACACACTGAACGTGCACGCAACACACAAATGCTACAGATGAATATGAACAGACAGCACGAGCCAAGTAAAACGAGTTAATGGAAGAAAGAAATAAAAATAAACTCAATCACACCAAATACGTTAGGAGGGGAAACTGGTTCAGTCTAGCCCCCCAAAATACCTTTGATTTAAAACACAACGGCGAATGCAATTTCAAGAAAATAATGCAAGTTCTTCTGGGGCTCCCATGCCCGGCTCCCCACTAAGGTCGGGTCCAGGAGCTGCCCAGGGCCGCCGGCACAGGTCATTCCCAGGCCCGATCCTCCGCGCCCTCGCGCCCCACAGAACTGGGCCCAGGAAAAACGAGGAGCCGGGGCCGAGATTGCGCCCCCAGGATGGGGAGGCGGGAGGGGCTGGGGGCGCCGGGGCAGGCCCGGGGCGGCGGGCGGGCCAGGAGCAGCCGCGCAGGGGCGAGGGGCTGCGGGCGGCGGGGGGAGTCGCGAACGTGCCACGGGGGCTTGGGGATCCCGGAGCCCGAGGACGCCGGGCGCCCTAGGGAGCGGCGGGGGCGATGAGGGATCTGTGGGCAGTTACCTCCGCCAGGGCCCGGCCTGTCCTGGGGGGCGAAGGAGCAGCGAGGCCCCGCGGCAGGCGACAGCGCGGCGCGCGCAGCGGGGAAGGCGACGGCCGCGGGCCCGGCGGGCGCCCTGACGCGAGCGGGCGTCCCGGCGACGGCGCGAGGGGAGGGGCGCGCGCGGCGCTAGGGCGCATGCGCGGGGCGCGCCGCCAGCGCGGGCGCGAAGCTCGAAGTGACCTGGCTCGGGCGGCCTCTCCAGAGAGTGTGCCTGGGTTCGGGTCCCAAGTCCGGCGGGTTCGGGCCCCCAAGTCCGGCGGGTTCGGGCCCCCTAGCCCGGCGGGTTCGGGCCCCCTAGTCCGGCGGGTTCGGGCCCCCTAGTCCGGCGGGTTCGGACCTCTAGTCCGGCGGGTTCGGGCCTTCAGTCCGGCGGGTTCGGGCCTTCAGTCCGGCGGGTTCGGGCCTCTACTCCGGCGGGTTCGGGCCTCTACTCCGGCGGGTTCGGGCCTCTACTCCGGCGGGTTCGGGCCCTCAGTCCGGCGGGTTCGGGCCCCTAGTCCGGCGGGTTCGGGCCACTAGTCCGGCGGGTTCGGGCCCCTAGTCCGGCGGGTTCGGACCTCTAGTCCGGCGGGTTCGGGCCCTCAGTCCGGCGGGCTCGGGCCCCAGTCCGCCGGGTTCGGGCTCCTAGTCCCGGGCCCCCGCCCCTCGGCCGGCTCTCGGTATCCCACGGCCTCTCGCCGCCTGCTCAGCCGGGACGCGGTCCTCGGATCCACGCCTTTTGAAGGCCGGGGCAGTGGCCTCGCTGGACACGAAGCCGTTAAGTAATCGACTGCTAAGCAGTTCACGGGTGTCACCTCGCTAGTGGGGACTCCACAGACCCAGCGAGCCACTGTCTGCTCCAAGGAAAGGAGGTGTGGCAGCACGCGCCCCCCTAGGGGACTCACTTACTAGTTGTCGCTTCTTTCGCCCCAATCCTGATCCAGAGGACTGACTGGGCTTCGAGATCACGATGCGGTCGAGAGCCTCTTATCCTGCAAAAGCGTTTTTGTACAGTGTCGATTGCTGTTTCTCTGCCCGCCCTCTTCACACGCTGTTGTTCCTAGTCGGATATTTGAAGGCGTTTTGGCTGTGACTCTTGCTTGGCTAAGGATGCTCAGAGGAATTTGCCGAACTCTCTCGACTGGAGAGCCAGCAAGTAGACTTAGCTTAACAAAGGATACAGGGCAGGAGGACTAGCACAGCGTCATAAACTGCAGCGCTCCCTGAGTCTTGCGGGATGTGGCAGCCTGGATACCAGCAGCTCATAGTATTTATCTCAGCAGATTGTGGAACTGAGCAATTAAAATCAGTCATTAAGTCAGAGTTGGGAATTGAGCATGCTGGGCTCTTCATCATTATACTATTATACAAAGGTGAGTTCAAATGCCATTCTCTGTGTGGTGTTTGTTGAGTTTGCAACCATTTGGTCGGGCAAAGTATGTGCCAAATGAGCAGCACTGGCATTACCTGGGAGCTTGTTAGGAAAGCAGATCTCAAGGTTCTACCCACTTCAGGCCTATCGAATCAGAATCTGCATTTTAACAAGATCCCCAGGTGATTCTTGGCTCATTAAAGTTTAAGAAATATGCTCCTTATTCATTGCTAATTGAATGCTCACTTGACTCCTCACCAAATCTGTGATGTATCTCTGAAGGCAAGAAATACGCTGTTGTTTTTGTATTTTACGCACTTGTGAAACAGGCGGATAATTGTCCACCAAAATCATTTCTTGTTTTACTGGGTATGTTGCTAATCTTCTTTTCCCATACTCCCTTGCAGTAACCATATGACTAAAGTTCTCGCCAGTGCAACAGATATATTGTGTCATATATCAGGACCCAGATCTTAAGATTCTCTTTTCCCTATTCATTTGGCTAGACACTATGCCAAACTATGTGGGAATGCCTTCATAGTTTGATTTTTGTCTTTAAATAAGTGTAATATCAGTAGTTGTTGTATCTTGTGCCCTTTTAATTTCAAGTCTAAATTGTCTTCTTGTTTAAATGGCAATAGTTGTTTATTCTACTTTCAGAAAATCCATCAGGAGACAACCCACAAAAAGATATAAAGTCAAATACAAAGAACAGGCCTGATACTTTGTTGTTTTAAAATTTATATATTTTTATTGCAGTAACATTGGTCTAGAACACTGTATGATTTAGGGGAACAGGCACACGCCTTTTCAGATCTATGTCATCATACGACACCCACCATCAAAGCACTCATAGTCCTTATAATTTAGCCCCTTCCCCTTTGTGTCCTCCCCCCCCCCCCACCTTTCTCCCTATCTAGTAGTATCAATTCTGCAGTCATTTCTAGGGTTTGCTTTGGTTTGGTTTTGTCACTTCCTTTGTTTTGTTTCTCTATATTCCACACATGAGAGAAATCATCTGGTATTAGTCTCTCCTCACTTACTTCACTTAGCATAATCCCTTCCAGTTCCATCCATGTTGTCACAAATGGAGAGTGCATCTTTTTTGTAGCTGAGTAGTATTCCACTGTGTATATATAGCACATCTTCTTAATCCACTCCACTATAGGCACTTGTTGTTTCTCTAACTTGGTTATTGTAAATAGTGATGCAATGAACATAGAAGTACATATATGCCTTCAAATTAGTGTTTTTCCATTCTTCGGGTAGGTACCTAGGAATGGAATTGCTGGGTCATATTGTAGATCTCTTTCTAATATTTTGAGGAACCTCTGTACTGTTTTCCATAGGGGCTGTACCAGTCTACATTTTCATCAGTAGCGTATGAGGGTTCCCATTTCTCCACACCTTCGCCAGTATTTGTTGCTCCAATACTTTGGCTATCAAGACAGGACACAGGAAAGAATATACATGATTCTAGGTAACGTTCTAAATTTGATCCTTTGGTAGTTACTTAAGCGTGTCACTTTGAAAAAATTACTATAATTGCGTAGTTTTCCATATGTTGTTTCACTTTAAAGTTTGATTTTTTTTTAAAACTGCCATTTAAACAAAAATAAAACTGCTGAATAAAAAAAAAAGGGGGATCCCTTTTATTAGCTCCCAGATTGCTCTTTAGAGGATGAGTAGGATTTTGATAGAAATGTGGAGGAAGATTGAGTTCCATTCCATCATATGGAATAAATGTAGGACATATTCAGGACATGTAAATAAAGCACCTATGGCAGATCATAAGTACAAGACAGCTTTTAGTCCTGGCCTAGTGGGTTTCTCTGAGCACTTCTGCTCTACACTTAGAGGTGAACCTCAGCAGCCACGTTAACAGCATATGTTCCTGTCCCCGCACTGTTGCAGGTCATGGCAAGTTGACCTTCCTGTTGATATTGTGTTGAAAAACACTGTTAGCAATATCTGAGTCCAAAAATAATTCAGAAGACTTGGACTGCCAATGTAAAATCATTTTAGGAACCAAGCTTTTAGCAAAAAACCAGCTTATTTAGCTTCTGTTTTTTTACAAAAATGTACAAAAGTGATTTTCCAAAACTATCTGACAAGTCTAAAGAACTCTTTTTGCATTTATAAATTAAAAATTCTAAGTAATAAGAAAGCATTATGGCAATTTAATTGGTAACATTTTTTCTTGGTAATACATACTGATGGTTAATGGTATTGTAGATTAAATGAAATATTTAATGTTCGGCATGGGATTATTTTTTCCATAAAATAAGTTTTTTATCATTGAAATATAGAAATGTTTTAGTCTGTAATTTTGATAAACCTCTTTTTTTTAAAGATTTATTTATTTTATGCATACAAGAGCTGGGGTACAGGCCAGAGGTATGGGGGGTGAGAGGATCCACCAGAGACAGTGTGGGGAACAGAACAGACAGACTGAAATACACTGCGGAGGGGAGCAGCAGGCAAGTCAGGAGAGGTCTGCTGCGCCATGTGGGTTGCTCCCTGGCTGGCCGGGAATCGATCTCATGCTGCAGTGGCTGCAGATAGCTTCATAGGTTGCGTCTTAACCCTTGTGCCACCAGGGAGGCCCCAAACCTCTTATTTTCTAATCAAAAAAATTTTTACTACTCACTTGGTTTTTCAACATACATAATAATGTTGCCTTTATGTGGAAGTATTTTGAGATTTTTGCTTATATTCATTCTTTTACATTGTAAAGCTTATAGCTTTTTTTTTTTTTTAATAATTGCCAGCATCTCAATAATTGTGTTCACTTGAAATGGTGTCAGGATGGGTTACCATAGTTTTTTTCAGCGTATGAATTATGCAGAACAAATGAGGTGGCAAAAAATTAACTGTGCTATGTGAAAACAATGGTTACTGTCATTTGAAGTGCAAAATTATTAAGTTTGTGTTGCCCTAAACTAGTCATTGTTTTAAAATACGTAGAATTTAAAAATTAACATACATTGTGTCACTCTTCAGAAGTGATAATCATGAGCATATTCTTTTTTCTCCATTCATGACCCAACACATTAATTCTATTTTTTCATGTAAATTGATCTTGCAATACAAAATATATATATTATTCAATTCAGCAACATTCAGTGAGGTCTTATTACTTGCATTTCATTTGCTAGCCAGGAAAATAAAGGGCTGAAAAAGACAGTTCTTGTCTTTAAGAAGTTCATGTGTTTAAGTGCTTTATTAACAAACTAAATAATTCACACCACTCATTCAAATAGCATTTAAT